ATGCCCCAAATGAGAAAACAGAGTTTACTACATCACCACTTCCCGAAGAAAAAGACCCTGGATCTCAGAGAAATGCCACAGCCAACCCCAGTGACACAGGTAGAAAGTGGAAGAGATGAAACCCAAGTTCCAATGGTCAACTCCTCTTCCGTGTGCCTTGGAGACTGTCTCCTAAGCAGCACAGGCCCTGAGGATCAGCATACTGTGGCATCATCTTGAACAGATAAATATACTGGAACAAAACTAAAATGTGCAGTCTGTAATGATCTTGTTGTTTAAATGCAGATACCAGACTCGCAGTAGCTTCCACCCTGAGGAGCCCAGGTTGGTATGAGAGCTAGATGTCTCTTGATTTATCTTGGAATGACTGGGGAGGTAATTTAAGAGATCTTAATCTGATAATCCCATCCTTTATGTTAAGTGGGAGGGTTCCTATGTTGGAAATCTTGGCAAATAGGAGGGGATTGGGTGATGGTCACAGACTACACAGAGATTTCTCAGGTAAGTCTTCTTGATTTATTCATGATCCCAATGCATTGGTTGAAAACCTGACTACCTCTTATTTGTAAAAATAGAGCATCAAAGCAGAGCCTTGTGGTCTGTTGTTGGAACCTAGGAAATAATGTATGTAAAATGATGTGCGGAACACAGACTGCATGTCTAGAACTTTAAAACCCACTCGGGGTTATTACATCATATTTTTTTGTTATCAAAGTACTATTTGCAGCCTACTTTACACCACAAGTATTGCTTCCTATTTTAACATCACAGTATGAATTGGGGAGAAATGTCTGGCTGATATTGTATAAGTGAAACACACCCATCCAAATTAAGTCCAGCACCAAATTCTAGAGCTAAAAGGTGGGCTCAAGCAGGTATGTCCCAGAGCTGAGTCTTGGTTGCTTGGTTCACTCACTACTACTACATAATACTATTAGATTATGTAGTAGTACTACACAAATCTAAAAGCAAATGAAATGCATGTTCTGGGCTCTCAGGCTGTACTTTTTCCTACTGTTAATATCTCCTGCGAAAAAGAGAAATCAATTTATCAAGACCTGTTGGTTTAATCAAAAAAGTCTTGTCACATTGGAAGGACCCCTAAGGACTAAATTAGGGTTTTAGACAAATAAATGGTGTTTTTGTGAAAAAAAAAATTAATCTCCCCAAGAGGGTGTAATTGGTTGCCATCCTTTGGACACTTCTGCAACATTTCCCTGCCTGTCTCGTTTGTTTCCCTGAGGTGTTGATGAGCTGTGATTCACTCAGAGACTTTCAGTGCTGGCTCTTTCCAAAGCAGTTAGATCTTTGAAGTGGTTCTGAATATCAGTATCTTTAAGAGTCCCTTACCGGTCTGTTCTGGAGTAGGGTCAATACCCTTGATTTTAGAGGGGCATGGATCTTTATCTGTGAAAGGTGGGAGCTCCGTCCTTCCCCATTTATCCATGTCTCTAACCTCAGGCATGACCCATACTTCATTCACCTGCTTCCTCTGGGAGACCAGAATGCTGAAACTGTCGTAGTTGAAGATATCAGCTTCCCAGAGGAACCTTATGTTTCCCTCTGGTAGATATCAAATGGAGGAGACTCACAGATGGAAGAAACTTAGTGTTTTTAACTTATTTACAGAGCTCTCTAGCCAAATTCCCAGGAGCATAAGAGTCTGCCTCTGTGAAATGATCATGGCTGTGAACCCTGGGGATAAAAAAATGACAATTTGAGGTTGGAAGGTCCTGGCTTATCTGCATGGTAACTATCATTAGCCTCTAAAAACAGGAAATCAAGAGCTATTATGGAAATTACCCTTTAAGAAATATTTTGTAGGGTCAGAGCAATAGTATAGCAAGTAAGGTAAGGTGGTTGCCTTTCACACAGCTAACCTGGGGTTGATTCCCAGCACTCCAGATAGTCCCCTGAGCCCTGCCAAGAGTGATCCTTGAGTACAGAGCCAGGAGTAAGCCAAGAGCATTGCTGAGTATGGCTCCAAAACAAAAACAAAAACAAAAAGAATTTCTTTTCAGACAAAGGGACTCTCCACTGAATGTGTTATCTCAAGATTCTTAGGACACTCAGAATGATGTCCTTAGTCCAGGGTGATGCAACTCAAAGAGGGGGGAAAGGTTGTAATCTATGAGAAAGGTAATTTCTACCACCTCCTTTATACCAGGCACTGTCCTTAGTTTATACTTGATTTACACTTTCTTCCCTTAATTTTGTAAAATAAAACTTTATTATTATCCCCAATGCACCAGTGAGGAGACTGAGACTCAGAGAGGTTCTATGACTTATCCCATCCTTCTGTGGGTAGTTCCAGAATATCTTCTTTCCATTCTGTTGTCTGTCAGTGTCTCAAAAGACATTAGAGGTCCTTAGTCTTCCCCCTCTTTTTACGCTTTTACTCACTATAATATCCTTTACCAAGGAGTCTTAGGTGTCTGCTTGATATCGCCTCAAACAGAGAACTCACCCCCACATAGTTTGGCCCATTTCGCTGTTGAGACAGCATCAATGTGGAGTGTCAATTCTTAATTTCTGTCATGAATAAAGGCAGAACACATGCAGAATGATTAAAATAGCAAAGAAAAGAATATATATGTATATATGTGTATATATACATAATGTCCTACTAGCTACTGCTTGTGGGTCCAAATCCTATTTCTTAGAATAACAGCAAGAAATACTAATATTAATTGAGCATCTAGTATGTTCTCATGGCCTTACATTTACTGCCTCAATTAACAGAAGGACTGCAAAGTTCAGAGAGGCAAAGTGCCCTGTTCAAAATAAAGTAGACAGTTCTGGGGTCGGAGAACAGGCATTTCGTTAGTGCATTCCCTTTATGTTAGCACAGATCTTCACTGCATTCTAAGACCTAAATGAGTAGGAATACATGATGCCCCACTACTTTTCTCACTTTTCTCCAGGAGGGCAGGACACTTCCTCAGGGAAGGGGCATCTTTGCAGCTCACTCTCCTTTCTGCTCTACCCTTTCTTTGTTCCTCCAACTCCAAACTCCAAGGGTTGCCATCATCACCCTAAATGGCTCAAGGGCAGGACTTCCCTGAACTGTGTCTCTCCATTCTTCCACATGGAGTCAGACTCTTCTACCCTCAACTTCAGGAAGTGATTCCCCAAGGAGGCCTTCTGAGTGTGAGAACACTCCAGTCATCTGTTTGAGACAGTGGACTAGAGCCCTTTGCTGGTATGAGGAGGCTCCAATTAGTTGAATAACAAAATGAACATAGTATCTCACATTCTGGACAACTTATCATGTGTCAGTTTAGTGGCACATTTGTAGTTTGACCTTCCCCCAACCCCCAACTCTCAGGAAATGATTGTGAAGTCCGTGGGCCCCACAAGGTGGCTTATGTGAGGTGGAGAGGAGAGAGATAGCCACTTTCTCCCCATCCATCATTGCTACCCTGGGACTCAAGCTGGAGCAAGGAATTGCTCTTTGCAAGAAAAGAAAGCCAGTTCTAGGCCTTACTCAGGCTTCACAGATCTTGTCCTATCTCACAGAAAAAAAATTTCAGAAATAAACTAGCAGTGACATAAAAACAGATTTTATTTGGAGACTCTTGAGGAAGGGGAAAAGGGTGAGAAAGGGAGAGAGAATAATGTACTTAAGAGAGAATGCGGACTTCTCCAAAGGCGAAGAGAGCCCCAGTAAACATCTCAAGAGGGGAGTTGCGGGCAACACATGTGCTCGAGAACTATCTGTTCTTGGCTATGTAAACACATGCAGCACCTGGGCTTGGGCAGCACATGTGTGCACTTCCTTTGTTCAAGTTGGCTTTGTAGGGTTTTCCCAGGCTGCCTGTGTGGGATTTCTAGCTAGGTAAGAGTCCATTGCTAGGTTGGATGCCAATGGGGTAGACTTGGGAGTGGTTGATGGTCCTCTTTGGAATTCCTTTCTTTGGCCTTTGTTCATCCTGCAGCTTCTCTTGGAGGGGGGTCCAGCCTTCTCTGGGTCTGTTGGTGAAGTCTTATTAGGCTCTCACAAGGTGGGCTCTTTGTAGGCTTGGAGCTATTGGTTTTATTACTTCCTAGAAATTTCATTTCTGACCTTTCTGCCTACTTCAGTTGGTATTCTTGTCCTTGGGAATAGGCGGGGGTGGGGGAGGGGTGTTTGCACTGAAGTGAGTTATCTGTATGTGGGAACAGGCAGACTTGGGCTGATCATGGGTTAGAGCTGGGCTTCAAAATCAACATAAACCAGATGCTCATAGATGTGTGACCTCAGAAACAGCCTCTATCTCTGAGCCTTTGTTTCCCATCTGTAAGATCATTTGGAGAAAGTAGTACTGTAGCACTGTCCTCCCGTTGTTCACTGAGAGACTTGTTGTTACTGTTTTGGGCATATTGAATACGCCACAGGGAGCTTGCCAGGCTCTGCCGTGTGGGTAGGATTGTTACTAGGTGAGGCCCCGGTTGTAGCTGCTGTGATCAACATAAATAATGTCAGTTTGGAGTGCCTGGCACAAGTAAGTAAAGAGGAAGGGAGAAATGACATTATTATTATGTAAGTTCTGCTCTAGGCCAGAGGTTTCCAAATTTATTTGGCCACTTTTTATGAAAAAAAATTACTCAGTAATCCCTGGGAATAAGCATAAAGGACTCCCAATTGTTCCCCAATTACTCCTTTCCCCTTGGTTTGTTCCAGTACCCCTTAAAGGGAGGTATCACCCTATTTGGGAAACACTGACCTAAGTGGACCTTATAATTCCTGTTCAAGTGGCATTCTGGTTGTTTCTGTGAAAATAGAGCTATCTGAAAAGCTTGTTGGGTTATTAGGATGCTTGTCTTTTGACATCTTCCCCCCATACCCCATCTTGGAAGGATGTGGAAACAGGTTGGATTCTGTGTGTGTGTGTGTGTGTGTGTGTGTGTGTGTGTGTGTGTGTATGCATTTTCTTTTAACTTATCTGAAAAACTCAAAGTTAAAGTTTCTGTTACTGTGTGACTTAATTTTTCTTCTTCCTTTCAGAAAGAAAATATTTGGACTGAAGAAGAAGAAGAATAAAGCAGAAAAGGGATTATTCCTAGCCAACAAGTCTGCCCAAGGTGAGGTTATATGTGTGTTAAGGGAGAGGTAGGGTGCATACCTCTTCCCTGGGGCCCTGCAGGCCTCACAGAATGGACTCCCTCTTGGATAGGGATGGGTTTCAATCTCTATGGAAGGGAAGCAGGAAATGTCCTCTGGCAAATCCTCAGTGTGAGCCCAACGTCACCCACTTCAGAGCACCTATTCATCTAGACATTGGGCAAATCAAGGGTGGGGCAGATTCCCACGAGACTATGGAGGCACCCCATGAAAGAACAATGATAGGGTTCAAACCTCCACTTATGTCCAAGTGGACCCTGTGATCAGTATCTCAGCCACTAACTCTCACACACTGAGAGTTGTCTATTGTCTGATAGAGATATATGGATATCTGAGGTCATCTCCATGGCCCTGAGAGAATCAAGGCATAAAAGAAAGGATGGCAGCTATGTCACATGTTGGTGAAGGGAGCCCAATGAATATTGGTGCCCCCAGCCCTACTGTCTGATAATCCAAGTGTTCCTGTGAAGATTTTTGTAAGCTCCAATGAAAAAAGAAAAATTACCATTAATTTACTTGGAAAATTCTTTGAGCTTTTATAGACACATGGAGACATTAGCTGGGCAGCACTGATGGCAGCCAGTTTGTTTTCTGGTCATTCCTAAACCAAAATGATGCAGTGGATTTGATTTCCTCTTCACCTCCCTCATTATCTTAGGGATGTGTGTGAGTGTGTGTGTGTGTGTGTGTGTGTGTGTGTGTGTGTGAGTGTGTGTCTGTGGTGGGAAGCATTCCTTGATATTTCCTGAAAACCTTATGCCCTCCCTAACGCCATTCCTTGTCCTCAGGAAAACCTGACCTTGTTAGTGGAAAATATGGAAACTAATTCACTAAACTTACTATTCGTATGTTGTTAGTTTCTATTCCAGTCATCCTTGTATAGAATAGAGAGTGTTGTGTTTTAAGGGGAGACAAAGCTTAACATTTAATACAAGTATTATTTGTTCTGTTACTTTGAAGATATCAGGGAGTGAGTGGAAAAGACTTTGCGTCTTTCCTGATCTCCCTGAAACTATGACCGAGTGGTAGGTCGTGGTGACCCAAGGTTGAAGAAAATACAGTTCCTTCCCTTAAGAACTTCGTGAAAAATGATATTTATGACATATTTAATAATCCTCTGGTGTTTTTAACTTGATATGCATCACTCGTGACTCTGTTATTTTTAGGGGGTGTTGGGTCACACCCAGCGGTGCCGAGGGGTTACTCCTGGCTCCACACTCAAGAATTACTCCTGTTGGTGCTCAAGGGACCATACGGGATGTTAGGAATGGAACCTGGGTTGGTTGCATGCAAGGCAAACACCCAGCTTGCTGTACTATTGCTCAAGCCCGGAGTCCATAGTCATTGTTTCAGAGTCATTTCTGAAATGTAGGGTTTTTTAGCCCTTGTTCTACAGCAGAAGTTGAAAGGAGCTGAGGAACTTTCTCAAAATCACACCAGACTCTTGAGTCTCATTAAATATTAATTTTTTTCCCTTTTTGGGTCACTCCCGGTGATGCTCAGGGGTTACTCCTGGTTCTGCACTCAGGAATTACTCCTGGTGGTGCTCAGGGGACCATATGGGATGCTGGGATTCGAACCTGGGTAGGCCGTGTGCAAGGCAAACGCCCTACCCACTGTGCTATCGCTCCAGCCCCGAGTCTGATTAAATCTTAAACTAGGATCTGGATTTTCCTACCAATGGGATTAGAAGGACCTTGTACTTTGCATCAAGCTCTGCTGTCACCATCATGCAACTCTTAATCATTTCTTAATGTCACTTGTTTTACATTGAGTCCTGCAAACTGAAGCTAGCCTCTCTTCCACTTTATTTAACTGTCTGTGCATTTAGGGCAGTGAGCCATGGGTATTTCCGAAGAGCTGGCTCTGTTGTCTCATTCTAATTAGAGTCTTCATCCCTTTAAAAGCAAACAGGGTGGAGAGGAGTCAAGTGCCTCCTAGAAAGTAAATATCATCCATTCTATAGCCAATAGCTGGCTCTGAAGGAGACTGACAATGTAAAGTCCAAAGAACTTAGAATCCTTTGGTCTATGCTTTATGGACTGACCTGGGAATTTAGGGTTCTACCAGGTAAAATGCCAGGCGAGTCTCAAAGTCTGTGCCTCTTATGTCTATATGTTTTTAGGTCTAGTATTAAGGCCTTAATTTATTAAAATTCCAGTGAACTTATCTATTATTTAGTTGCCCCAGAAATAGTTATTTGATATCTCCGGTTTTCATCTAACCATTCACTTTCTCAAGAGATATAGGAGTGCCCACTGGACTTTGAGTCTATTTGGGTTCTGAGTGGCGGAATGCTGGATGAATGATTGACAGACACTGGAGATTCTAGAACAACATCCCTGTGTGGATTTCTTTCATTTGCTTCTCCAGATCTATTCTCCAACTATCCCCCTGTTCCTTCTCCCAGGAGGCTGATCTCTTTGGGTGCAAGTCTTTTACCCAACGGGGCATCCTAGTAGGAGTTCTGAGGGGGGATGGCGAAGTCAGGGGGTAGAGTGTGTCCCTCAAATGAAAGATGGTTGCTGCTCCTCTCAGGGAAGTCTACTGACTCCAACTTCCTCTCTATCCAGATTTCGATAAGAGGTCTCTCTTCTCATTGGGTGGGGAAGGGGCTCAGGGAAGGAATAGCTTGGCTGCCTGGCACATTAGTCAGCTAAGTAGGTGTCCTGGTTTTTCTAACCCACATCTTTGTAAAGTCCTCCAATCCTGTTCTGAATGGGCCATCGGCTACCTATTCTATCTATCTATTCTGTTGGATGAAAACACCATCTCCCAAGCTGAGAAGGGAAAACCTGTGGAATCAATTTATTATCTGCACATGGAAAAAATTTTAAACCCTTGTAGTTTGATTTCCTATCACAAGTGACTTATAATATTTCTGAAAAAAAATCATCACAAACTGGGTGATTTCAAACAATCCAGATTTTTTTGCTTTCAATAGTGATGGAAGCAAGAAATTTATAATAACTCCCTGGGTCAGGAACTGGTGGTTGGTCATGCTTCCTTCCCTCAGAAGAATCTGTTTCCTGCCTCTTCCATCTCCTGATCGTTGAACACGAAGTTATTTGGTTGTGGCAATATTTAGCCCCGGCTCTTTTTGCTGCTCACAAGGCATTCCTCTTTACTTCTGTGAACTCCCCTTCTAAGAATACATATGAGATGCATGTCGAAAGTAGACTATGGACTGAACATGTTTGCCACTCAATGCCTCTTTTGCAGACCACAACACCCAAAAGGAGAGAGAGAACACAGGGGATTGCCCTGCCACAGAGACAGGGGGGATGGGGGGAAGGGGGTGGGAAGGATATTATCCATGGTGGTGGAAAATGGGCACTGGTGGAGGGATGGGTATCTGATCATTGTATAATTGAAACCAAAGCACAAAAAATTGTAAATCTACAACTGTAAAAAAAATAAAATAAAGGGAAAAAAAGAATACATATGATCACTGTGAGCATGCAGTGCTGTAATCCAGGGTAATTGCCCCCTATTCACGTTATTAATAATATCTGCAAAAATCCCACTTTCAGATGAGGTCATAATTCAGGTACCTAGGACCTTGGACCCACTAACATTCGGAAACATTATTTGTCCCATTACAATTTACTACTCAAAATTGGCCCTCACACAACCCAGATGAAGAAAACCAAAGGCTCACCCAGAAAATGGTGAACTCCTCAGCAAAGGAGAAGCTACAGAAGAATGTATTAGGTTATAAAGGAACCATCAATGGTGCAAGGCTCTCCTTGTCCAGATGAATTTTTCTGTATTCAAGGCTCCAGGAAAAAACATTTGAGAGAATTGTATACAAGTTCCTCCCAAAAGCTATTTCAGGGCTGGCACCTCAAACCTGTGTTCTCCCACAAACACATACCTCACTTTTTAATCTCCACTCTGGAGAAGTCCATTTCTCTTTGAACACATATTCCTCTTTTTCTCCTGTTACACTGACTAAGCAAGTTTCATTCATTAAAAACTATCTTGCTTCACACACACAAAAACAAACAAACAAACAAAATTGGCCTTCAGTGGAGTGGGTATAGAAGAAGGCAAATGACAAATGGGGAGAAAGAGGTTCTGTTGGTGGTAATTTGAGTGTGTTTCATTGATGCTGTGTCATCCCAGGAGCCAGGAATTGGGTGCTTATTTTTTGACCAATTATAAATACCAAGTCAATAAAAGCCAATGTAGCATGTAAGAGAATGGGTTCTCAGATAGCAGAAATAGACTCGCCTGGGAATTTGTGGCTGCAAATGCAGAATGGAGGGCCCATCCCGGCATTCTTAAATTGCAATCTGCATTTCAGAAGCATCCCAAGTGACTCTTCTGCATGCTGAATTTTGCTAATGAAGTTCATAGGGACTGAAATACTTGCCAAAAGTCTTACTGAAATAAGGCTGAGCCTTGTAAGAAAATCTTTAAATTTTGTTCTGTTTGTTTCTGGACCTCACTCAGCGATACTCAAGGATTACTCCTGGTTCTGCACTCAGAAATCACTCACTCCTTGGCCATGCTCCAGAGAACCCTATGGGATACTGGGATTGAACCTGGGTTCTTATCTACTGTAGTATCTCTCTGGCCCTGTAGATGTATAAATCCAGTTTTCTTTCTACAATGCCAAGCAAATAAATGCAGAAGGTTTTTGTTTTGGTTTGTTTTTTAGGCTACACTCAGCAGTGGTCAGAACTTACTCCTGGCTCTGTGCTCAGGGATCATTCCTGGTGGTGCTGAAGAGATTGTATATATTTGATCCTGGGTGGGTGACATGCAAGGCAAATATCATGTCCACTGTACTATTGCTCCAGCCCCACAATATGCATTTTTTAAAAGAAAAATTATTACTTATATCACTTATCATCCCGTTGCTCATCGATTTGCTTGAGCAGGCACCAGTAATGTCTCCATCCGTTCCTGTAATGTGCTAGTTTACCCCAATGGTGTCTGCTCGCTCCAGGAAGACGAATAGCATCAAACCATTCGTTCAGGATCTTGATGAAGAAGTCCAACCATCTCATAGAAAAATTAAGATAGTTTTAATCTACCTTAATAGATTTAAGTTTTTATTTATTTGACAAAAAAAGACATTATACTTGACTTTTCTGTCTGGTAGGAACAGTTCTATGTGGCCTTATCCCATGCCAAGCAGAGTCAGGGCTCAGTCAGTGTAGGTCCTGCCTATAACATTTCTTTTCCTTTGTTTGCTTCTTCTTTAGGTGGCCAAAGTGAAGCAGAAGCCCCTCAAGAAGGTCCTTCTCAGCAGGAAGGACCAAGAGCAGATTCTACTTATGATGATGCCTCTGTCCCGCCTGCCCCTTCAGCCCCTCCAAAGAGAAGGTACAGTGTTGGTTCATGCAGCCAGTACACACTCAGGGAGAGTCTTCATTTGTGGGGACGCCGTTAGGCTCTGGGAGAGAGAAGAACACCAAGACACTCTCTCCAAGATCCAAAGGTCCAGATAGGAAGACAGAGTCTCTGGCCCTTCTTCTATTTACATGGCAGTGCTGGTCTTTTCAGACCTATCAACTGTCGTTCCTAGTTCTCTAAGCTCTGAGTCTTAAATCCCCTGACTTAAGTCCCTCATAGCAAGAAAAGATAGATTTGGAAGCTGTTGCTCCCCTGCTCTTTTATTCACCAAAGCGCAAGATATTTTAGCATTGTTTGTCCCAAATAAGATGACAGTTCTCATACTGTGCAGAAAACAATAGCTTTCTGTGTATAGTTTACTGTATTGGTTAGTTTCTGATAATTTACATACACAATTGCTTAAAATAATAAGCATTTATGGTGACTGAAGAAACTATGATTCATAGTTAGATAGTTTTATTGAAGCCATGTTGCCACAGATATGTCATTGATGTGACTGTCAACTTGGTAACATGACTGATTTTTAGTTTAAGGATTTCCTGGTGAGAGAGGTTGGTCTAGAATGACTTTAACTGGTGTTGGTACAAGAGTGGAGACAGCAGGTCTCTGTTCTCCTGCCCGTGATTTCTTTCTTCTACTCAGAGCTGTTACTAAGGATAAAGAAAATTAGGATTCACTGAGTGGCAGATCCTGGTTTGTTACACTGGACTCTTGGAAAATGACAGTGTATTTATATAAAGGGGAAGGGGGTATAGGAGGCAGGTGGAAATCAGAGGGGAGAGCTCAGAGGCCATCCCTGAATACATGGAAATATTTACTTCAAGATCTTCCCCTACAATGTACCGAGGCAACCACCCGCAAGCCCCTGAATGGGAATTTCAATTATTTTTATCCTTCAAGGGATCCCTTCCCAGTAATTTTATTAAGACAATAGCACTGACAGGGGAAGCAAGAGAGCAAGGAGGAGTAGCTGTTTTTCTTTCTCTTAGGTCAGCACTTTATCCATCAGTTGACTATTAAACAAATTAAAGCTGAATTCAAAACTGACCTTTGCAAGAAGATTTTGTTGTTTGTTCTTGTCTCAGGGATTTTCTCTTCTCTGAACTTCTATTGTTTTTTTTTTTCTATGACACATTTAACACTTGTTAGTCTCTCTTTATATGCGATGTCTTTTCCCTCAGGTAGTTAATTCTATAAAGGCCAAAAATGATGACTTAATTCATCCTCAGTTTTTTTTTTCTGAGACTAGTGGAGTTTTGGCATATTAAATGAGTGACACAAATTTGGCATTTTACTTTTTGATGTCTATATTTTCCTATATGCATTTATCTCCCTTAATCCTCAGAGCCGCCCTGTGTGGTAGACATTATAATTTCACCTTCAAGAGAGGAAATTAAGGCTAATGGCAAAAAATTCTAATTTGAATCCATCAAACTTCAAAGACTGGAACTTTTATCAGTTTTCTCTGTATCTACTAGATTGGATTGTAATCAGCAGAAAGGGAATGACGTCGAATGCAGGATGGTACTGTTAGAAGACAATAGGGCAATCCAATAGTATCTCAGGCTCAATTCATTTCATACCTGCCGCTGCTACTATGGCAACAGGGATTTTTCATCTCCCCCTTTAATCTGATTTCTAAATGCCCAGGTGTTACACATCCGTTTTCAATTATGTAAGGTAATCCAGACAAGTGAAGTCTCATGAAATGTGAAAACTTAGTGAGAAGCCTTGTTGGTCAGTTCTTCCAATTTTCTCTTTTTTTTATCAATTCTCTCCAAAGCACCTATGGAATTCAGACTTGTTATAGCTACTAGAAATAGCAATGTGATTATCTCAATAGAATCAGACAGAAGAAGGAAGAAATTTTGTCACTGCCATGCTGAAACCTCTCAGATTTTAGTTCTGTGAAGTTAAAAAAAAAGGCATGAACCTAATAATCATACTGGTATTAAAAGTTGATATTTCGTTCTGCCAGACTTGGGTAAAACTTTGACATGAATACATCATAAATTGTAACAATCATCTCTTGTTAGGTAAGTGCTATTAGTTTTTTTTCTTTTTTGCATTTTGGGTCATACCCAGCGATGCTCATGGGGTTACTCCTGGCTCTGCACAGAGGATTTATTCCTGGCAGTGCTTGGGGGACCATATGGGATACTGGGGATCAAACCCAGGTTGGCCACATGCAAGGCAAATGCCCTACCCTCTGTACTATCGCTCCGGCCCCTTATGCACTATTAATTCCATTTGTAAGTGATTAGGAAGTAGGGAAACTAAGTCATGCAAACTAGGTCATTTTGCATTTGTTCTTATTTCTCCCAGAGATGCAGAGAATACATGATATGAACAAAAGCTAGGGGGGGATGGGGGGATGGGGGTGGGAGGGATATTATCCATTTATCCATGGTGGTGAAAAACGGGCACTGGTGGAGGGATGGGTATCTGATCATTGTATAATTGAAACCCAAGCACAAAAAATTGTAAATCTACAACTGTAAAAAAAAATAAAAATAAAAAAAAATAAAAAGAAATTTAAAAAAATTAAAAAAATTGCCAGGGAAAATATAAACAGAGACTATGGATTTGGTATATGTTCTTAACTTGATGAGACATATTGCTTTCTCTTAATAGGTCCAAACTGTTAACTAAGATTCATGATGGGGAAGTCAGATCCCAAAATTATCAAGTAAGTTACTGACACCTCCTTGCACCCAGTTCTTCTTGTGTGAAAACACAGGGGGGACCCAGAGTGGCTGATTTGTGTTGTATGCAGATCTCCATAACCATCACGGAGGCCCGCCAGCTGGTGGGTGAGAACATTGACCCTGTGGTGATCATCGAAGTTGGGGATGAGAAGAAGCAGAGCACAGTGAAGGAAGGCACCAACAGCCCCTTTTACAACGAAGTAAGTCTTAGAGGCCACCAATACCTTCTTCCTCAACACTGTCTTCACTCTGTGCTCTTCTCGGTCTAATAGAAAACTATGACTGTTTCCTGTTTTTTGTTTTAAGCCCATGGGTAACTCCCTGAGTCTTCTCATCAACAGTCCAATGGCATCTAACAAAATAATCATGAAAAAGGATGGAAGAAATTCTTCCTCAAGGCGGGAGGTGTAGTGCAGTGGGTAATGTGTTTGGCTTGCATGCAGCTGACTCAGGCTACATACCTGACACCCTTTTCAGTTCCCATAGCCTGAGCTCAGCAATAGTTTCCTAACCACAGAGCAAGAAGTAAGCCCTGAGCACAGCCATGAGAGGCCCCAAAGACAAGAAAGAAAGAAAGAAAGAAAGAAAGAAAGAAAGAAAGAAAGAAAGAAAGAAAGAAAGAAGAAGAGAGGGAGGGAGGGAGGGAGGGAGGGAGGGAGGAAGGAAGGAAGGAAGGAAGGAAGGAAGGAAGGAAGGAAGGAAGGAAGGAAGGAAGGAAGGGAGAAGGGAGGAAAGAGAGAAAGAAAGAGAGAAGGGAAGGAAGGAAGGAAGGAAGGAGAGAGAAAGAGAGAGAAAGAGAGAGAGAAGGAAGGAAAGAGAGAAAGAGAGAAAGGAACAGAGGAAGGAAGGAAGGAAGGAAGGAAGAAAGAAAGAAAGAAAGAAAGAAAGAAAGAAAGAAAGAAGAAAGAGAAGGAAGGAAAGAGAGAAAGAAAGAGAGAAAGGGAGGGAGGAAGGAAGGAAGGAAGAAAGAGAGAAGGAAGGAAAGAAAGAAAGAAAGAGAGAAAGGGAGGGAGGAGGAAGGAAGGAAGGAAGGAAGGAAGGAAGGAATTTCTTCTGATTTAAAATTTACTGACATATTTCCAATAGGCCTCTTTCTCTCATTTCTTATAAGCTCATCTTCATCTCTTATAAACTCTGGGTTTATAGTTAATAAATCTGTGGTATGTTGGTTAGAGAGGAGATAACGAGATTTTTGCATATCAGAGACAAAGGGTATTTAATTATTATTTTTTAAACAGGCATGCTGTATTGGGAAGTATAACAGTCATTTATTTAAATGGTATAAAAACTTGCTTGTAAGGTAAAACATCAAAGAGATATAAAATACTCAACACACGTACATTTTCTTTTTAAAATCAAACTACTGGGGTTGGAGCAATAGTGAAGCAGGTAGGTGTTTTCCCTTGCATGCAGCCAACTCACGTTAGAACCCCACCATCCTTTATGACCCCCCCAGCATCACCAGGAGTAACTGCTGAGCACAGAGCCTGGAGCAACCCCTGAGTATGACTGGTTATGACCAAAGTCCCTCCTATCTCCAAAAATAAAATTAAAAGACTACACAGTTAAAATGTTAAAAAAGTGTATCTACAATGAGTATAAAATGACAAATAGTCATTGTCAATGTGCTCTTCTGATCTTGAATCCAAATCCTTCCTGGATGCAGTCATTTCTTACTAGGATGCAGTAAATTCCCCTTCTTGGATGCAGTCATTCTTACTAGGAGTTTGTGTGTTTCTCCAGAGATAGTGTAGATTTGTATTAGGATCAAGGGGTTAGGAAGATAGGACAAGTAGAGCTCATGCTTTGCATGTTGGAACCCTGGGTTTGATCCCCATCACTGCCTGGCATCGAAGCACCAGTGGGAGTGATTTCTGAGTATCACTGGTTATGGCTTTAAAAAACAAAACAAAACCTCAAAGAACCAAACACAAGCAAAACGAAAAAAAGCAAAACAAAATAAATATTGAGCCAAAAGGTAGCATTGTAAGCACACTATCTTGGAAGTTAATCTTTTTCACTATGACAATAGCATAACTTGGAGATTAGTCTACTAGTCTATTTCTTAATATAATATATATGTATGTTCTGAGATATGTGTGTGTGTCTTTTAGAGCATACCTCTCCATTTTATTCTCACCTCATTACAGTAGAGTTGTATTATGTTCCTCTCCCACCCAATTTCCTAAACTGGTCAATCTCTGATGGATGAATATTTTAGTAATTGTCCTCTACCTATAAAATATTATACTAATATTTATCTTGCTAAATGGGGCAGAAAGGATACATACGTAAAATTTTGATGTAGCCCAGTTTCTCTCCAACGAGTTAAAAAATTAAATTCCACCCAACAGTAGTGTCTAAGAGTTTTTGTTTTCCCATAGGCACTTGTCACCATGAATAATCAAAAATGCAGTAAACTCTTCATTATTTTCCTAATGGGAGTGGTAATTGAAAAAGAAGGCAAGGAGAGCATAAGTAATGAAATCACCAGAAAGTAGGAGTCCCACTTGAACTGTTAATGTCTTTTCTCTTTATCACTCTGCCTCTGAGCCTTTGGCTAGGCATAAAAGTGACTGTTTTCTCCTTCCTGTGTTACTCTCCACTTATTGCTACATCTTCTGCCATGGGTTAAATGATGTCCACGAAAATGCTTTAAACTGCAAACCTCTATAGACTCATAATTAGTATAATTAGCATTCGCTTTATGCACCTAAGTCCTGAATTGAAAAGATATTAAACTCTACCAAATGGAATCAGCAGCAAAACCAAGAAAAAATGTCAAAACTGAAGGAACGATTTTTGTCACAGTGGAAATAAAAATGCTTTTCCAAACCTATGACTTCTCAGATGTTGACAGAACCAATTAAAACCCTGAGTAGCATTGACAAGAATTTTAAGAAATGACCATTTTCACATCCTGTCACTGGAAATGTAAGATAGCATATGCTCTTTGAAAAGAAATTTCATATTACCTACTAAAGGCACATAGTTATGAACCAACATCTTCACTTCTCAGCTTTTTTTTATTGCTTTTTTGCTTTTTGGGTCACACCCAGCGATGCTCAGCGGTTACTCCTAGCTCTGCATTCAGGAATTACTCCTGGTGGTGCTCGGGGAACCATATGGGATGCTGGGAATTGAACCTGGGTTGGCCACGTGCAAGGCAAATGCCCTACCTGTTGTACTATTGCTCCAGCCCCTCAGATCCATTTTAAAAGAAAACTTACATAGGTTCTGTGCCAGTGTATGCATATGTTTTCTTCCAACACCCAAAAGGAGAGAGAGAACAGAGGGGAATGCCCTGCCACATAGGCAGGGTGGAATGGGGAGGATGGGGGGTGGGAGGGATACTGGGATCCGTGGTGGTGGGAAATGGGCACTAGTCGAGGGATGGGTATTTGATCATTGTATAATTGAAACCCAAGCACAAAATTTGTAAGTCTACAACTGTACTTCATGGTGTCTCACTAATAAAATTTTTTTAAAAAATTAGAAATCAGTTAAATAGTTTTCAGAGGAGGATGGTCAATCAATGAATGAGACAGTCATGCTGTGACTCATTGTGTAACAACTAGAATAAAAGAGGTCTAGACTGAGGGTTCTTGGATAGAAGTCTGGAATGCAAGATCTGAATGAACTAAATGTTTTTCAGTACTTTGTCTTCGATTTCATTGGACCCCAAGTGCATCTTTTCGACAAGATCATCAAAATCTCAGTAAGTACATCATTAGAGGGTACGGATTAGAGGGATTCCAGGCAATAGGAATTCTCTGAATGGCTCAGCCTACTAGGAATGAAAAGACTTAGGAGGGTAATTGCAAGTGGGGGAGTTTGAAACCAATAGGATAGAATCTGAAATAAACAGTGCCAAGGAGTTTGGGAAACAAATCTACTAAAGAAAATCTCTGCTTCTTGGAAGCAAGAAAGTTACTATCAAACCATCCTGAAGAAAATCTCTGCTTTGAAGCACTTTGTAAGGTATTAACAAAGCATCCTAAAATGTTCTAATGTGGGAAGGTAAAATATATGCTTCAAATGACATTTTAAAGCCTTGTCATTTTGAGGCTTCCTTCTTTTTATAAGCAGATGTTTTCCTTCTTTTTATAAGCAGATGTTAGTGTTTCTCTCTTGTAGAAATGTGATATCTATGTGAACGATAATTAATCACATCCTTTTCCCTTCCTGTTTGGATACAAGCAGACAGGAAAAATAATTATTAAAGAACCAAATATACTAGTAACATTGAATCAGAGTCTGATTCAAAGCACATAGTTGTCATTCACCTTCTCCTAGTATAGACCCCAGGAACTCACAGGGTGGAGTCTGCACAGACTCTTCCTCAGCCTTGCTCAGTGAATTCCTGCCTCCACAGAGCAAGTCTGAGGAGTGGAAAACAGAGAAAGCTTCCTGGTCTGTCTGGGGGGTCTTAGCCAGGTGGGCCACCTCACAGAGGACAGGAACAGGCAGGAAAGTGCCACTGTTGAAGCTGCATTTGTCCAACCGAGACAAGGCAAATGGGATCTTATCAATCTCACAGCCCTTGGTAAGAGAAAAGAGAATATGGATGGCAATTTACATCTATCTCTCCAGTCTGGGGATTTATTGCTTTTCCATGGAGAGGAGGCAAGCTGGTGAAGTACAGGGTCTGGGGAAAGTTCTCCCTTCTCAACAGTCCTGAAAGAACTGAACTGTGACATGGGCGGAAGAACATGTCTTCTCAACAGTGACACCAGTTCACGTTAGATCTGTAAGACATGTCTTAGCGAAGACCCTGCCTGTCCTACCCTCTCAATTTCTGTCTTATAAATCACCATCACTGTCTTCCCGTTGTTCATCGATTTACTTGAGCAGGCCCAGCAATGTCTCCATTGTGACACTTGTTACTGTGTTTGACATATTGAATACATCATGGTTAGCTTGCCAGCCTTGCCGTGCAGGCACAACACTCTAGGTAGCTTGCCAGGCTCTCTGAGAGGGGGAAAGGAATCGAACCTGGGTTGGCCAGGTTGTCAGTGTGCAAGGCAAATGCCCTATCCGCCGTGCTATTGTTCCAACCCATACCTTTATATTATTTTATAATTCACCCAATATCGTTAGATATTACATATATTATAGAAAATATGACATATAATCTAAGTTTATAAAGTTATATATAATATCTAGGTTGTATTATATAACCTCTAACTATACCAAACTACAGATATCCTTACATCATATATATTTTTGAGATTGTATTTATTTAGTTCTCTCTATACCTAAATTATAGAAAGAACACAATCTATGAAAGTCCTGCAAGAAGATGTAGGTACAAATAGAATTATAATATCTATAAAAACTTTCCTAGGGGCGCTTGTGGAATGTGACTCTTGAAGAATGAAAAGTTGTCAAGAGCCCCACATTCTTCATGTTTGAATCTCAGTCATGATGACAGGTGGTACAGAATATATTTTGGGCCCTGGGACACTCCTAGGATGCCGTCACATTGTGTAGCTCAGGCAGCCACCTGTCTGAGTACTAGTCAGTTTAGCTCCTAAGGGATGACTGAGCTTCCAGATAACAGTATTAGCTGGTTTTCATATTGTGCCACTGGCAAGTCATGACTGTCCACAGGTCAAATAAATTATTAGGCAAAGCATCAAAGCTGGTGTTGCCTTTTTCACTTTAACTTGGAAGAAGAGGAGCTTGTTTCTCTCTGGAACACCTTCATGGATAGAGACTAGAGGAGCAGCTTGATACAAGCTTTCTGTTAGTCCATGAACTGAAAGTTTTCTCAGAAAAATTCAATACAGGGTAAGGGAGAGGAAGTGTGATAAGCTGATGACACTGGAATAGTCAGTATATAAGGGATTGATAGTGTGAAAATTATCTTCCCTGGTCAGAGGCCCCAGAGCCCAGGCCCCAGGCTCTGTACATGAGATGCACTGGAGTTCCTGTAACTTAATGCTCCACCCCTCTGGGCTGCCTGACATGCTCACGGGATGAATGACTCCTGTGTTATTTAAAGATATTTGAGTTCTGCCTCCTGTCTCATCCACAGGGACAGATGAGAAGAGAGCTGGAGTCAGGCTGTGTTCTCACTCAGTCCTTGGGAAATGGTGTGAATAACTGCAAACAGTGGGTGGGGGTTGGTGCGAGCTATGTGTGGCCTTAAGTATCTCTGCTCAAGTCAAGTTGTCCTTACTTCTCAGCTTCCTACTCCCTTGCCACATAGTCAAAGGAGAAGACTAGAGAGTGAAGAGAGATGTCATTTCTTGAAGTTAATTGAATTTATTGTCTTTTATTTTCTCTGACAAAAGTAACTGGTAGATGGTATTTCGAGTTACAAAAATATTCATCCATCATTCAATTGGCCGATCATTTGCCACTCCACTGAATGTTTATTGAGCACCTGTTTTGAACACAGGCTGTGTAGTGAGTAGAGTAAAGTAGGAGACTAACCTTGGCTCAAGGAACTCATCAAATTTTGTAGTTAGAAGAAAGGTCGCTACCATCCAGCTGGGGCCAGAATTCCTTTCAACCATCTCCATGACTTAGGATTTCTGGGAACGACATAGTTATATACTGGGATGCTCTCTCAGAGAGCCCATTCCATTACTTGGAAGTTTTGTTATAAATATTCACCTTCTGGTGATCTGAAATCTCTTCCTGGTGACTTGGGAACCTACTCTCTTCTAGACGTTAGAGTTTCCAAAGTTAGAGGACATTCAAATTACCATGCATTCTTCCAACAAAACCCCAGTGTTATTATTTTTTTTCTGAATGAAAGTTTGTATGCTCCTGATTCTTCAGCACTTACTTACAGAATCATGTAACTTCTGGATCTGACACCAACTCACTATCTTTATCAGAATGTCTCTATCTTCACAGCATTAACCTCTAAATACACCGCAGTAACTAGATAGCACTCTATTCATTTTTAATATGATGGAATATTAAGGATGGACATAAAATTGTGCTGAATGTTACATGTGATCAAAACTTCTCAAGGCAAAATATGATAAATGATCTGATAAAGTTGTGAGCAAAGTGTTGTGGGTGTTTAGGAGACAAAGGGAAACTTCCTGCTACGAAGTATCAGTTAAGGCTGCTTGGAGAATGTAGCACTTATTCAAGACATCAAAATATGAGCAGCACTCGAGTTTTTGATTAAATGACAGAACAGCACAAAGCAGAAAGCATTTTAGGCACAAAATTTGTGAGGCATTCTTCAAGATGGATTAGCTGAAAACCTGCTAGAAGGAAATAGAAGTAGTACCACTAATATTCTTTACTGCTCTGCAGTTTGGTAACCAAATAACATAGTGTTTTAGACAAAAGGGCAGACAAGTGTCAAGGTCTAGAAACATCTTTGAAGCATTTAAACCCATTTCAAAGATTTTCCTCATGGAGCAGGCTGCTGGGCTTACTAGTCCATCTGCCCTCAGGTCTTTCATCATAAGCTGATTGGAAGTGTGCTGATTGGCTCCTTCAAAGTAGACCTGGGGACTGTGTACAACCAGCCTGGTAAGTAGCATCATTTCTCAACCTCTCTCTCTCACTTGCCTCTGATTTCCTTCATCTGGAAGTCAACTAATAACTGACTTATTCATTTCACCATTCCTTCAGCATTGAGTACTAATTATGCAAGACTGATAATAAATAGCCCTTTTCTTCAAAATGACATCACTGTCACTGTCACTGTCCTCCCATTGTTCATCGATTTGCTTGAGCGGGCCCAGTAACATCTCCATTTTGAGACTTGTTGTTACTGTGTTTGGCATATTGAATATGTCACGGGTAGCTTGCCAGGCTTTGTCGCGTGGGTGAGATACTCTCAGTAGCTCGCCAGGCTTTCCGAGAGGGGTGGAGGAATCAAACCCAGCTCGGCCAGGCTTGCTATGCACAAGGCAAACACGCTACCACTGTGCTATTGCTCCAGCCCATCAAATGATAAAATAATCTGTATGTTCATAGGCTGGAGAATCTTTTTTCATTCCTACTAATTCTATCTAAATAGGTGTTGTGAACATAAACATGACAGAGTATACAATGCCTCTTTTGCTGATCACAACACCCAAAAGGAAAGAGAACAAAAGGGAATGCCTGCCACAGTGGCAGGGGGGGATGGGGGGATGGGGGGGGAGGAATATAATCCTGATGATGGAAAATGGGCACTGGTGGAGGGATGGGTATTTGATCATGGTATGACCGAAATCCAAGCACAAAAATTTGTAAATCTACAACTGTACCTCATGGTGTTTCACTAATAAAATAAATAAATAAATAAAACATGACAGAGTATAGAAGTTCAGAAAGAATACATAAATATTCAGTTCTGGTCCTGTAAAAGTGGAGATAAAATAGTGTCCTTCATTCACAGGAAGGAAAATGAAGTTGGGGATTAAATTCATAAATATACATGAAGTGTTTAATAGAGAACTCAGTATAAAATAATTGACATACAATCTATGTTTTCTATGGCAATACTTATTAGCCTTGAGTTGTAGAAACGTGAAACTCAGAGAATCTAAAAATGTGTTCAAGGTCAAGAGTAATTAAGTAGCAGAGTAGCAGAGTCAACAGCAACATAGGTCTTCCCTATAAGACCCTTTTATCTTAAACAGTAATTCTAACTCAGAGGACCCCTAGGGGATGGCCAGGAAATAGACATGAAAGGACAGAGGGCTGGGTTTGATCCATTAATGCAGGCTGGAAGATTCAGGAAACAGGAGAACTCAGTACCCATATGAAAGGAGTGAGATCTACTCAGTTATTTTTCCACTAGCTGATGTGGAAATGTGTACTGTTAAATATAGTACATTTTTAAAAAGAAGCTAGAAACCTAGAATTTATGAGAGCTTTTGAAGTTTGGGCTCACAGTTAAGACCACACAAAAAGATTCAAAGCTACATTTATGATCTCTGCAATACTGCAATACAACGACTTCTCTCTCCGCAGTGTCCTTCTATTGAGTCAAAACTCAAATCCTGTCTAGTGATTGCCCACAATGTTGAATGTCTCCCAAAGATCTCTGGGAAGTAAGATAAAAAAGAAATACAGGGGCTGGAGCAATAGCACAGCGACTAGAGTGTTTGCCTTGCACGTGGCCAACCTGGGTTTGATTCCCAGTATCCCATATCATATGATCCCCTGAACACTGCCAGGGGTAATTCCTGAGTGTAGAGCCTGTAGTAACCCCTGTGCATTGCTGGTTGTGACCCACCCAAAAAGTAAAAAAAAAAAAAAAAAAGAAAGAAATACATAAAATAGATAGAGGCGGAGGAGAGAAAGAAATGAGGAAACAGACAGAGACCCAGCAAGTGAGACAGAGAGAGCACAAGACCTAAAAGTAATCACACTGAGCTAGTCTCCCTCGGGGCGGTAGAGTGAAGGAGCCTTGGGTATGGAGAGATTGTGTGCAGCTGTGTGGGGTATCTGAACTGTCAAGATGCTTTTTCAGGTCATCAGTTCTGTGACAAGTGGGCCCTGCTCACAGACCCTGGCGACATCAGGACTGGCACCAAGGGGTACTTGAAGTGTGACATCAGTGTGACGGGGAAAGGCGACATCTTGAAGACCAGCCCCAAAATCTCCGATGCTGAAGAGCAAATAGAAAAGTGAGACTGGTCCTCCCTGGGCACGTGAGAAAAATGATATGGCCCCGTGTCAGTGTGTCTTTCTCCTCCCTTTTCCTATGAGCACAAAAGAATGGCCAAGTTCATGGCATTTTCCCCAGGGATTCAGTTCTGGCAGACACCGAGATGTGTCATCTAAAGGAGTGTTTCTCAACGAGGGCCAGCGGGGCTTTCCTGTCAGCCTCAGGATATTCCAAGGGGGTCACAGGTAGAAATCATGTAAACAGGGTGCTGTAGCATGAATCTTGGAGCCATCTAAGCAGGTTTGGAGAGTCTTAGGAAAGAAACAAGTTGGAAAGGGGCCATGTAGGGACAAAAGTTGAGAAGCAGTGGTCTGGAAGATGGGGCCATCGCTGGGAAGGTCAAATTCTCAGATAGGCACATAAGTGATTCCTGAACTGATTTGATGTATCTGAACATGATGGAATTTTCTTTGAAGCTTTAATTTTAGCGACTGACTTAAAAAGTAGGAAAACTCTCATGTACCTTTTTAAAGGTGCACAGTGGGGGACAGAGTTTATCCTCAGGACCTGAATGAGCTTACTCTCACTCTGTGCCATTTGTTCTCATTTATGCCAGAAAGAAAATTCACTTTGGTGAGGAGCCCCAATGTTTTCATACTTTTCTCATATGGCAGGGTCCTTCTCTCTAATTCCAAATTGCTTCAATTTTGTGTCAATCATCTTGAGTGAAGTCGGCTTTATTCCTCTTTTTTTTTCTCTCCTTTAGGAATCTTTTAATTCCCCAAGGATTTCCATCAGAGAGACCCTGGGCCAGATTCTATGTAAGACTCTACAAAGCCGAGGGGCTGCCCAAAATGAACTCCAGCATCATGGCGAATGTCACCAAAGCATTTGTGGGCGACAGTAAGGACCTCGTGGACCCATTCGTGGAGGTCTCCTTTGCAGGGCAGACGGTGAGAAACCATTGTCACCTAAGAACCTGGGTGAAAGCCCCAATTCTCGCCGAGGGCTTTCTTGTCAGATGAAGTGAAGTTAAAATCCATATTAAGATGTGCCTTGGAAAAGAATGGAAGTCTCAATGCAGACTGTGCTCACTTGCTTACCATGAGACCAGAGACAGGGGCCATGAGTGTGTCAGAGCATAGACTCAAGGCAGTCTGAAGTGCTCAACTCTGGGCACTTCTCTGAGCTGTCACCCTGCCCCAGGCTGAAGGGAGAGTCACCATCCCTTCCCAATAAGCTTTACAGTGTTCCCCAAAAGTTCTATCCTATGCAGTCCTGGTCCTCTCTGTTCTGGCTGGTCTATGCTCCGGACCACAACCTGGGTACATGACCAGAGAGTGATCCTGATGTCCAGACTTTGCAGCTAAAGAACTAATACATTGGTTAGGACTTTCATGCAGCTACTCGGTTTGATCTCTGGCTCTGCTTATGATCTCTGGAGCGCAGAACCAAGAGTAGCCCCTGAGCATCACTAGTTGTGACCTAATGCCTCTTACCTCCGTCACCCCCTAAAAATTCTCCTCTCTCACCCCTCTGCTTGGCAGGGTGAGTATTAGAATATTTTGACTTGGATTACTATGATAGTCATATAGGGCATCACCTCTATTTGCTAATGAGGAAGCTGAGGTCCTGGCTAGGGAAGTGATTTGCAGAGGATCCTACTTTTATAAAACTTGGAGTCAAGGTGTAATACTTCCTGCTGCATTCCTGGAGAGGTCCGGAAAAATGGCTAATTCCAGCAACGTCTGTTTCACACCATTTACTGTGTGATGATGTGAGCCTTCCAGCCAACAGAACCTTACTCACCTTTGTCCTGGTGCCTGGCCTGATGTCTGCTGTAGAGCAGGCCATCGCCAGTGGTTCCTGGGGGAAACTGATATGTATGTGTATTGGGGAGAGCAGATTGATTTTTTGGGGTCGTTTGCTTTACATTGCCTGCTGGTTTGAAGTATTTTACTTTGTTAATAAATGAAACAGAGGAAAGAAACATGAAAAAAAAAACAATCCCGTTCAAAATTGTGCCCCAGAAAATCAAATACCTCGGAGTTAGCCTAACTAAGGTGGTAAAGGACCTCTACAAAGAAAACTACAAAATGCTACTCCAGGAAATAAAAGAGAACATGAGGAAATGGAAACATATTCCCTGCTCATGGATAGGAAGAATTAACATTGTCAAAATGGCAATACTCCCCAAGGCATTATACAGATTCAATGTGATCCCTATAAGGATATCCATAAAATTTTTCAAAGATATGGATCAAGCACTCCTAAAATCCATTTGGAACAACAAATGCCCATGAATAGCTAAAGCAATTCTTGGGGAAAAGATAATGAGAGGCATCGCCCTCCCCAACCTCAAACTCTACTGCAAAGCAGTAACAAACAGCATGGTACTGGAACAAAAGTAGAACTGCAGACCAATGGAAGAGGGTGGAATATCCCTACACACAACCCCAAATGTATAAACATCTAATCTTTGATACGGGAACAAGAAATGTGAAGTGGAGCAAGGAAAGCCTCCTTAACAAATGGTGCTGGCATAACTGGACAACCACATGCGGGAAAAAATAATGGGCTTAGACCTCTTAACACCATGCACAAAAGTCAGATTAAAATGAACTAAAGATCTCAACATCAGACCAGAAACCATAAGATGCATTGAAGACAAGGTTGGTAAAACCCTCCACGATATTAAGGCTAATGGTATCTTCAAAGATGACATGCCACTGACCAACCAAGTGGAAACAGAGATAAACAAATGGGACTATATTAAACTTATATTAAACTATATTAAGCTTCTGCACTGCAAAGATACAGTGACCAAAATACAAAGACAATCCACAGAATGGGAAAGGATATTCACCCAATACCCATCCGATAAGGGGTTGATATCAAGGATATACAAAGCACTGATTGAACTCCACAAGGAGAAAACATCCAACCCCATCAAAAAATGGAGCAATGAAATGAACAGAAACTTTGTCAAAGAAGAAATTCGAATGGCTAAAAGGCACATGAGAAAATGCTCTACATCACTAATCATCAGGGGGATGCAGATCAAAACAACAATGAGATATCATATCACACCACAGAGACTGGCCCACATCCAAAAGAACAAAAGCAACAGGTGTTGGCGCAGATGTGGCGAGAAAGGGACTCTCGTTCACTGCTGGTGGGAATGCCGACTGGTTCAGCCCTTTTGGAAAACACAGCGGGTAGGGCGTTTGCCTTACAAGCGGCCAACATGGCCAACCCGAGTTCGATTCCTCCGCCCCTCTCGGAGAGCCCGGCAAGCTATCGAGAGTATCTCGCCCGCACGGCAGAGCCTGGCAAGCTCCCCGTGACGTATTCGATATGCCAAACACAGTAACAACAAAGTCTCCAATGGAGACGTTACTGGGCCTGCTCGATCTGATTTGGAAAACAGTATGGACAATTCTCAAAAAATTAGAAATTGAGTTTCCATTTGACTCAGCAATACCACTCTTGGGAATATATCCCAGAGAGGCAAAAAAGTACAGTCGAAATGACATCTGTGCTTGTATGTTCATTGCTGCACTGTTCACAATAGCCAAAATCTGGGAAAAAAACTCAGTGCCCAAGAACAGATGATTGGCTAAAGAAACTTTGGTACATCTACACAATGGAATACTACACAGCTGTTAGAAAAGATGAAGTCATGAATTTTGCATACAAGTGCTTCTGCATGGAAAGTATCATGCTGAGTTAAATGAGTAAGAAAGAGAGGGACAGACTTAGAAAGACTGCACTCATCTGGGGAATATAAAGTAACAGAATGAGAGACGAACACCCAAGAATAGTTGAGATAAGTACCAGGAGGTCTGCTCCACGGCTTAGAAGCCGGCAGCAGATGCTGGGGCAAAAGGCAGTTCAGATAGAAAAGGGAACACCAAGTAAAGGGTGTTTGGAGGATTCGCTGTGGATGCGAGATGCTTGCAGGAAGTAGACTAAAGACCAAACACGATGGCCACTCAGTACCTCTATTGCAAACCACAACACCCTAAAGGAAAGAGAGAGCAAAAGGGAATGCCCTGCCACAGAGGTGAGGTGAAACAACAATGAGATATCATCTCACACCATGATATCTCCATGGGGGATGGGGTCAGGTGATGGGAGGGCTACTGGGTTCATTGGTGGTGGATAATGGGCACTGATGGAGGGATGGATACTCGATCATTGTATAACTGAAACCCAAGCATGAAAGTTTATAAGTCTACAACTATACCTCATGGTGTTTCACTAATAAAAAATAAATAAATAAGTAAATAAATAATAAATAAAGGTGCTCCAAAGATAGCTAGATCACTAGATCATCTAGATTACTCTGGATAAGAACTATGTGCTGAAAGTAAGTGAAGGAACAACCTATGATAATCCTGGCAACCCATTTCATAACCCCTCAGTATCTGTATTGCAAATCAGAATGTGCAAAAGGAGAGAGAGAAAAAAATAAGAGAAAGAGAGAGAAGAGAGATATGGGAGAGAGAGAGTAGACAGGATAGAGAGGGAGAGAGAGAGAGAGAGAGAAAGTGCCTGCCATAGTAGCAGGCTGTGGGCTGGAGATGGAGTGGGAGGGAAACTGGGGAAACTAGTGCTGGGAAATGTACACTGGTGGAGGGACGGGTGTTGGATCATTGTATGACTGAAACCTGATCATGAACAGCTTTATAGCTGTGTATAACTCATGGTAACTCAATTAAATAAATAAACAAAGGGGCTCTTTCTTTTCCTGTCAATCACGCCCTCTGGGTTCTTTCTCAGGGGAAGACCACAGTGCAGAAAAACTGTGCTGACCCCGTGTGGCACGAGCAGGTGGTCTTCAAGGAAATGTTCCCGCCCCTGTGCCGGAGGGTGAAGATCCAGGTGTGGGATGAAGGCAGCGTGAATGATGTAGCCCTGGCAACCCATTTCATAGACCTGAAGAAAATCTCCAATGAGCAGGATGGAGATAAAGGTAAAGTCTCACATACTAGAAAAAGGAAAAAAGGCTTTTGCAGGGACTGCTGTAACTCTCTACCCCATCTTTAAAAAGAGGAGGTTGGAGCCGATGATGTGGAAGGCTGTTTCCACAGTTCTGTGGTTCATGGTGGTGGGTGGATCTGGATTCTGGGAGCCAGACTTGGTTACAGTCCCGATCTCCCGCATACAATGTTATGTACCCTCGAAGTGGTTGTTTCCTTTCTTGGGACCTCAGCTTACTTAATAAAAATATAAAGAGTTTAGATCTGATCCAGGGTGAGCAAACGGTGGTTAGTGGCCATATCTGCCCTGCCATGTTTTGGAAGATCCTAAGTTCAGAATGATTTTCACATGTTTAAGTGGTCCAAAAATAAAATGTGCTCTCAAATCATTCATGGCATCTGGGAGCATGGACATTGTAGAAAGACGCTGCTGAAATATACACTCGGAGAGAAGGGGAGGGGGAGGGGTAATGGTGAGTCCCAATTAATCCACCATCAGTCAAAAGAACTTCCACTCAGTATAAAGTTCTTCGTTTAACAGAATTATGATCCTGAGTGTTATATACATGTGTTTACATCTATATGTTCATACTTGTGATTTTTTTCTGGCTTGTGAACAACTTTCTAGTGATTGAAGTGGCAGATATTTTTCTAATATCATTATAAATTAAATTCAGTTAAATGATTAAAATAGTGGCTGGAGCAATAGCACAGCGGCTAAAGTGTTTGCCTTGCACAAGGCTGACCCAGGTTTGATTCCCAGCATCCCATATGGTCCCCCCAAGCACCGCCAGGGGTAATTCCTGAATGCAGCGCCAGGAGTAACCCCTGTGCATTGCCAGGTGTGACCCAAAGAGAAAAAAAAAAAGATTAAAATAAATAAATAACGCTCTTTGTTTATAAAACTTAAATGGTGATTATACTCTAAGTATCCTAAACAAACCATCATCCATTAAGTCTCAAGCAGTGTTTCTCTCTGCTACAGACACGTGTATGGATACTGTCATGTATATATGGAAAACTTGGCTCAGGAGAACAAGATTTACTCATCTGTTACCCTCACACTGTGACACTAGAGACAGACCTCTTGAGATATCTATTTTTTATTCTTCTTGATATGGGAGACTCACTGCTACCCACAATTGCTTTCTACAGAAAGTATACTCTGCCTATCCACTGCATCTCAGTTAGTAAACATGCTTTTCCCCACACTCTTCAGGTATATCTTGATGGTGTTTGCAAAGATGGGTAACTTATTCAGCAGAGGGCATTGAATGTTTATGCTTGTTCTCCTGAGCCAAGTTTCCCATATATATTTTAACCCAATATCTCTGCTTCTTAAAATTTACCCAAATGAAAGGTGAATCTGGACCATAGCAGAGAGAGAGGAAACAAAAGATAGAAAATGATTGCATACAATAACGTATAGGGAAACATCTACTTGTCAATCAATAATAAGGGGATTATTAAGCAACTTAGGCTGCATGTGTTTATTAAGAGTAATGGTTAAGGGTCAAGAATATGGTTCAATTAGGAGAGCAAATGTCTAGCAGGTGTGAGTCCTTGAGTTCAATTGCTGGCCCAGCATAACCCCCTCTCCCCAGCACGGCCTACTATGCCCCTGGTGGTCCCCTGAGTACCAGTGGGCCCCAAGCACCAAACTGCCAGGCCTGCAATGCCAGCCCAAGCATGATTACGTATTGTGTCTGTTAATTTTGTCTTTTCTTTTCTTTTTTTAAAAAGAGTACTTATTGACGGGCTAGAGCGATAGCACAGCGGTAGGGCATTTGCCCTGAGCGCAGCCAGCCTGGTCGAGCCAGGTTCGATTCCTCCGCCCTTCTCGGAAAGCCCGGCAAGCTACCGAGAGTATCTTGCCTGCATGGCAAAGCCTGGCACGCTTTGACGTATTCAGTATGCCAAATACAGTAACAACAAGTCTCGAAAAATGGAGACGTTACTGGGCCCGCTTGAGCAAATTGATGAACAACGGGAGGACAGTGTTCGACTTGTTGACATTTTTGGACACTTCTTAAGGGTCTGTGTGAGGCACTTTATGGATACTGTGTCTACTAATCTGATATAGATGAGGAAATTGATGTCTAAGGAAAAAATATAATAGAAATAAAATCATTTACCCATGGAATCATTAGAGAGCTAGAAACTGGCAGACCTGTGATTTGAGATATGAACCCAGGTAGTCAAACTTCAGGCCACTATGCTACACTGCTTGTTAAATAGAATAATGTTGTTTTGCCAGAGATTCAGTACTAGGGCCTAGTGGTGCTGGGGCCCCCCAGATTCACACCTGGCAGCCTGGAGAGGGTTATGCCGTGCACAGGATCATATTTTGGTCCTTATGCAGGCAAGACATGCACCCATTTTGGATTACTTCCTGACACTACTTTCTTCTGTTTTTTCCAGTTGTCCTGTATTAAGAAAAAAAAATACTCCCGCATATAGTTAATGAAAATCAGCAGGACCCTTTCAGTTCTGTGTTTGAAATGTATCTGGAAACTTGGTCTTTGTTTCCTCTCTCTCTGCTATCATCGCCTGTGTCCAGACCACTGATGTGCCTTCAATTGTGATGACAAATATATCATATTTGTCCGATATATCATACACATCAAATCTCATAATCATTTATAAAGCAACCACAGTGATATTAAAACATCTGATTATGTCCATCTTCACTTAAATTCCTTTAGAAAATATCCCATAATTTCTAGGATAGAGATAAAATTTCTTATCAAGGTTCCAAGACACATTCACCTCACCAAACTCTTCTCACACGGCTTAGTCTTGGGACTTAATCCACTCTGAATTAATGTGACTTTCTTTCCAGTTTTTCTGCATGTGTGAGAGTGTCAGAGTGGTGAGCACACCCAGGGTTTCCTATGCTCAAGGCACGCACAATATATCACTAAACTGCACCCTGCCATCCCTAAGTGCCTTTCCAACTGGCAGATGCTGTTCCTTCTCTTCAGAAGTTTCTACTTTCCTCCCTCCTTCTCCCTTGTCCTATTTGTCTACATCACTCTAGCCTGTTATTTGTTCTTTCAACACAAGGCCTATACCTTTCACAGTATTTATAACATAAATATTGATTTTTTAGGGTTTTTATCTGCTTTATTCTACTCCAGGCTCTGTTTGGTGTCTGGCATGGTGCTGGTATATGTTGGGAGTCAATGAACCAATGACCAATGAATGAACGAACAGAAACTATGCATGCCAACATTAATAGTATGATTACAAGTATAGAAATTTGAATGGACTAGAAAGTAATATAGCAAAATGACATTTGTGATTTTCTTTAGGTTATAGGCTAGCCTAGCAATACCATTTCTTGACTTTTCTCTAAATTTTTTATGTTCAAATGAATGTGCACAACTTTCATTAGAGCAACAGTAACACTAGTGATCCACTGAAAAGCACAGCCAAGCAGCTAAATCTTGGAATCTCTCTAGGCTTCCTACCAACCTTTGGACCTGCTTGGATTAATCTATATGGCTCACCCAGGAACCACAGTCTGATGGATGATTACCAGGAAATGAATGAAGGCTTTGGAGAAGGCGTGTCATTCCGGGGTCGAATTTTGGTAGAAATTGCTGTGGAGATTCTCTCTGGAGGAGCACAAGAATCTAAATTTTCCAAAGCTCTCAAGGAACTCAAATTACCTTCCAAATCTAAAGGCTCCAGCAAAGATAAGTCTGACAAAGGCAGTGATGGAAAAACTCAGCCGACTTCCGACAAAAGCAATTCAACAGAGGTGGAAGTGGAACCTTTTGATGTGCCCCCAGAGGTAGGTCTGAGCACTGAGGACGTGAGCCCAGAATGCAGATAGTTCCTGCTGTTGGTTCCCAATAGTGCTCTCTTGAACAGCTCTCTTCCCCCCTGCCCCCTTCCAAAATGTATGTGAATCAATGTATGTGTATGGCTGATCCTCTGCCTCTTCTTGCACATTTCACCACCACCTGCTCTTGATGTATTGCTCCTGTGTCCCCCACAAACATGAGTCCCAAAGTCAAAAAGAAATTAAAGCAATTAAAATCGCTAATGGGGGTGGTGGGCTGAACTTTATCTATGGCCTAATTTTACTCAGTTCATTAGCATAGTGTTTTCTTTGGATGTGAGATGTTATGGAAGGAGGAATGAAGAGTGAGTGACAAAGTGATCCCTGGTACCACATTTTCCTCTGCAGCCTTGCCAGGTATAGCTCTGCTGACCCCCAACACATTGGGCTGAAGCTAGAGCAGTGCTCCACTGCTAGGTCCTGATCTGGCCGGCCCAGTTGGCTAAGTGTTGCTTGGGATAGCTTCTTGGAGCATAGTTTAGAAGGCTCCTCCCTAAGAAAGGAAATAAAACATTAGGAATGAACCGATTTCTCCCTACTCTCTGACCTATTAGCCCTATTATAATGTTTATTTTAAAGACAATGGAAAATGAGACCCAGAGAGAGGACACGACTTTCCCCCACAGTCAAGTCACCAGGGAAGCAGCAGAGTCAGACTTTGAGGAAGGGTTTTCCTGGCCGGAAGCCTGCCATCTCTTTTCTTAGTTGCATGACCTGGTCTCTCTGGTCCTCAGGTTCCAGAGCAGCTTTTAGCCTCCTCCCAGAAAGTAAACTGGCCCCAAAGACGGTGAGATTAGCTTCTGTCTAAACCCGGAGACCAGAGCAGCAGCAGGTCAGAAGGGTGTGAGCCCTGTGACTAAGGTTCATCATGGGCCCCCACCCGATTTAATATTTTCTGTCAACAGAAACATTTCCTGCTGATGCAGGAAACAGCACCTGGGGCTTCTCTAAGGAGGAAAGTGTCACTTCTCACCTGATGATGTGGAAACCGTTGTTGTCAGAGGGACAGAGACCTGGAGGTTTGACTGAATGGGGCTCCTAACCTCTGAGACCATTGACGCTTTATTTCCTTAGAGGAGACTTGTTTTACTGTGCAGTTTAATAAATCTAACTCCAAAGCCAGAAAGTATAGACCGCTTGGCTGTAGCACTTTACTTTCTTTTGTTCAGAAACGTGATGCTGTGTCTCAGTTACACCTACCTCCTGAGCCACTGGTATATTAATCAGAGCCATTTGCAAACAGTTGGGATATCTTGGGATATCCCCATGATATCTTGGAATATCTCCAACACATGTGCTCTCTCAGTTCCATCTTCCAGAATTAGACTTTCTGAGCAGGTAGACCAAATCTTTGTTGACTTTAAGTTGCACTGTGACTGTGGGGCCTTAAGTTTATTCAAGTTAAAAGTGAGATTGGAGCAGATGACTCTACTTCTCTTTTCTCTTTCAATGTAAAAACAGTTTACATTGTTATGAGTATGTCTCTTGTGACCCCTCATAGCAGCAAACAGAATTATACCCCACTCTGGACACCATTGATTTATTGGCTGATGTTTATGCAAGTACAACCCTTTTTTAAAAAATTGGATTTATGTTATTTCAGAGTAATAAGTAACGCTTTTTATGTACTTGGGAAAATGACTCAATTCATGCTCAAATATCCTAGGTTTCCTGCTCTGTACAATGGGATTGATCCAAATTTTGCTTATTGAGGCCATTAAGAGGAACAAACAGAATAGATGTGACTGTCCTGCCCAATTCACTAAATTATGCTCTAACACAAAGACTTAATCCTGTGACGCTGGTTCTCCTTGTTTTCCTATTTTCTAAATGTTCTGTCACCAAAAGGTGATTCGAGGTCTGCATATCACAATATCATTTTAGAGGGATCTTCACAGCTAGCTTATTATTTAGAATAAGATATTTTATTTTAAGGCAGAACTTCAGGAGGTTGAGATCACATCATTCCAGATAAATGACTGAATCTGGACTTGTAATTTGCAATTTCCTGGTTCCTGCTGCCTGATTAGTGAGGGAATAATCTATCATTTCAGGCAGACACTGAGTCAAATGCCTATAAATTATCTTTCAGAACCAGGTTGGCACCACTAATTCAGTTTCCTGGTGGTTAAAAGTATCCAGACCTGTCTAATGGTATTTTTCCTACAGATTGTACCAGAAAAATATGAGGAATTTTTACTTTTTGGAACATTTTTTGATGCTACCATGATTGACAGGAAGATTGGGGATAAACCCATCAGTTTTGAAGTTTCTATTGGTAAGTACAACCCAAGTATAAAGACAGGAACACAGATGCACAGGCACATGCCCACACTTCCTGAAGTATAAGTTAGTACCTAACTTGCAATGGCATTTCGGTGGGGTTTTGCCTCTCAAAAGAAATCAGTAATTCCTTGTCCTCTCTAGAGTCAATGTATAAGGAACAGATTTATCTTAATAGCTTTAAAAAGCATGAAAACAATCAGAGATTCCCAGGCTTATTTGCTTTGTCATTCTCTTCTCATGAAAAAAATTCATCAATGGTGGGGGCAGGTGAGGGGCCCATTCAACCTCCTTCTTTTAGAGAATAATAAGAAAGTGCTCCCCTACCATTGCACCAGAGGCTATTGCCCCCACCATAATTCCAGCATCAACCCCTCCTCCCCAATCTGGGGGCAGTATCACCTACTTTGGGAAAGATTGAAAATAATGATCTAGATCCAGATAAACCTGGAGTTTTATCCTAGTTCCATTACCCTAGACTCACTTCATATTTTGGGTCACAGTTTCTTTATCTATAAGTGAGAATACTAACAACTCCTCGCAGAACTACTACAAGACTGTCTTCAGTAAAGGCATGCCAAATACTGTGCATATAGTAGGTGCTATAATTATAACTGTCAACTACCTTCTGAGGCTGTTACACAGCAGGGAAAATCATTCCTAGAAAAAATACTCCATCAAAAAAAAATCTTGGTTTGGGACCAGCGAGACAGTATAATGTGTAGGGCAATTGCCTTGCATGTGGCCGACCCAGGTTGTTCCCTGAGTACTGCCAGGAGTAATTCCTGAGCACAGAACCAAGAGTAACCAGGCATTGCTGGGTGTTACACAATAATAACAATTAAAAGTAAATAAATAAAAATGTAAAAAGGTGTTGATTCAGGATCAGAAAGCTCTTCAATAGAGAAAAATGCAGGTGGAACCCAGTTCATTTATAATTTCAGGAGTTTTTACAAAAGTAAATATTAAAGAGCCAGGAAGAAATTTCAGGGATCAGGGACACATGTTTCGATTGCATGGACTTATTAGTGAGGTACCAAGTTTGAACCCTGGTACCATGTGTCTCCTGCAGCCCTGCCAGGTATAGCCCTCACGACCCCCAACACAGTGGACTGGAGCAGTGCTCCACTGCTAGGTCCTGAACTGGCTGGCCCAGTAGACTAAACATTACTGGGGGGAACTTCTCTGAGCATCCTTAGAACCCTCCCCCCGAAAGAAATAAAACAGAAAATAAATGTAGACGATAGTTTCTTGCCATTTTTGTGGTCTGACCATTGCTGATCCCACCTTTCTAAAATTTCTTTTTGTTTTGGGCTCACACCCAGTGTTGCTCAGAGCTTACTCATGGCTCTGCTCTCAGGACTGGCGAGGCTCAGAAGACCCGATAGGTGCTGGGGATTGAATCCAGGTTAGCCACATGCAAGGCAAGCATCCTACTCACTGGATTATATCTCTCTTTGTTACCTAACCCCCTCTGCTTGATGCTGGTACTGCAGGTAATTTTGGAAACTTGATTGATGGAGGCTCTCACCATGGGAGTAAGAAAAAGTCGGAAGAACTCACAGAAGAGAGCCTTCCACTGTTGCATGAAAAGGAAGGGGATGCTGCCCACCACAGTATCCCTATGGTCTCCACCACTCCTCCAGAGAAGCCACAGGTGACAGAAGGGAACAGGTAGGAGACACAGCAGGACAATAGGGCATTCAATGGGACAGTTCTGCCAAACCTGGGGCTCTTTGATTTTCTTCTCTACCACCAGAAGCATCCCATTTAAAATCACTGTTTGGGGAGCAAGGTGCAAGCAGGGAAAATATATGCCACTTCATTGACTCTTTGGTGACATGTCAGATACTATATGTACAAATCCCACACCTCCAGGTAACTCATTTAAGGGCAAAGAAATAATAGTGGTTATTATTTTTATATATGAAGGCCCATTTATTTTATGACTATGGAGACTAGAAAGATAGGAAAGTCGAATTTAAATTTTAAATCCAGACCATAGTCACAGTCATTTTTTTCATTTGAGTTCTGTGCCAACTTATAAACTCAGTTTGGCAGGATTACTGAATACATCGTTCCTTTTCATCACAACCAAACCAAGGAACTCAAAAGCAATTGTCAGAGGCCAGAAAAGATTATTTTAGAAGAAACCTCAGAAGCTTTTACATGCATCCTCAGTGAACTCTAATCGACGTAAATTTCCAGCATGCAGTGAAAAGCTGACTTTAAAGAGTTGACTTTAAAAAGATAACTTAGGGGGCTGGAGCGATAGCACAGCGGGTGGGACATTTGCCTTGCACGCAGCCGACATGGCCAACACAGGTTCGATTCCCAGCATCCCATATGGTCCCCCGACCACCGACAGGAGCAATTCCTGAGTGCATGAGCCAGGAGTAACCCCTGAGCATCGCCGGGTGTGACCCAAAAAGCAAAAAAAAAAAAAAAAAGATAACTTAGGAAAAGTGATGTCCTAGAGGATGAAAAGAAACTAAAGTAGAGGACAGAGTGCTGAGGCAAAGACATTCTCCCTGGAGCAAGGAAAAATGAGCTTAGCGATTTGTCCTCTCATCAGGGAGCACAAAAGGGCCCCAGACAACCTAATCCCATGATGACTTCTCTATCCATGCTCAAACGTGAGAGGATCAAAGAATGGATTCTGTGAGTGAATCTGCAGCTGTGGGAGACCTCCAGGAGTTACTCTGTGCCTTCTAGCAGGGACCAGGTGCTGACACCATCCCGCACCGTGTTGGATTAATATTGACTCTGGCTGGAATGTCAGAGATACAACGTAGGAAGGGTTTGGGAGGAGATGAGAGGTCTCAAATACTTTTGGATGGGGCTCATAAGAGTTTTGGCAAACTGGCTTGAGGAAAACAAAATAAGTCATCATAGTGTTTTTTAGTCTTTCTATATATTCCATCAAGACGGTGTCCACAGAGTTGTAAGCTGGGATAGCAGCAGCCAAATGAGCAGATTTTTTGTATAGTATGCCCCTAAACACATCTGTATACACACAAATGCATGTTTTCACACATGCACATCTAGGATTTATTAATTAAAATTAAATTTTAATTTTAGTATTTTAATTACCATTAAAATACTAGCACTTGCAGTCTTGCCAAGCATGCATAGTCACATACATTTATGTATTGGGACCATAACTCAGGGATGAGACCAGAGCACAAGATGTCCAATGTCAGGTCATCATCTGATTCTCGGGATTTCAGGCCTAACTTTGGTCACACTCATAAGACTGGTTATGGGGAAGGGCAGTCATTCAAACTAGCAGTTTCCTCTTTCTGCTATAAATGTGGAGTCCTCCTTCATCCAGCTTTCCTTTGCACTACTACTTTCTGACAAGACATAGCATCCCACTTCACAAAGGCCAGGAGGACCCTGTGCATCAAAGAGACAAAGGCCCTGAACTCCTTAAAAAATAAAATAATCAGAGTCAAAGAATCATCTAAGGAAAGCATAACATTGGGTAGGTAGCAATTTAGGATTATTAGTGCCTGATGGAGTGCCTCAGTTGCACTGTTGTAGGAGTGGCTCAATAAACCTTAAGCTCCCTGTGGGAGCAGCAATGACAACCCACTGTTATCCAATAGGTAGGAATCTACTTCATTGTAGGATTTTTAAAATATTTTAGATTGATTTAATATATATATACATATATATTTCTGTTTTGGTGCCATATCCAGCTGTGCTCAGGAGTCACTCCTGGCTCTGCACAGGAATTACTCTTGGTGGTGCTCAGGTGATCACATGAGATGTAGGAGATTGAACCCCGGTTGACTGTGCATGTAAGGCAAATGCCGTACCTGTTACACTACTACTCCATCCCAGATTGATTTAATGTTAAAACAGAAAATTATCTCAAAGTTATTAGAATATACCTGATTGATTCTTTTTGAATAACCAGAAGCTTTTTTATTTATTTAATTGTATATTTCCTGGACTATGTGAATGTCTCTGCTACTTTAATAATTTTAGTGAAATATTTTGAAAAGATATAAAAAGCAGTTTTGTTTCTAATTTAATTTTATTTTAATTTTTGTTCTCCTGATTTTATAACAACCTTAGTTTCTGCCAAGAGTTCATGTGTCTTCTCTTCTTAATGGACACCTGCTGATTTATTTTCTGCAGTGCAGAGCATGGGTCACCTGTGTTAATTTTATGGAGTCCAGGAGAAACCTGAGCTGACAAACTATATTCTTTCAGAGACTGACATTCACTTTAGCATTTTGGAATGGAAACAAAACTTTCTTTCCCTCTCTCTGCTTCTAGACACCTGTGACTCCAAACACTGTCTTCATGTATCAGAGCCACTTCTCCTATGAAGCCCATCGCAAGAAATGTGCACATTTCCCTTCACACAGTCCCAGAAATAAGGGGGCCAAGGAAAATTTAGTTAAGGAAATTGTTGTCACTAGCAAGGAACTTCAATTTGTTTTAAACTCTCAAGTATTGCTCCAGGTACCCCTTCTGGAGATATCCAGATAACCAGACCAAAGGTTCAATGTGAGGGCTTGAGGATGCAATGTAGCTTGGGTTCTGTGATGCTGGGGATCATCTAGACCACAGCTGTGCTTGAGGGTCTCCAGGACTGCACCCAGTGATTCTCAGGGGACCATGTATGCTGGATATTGAATCTGGAGTAGAATAACCCCTGTACATCTCTAGCCTGAGAATTTCAACTTTTTACAACACTTCTCCCACCTTACCTGATTTCATATCCATTCCTTTCAGATGGATAGATAATGAATCTAAAAACTTCTTTTCTTTTTCCAATTCCAACCTGTCTATCATCTCTTGCCATCATTTTAGGATTTTTAACTGCCACCCTTAAACATTCCCTTTGACTCCATACATCACTTTCTTGGTACTTTAATATCTCTCTTGTCCTTTATTGCTGAATAATTAACATCAATTTCTGGCAACAATAAATATTAGATGTATGTATGGATGATGAATGTATGAATAAAGGATAAATGAATTGATAGATGACAACTGAATGATATTGAAGAGTGGATGAATAGATGAAAGACAAGAAGACAAGGGGATGTATAAATGAATGGATGATTGATGGCTAGAGGAAAGGTAGATGAATGAGTGGAGGATAGGTAAATGGATTGAGGATGGAGAACCAAATGGACTATAAATGGATAAATGGATACGTGGATGAATGGATGAAGAATAAGTGGATAAATGGAGAATGAATGGGAGATGCATAAATGAATGAATAGGTGAAAGATGAATAGAAGGCAAGTCATGGGATGCTGAGGTTTAGATTTTCATTTTCATTAAATTTTATTTTAGGCACCATGATTTACAATACTGGTAATGGTAGGGTTTCATGAAGAAAGTAGTCAAGCACTACACCCTCCATAAGTGTCTGCTTCCCTCCATCATTGTCCCAGTGTCATGTCCCCAACCCTGTCCTAGTCCCACCAGTACCCTGCACTGATAAACTTTCTAGTAGAGGCTAGTTTTCAGTTTCTGTTGCCTTTGGGTGTTTATTGTTTCTTTACTATGTGTCTTTATGTCCCACATCTGAGGGAGATCATTCTGTAGCCATCCCTATTCTTCTGACTGACTTCACTCAACATGATACTGTTCAGATCCATCACATAGCAGGAAGTTGCATTATTTTTTTTCTTATAGCTGAGTGGTATTTAATTGTGTATATGAACCATAGTTTCCTTATATAGTCATTTGTTCTTAGAGATTTGGATTGTTTTCAGACTTTAGCTAATATGAATAGTGCTGTAATGAACATGAGTGAAAATATCTCTTCTGGGTAGAGTTTTTGGGCCCATGGGGTAGACTCCAAGTACAAGTCTTAGGTTTTTTTAAAGTGTCCATACTGTTTTCCACAACTGGTGAACTGGTCAACATTTCCACCAGCAGTGAATGAGGATCACTTTGCTCCACATCCATGCAAACACTGGGGACTTTTATTCTTTGTAATGTGTGCCATTCCCACTGTTGTGCTGTATTTTCTTATTTTGGTTTGCATTTCCCTGATGAAAAGTGGCACAGAGCATTTTTCATAGACTTTTGATCATCTGTATGTCTTCTTTCAGAAAGTTTCTGTTCATTTCTGCCCTCCATTTTTTGATAGATTGCTTATTTTTTTCTTGTAAAGTTCTGCCAGTGCTCTGTAAATCTTTGATGTGAGCCCTTTTCAAATGAGTGGAGGCAAATATATTTTACCATTCTTTAGGGTACCTTTTAATTTGAATTATCATTTCTTTTGCAATGCAGAAGCTTCTTCGTTTAATGCATACCCATTTATTTATCTTTGCTTCGGTCTGCTTAGACAATGGCATTGAATAAGTTGACTCTAGTTTTAATGTCATAAAGTTTTCTATTGTCTCCTCAATACAATTTATGAATTTCTGTCCATGAAGTTGAAAAGGGGTCTGAATTCTTTTTTAAAAAAATATGACCAACCAGTTTTCCCAACACCATTTGCTGAAGAGGTTTTCTCTGTTCTATACTTTTTGCTCCTTGGTCAAAGTTTAACTGCCCATGTATCTGAGGCTCTATCTCTAATCTCTCAGTTCTGTTCCATTGGTCTGAGTCTGTCCTTCCAATATCGCACTGTTTTGATTACTACAGATTTATAGTATAGTTTGAAATGGAAAAAATAGACACCCCCCTCTCTTTTTCCCTAGGATTTTGTTGACTATTCTGGGAGGTTTGTTGTTACATTTAAATTTCAAATCCTTGATCTATGTCTTTAAAAAAAAAGTCATGGGTAATTTTGTAGGTACTGCATTGAATCTGTGTAAGGCTTTGGGGGAAAATATCATTTTGACAATATTAATCCTTCTAATCCATGAACAGGGAAATAAGTTTCCATTTCTTGCATCATCTTTTATTTCTTTTAGTAGTGATTTGTCGTTTTCTTTCTATAAGTACTTTTACCTCTTGCATATCCTGCCCTCTGCTGATCATTTCTAAGATTCCCTACACACCCTCCCTGCCCCCCAACCAGGCCTGTTAATAATACCTCCCACTGTAGCACAATAACTGTTCTTTGATTTCTCATCATAGATACTCAGTTTGGAGACAGCTAATAATATGATCATTTTGCAACTACCTCTGCTGACTCACACAGTGTATAGAACATGAACCTGTGAGTGAAACAGCTTAAAAATACTGTGCATTAACCTCCAAATCTAACATTTTTCCCCACAGGAATTACAACTATTTGCCATTTGAAGCTAAGAAACCCTGTGTCTACTTTATCAGTTCTTGGGGAGACCAGATATTTAGGCTCTACTGGTCCAACATGCTGGAGAAAATGGCAGACCTCCTGGTAGGTGACTCTGACATATGACAGACTTGAACAGGGGAAAGTTGTAAGCAAAGGAATTTTTTTTTAATTCACCCAGAAGATTTTAAATAAAAGTATTTGTTGGGCTGAAGCAATGGCACAGCAGGTAGGGCGGTTGCCTTGCACGCAGCCAACCCGGGTTCAATTCCCAGCATCCCATATGGTCCCCTGAGCACCTCCAGGGGTAATTCCCAAGTGCAGAGCCAGGAGTTACCACTGTGCATCGCCGGGTGTGACGCAAAAAGCAAACAAAAAAAAAGTATTTGTTAAAAATAAACAACAAAAAGTTTGTTTTCCTGAGAAGCATAAGAGCATTTGGTTCTATTTTTTTTCTTTTCTTTTCTTTTATAGGGGCCTCACTCAGAGGTTAGGGACCCAGAGCCACTCTCATCAGTGCTCAGGGGTCTGGGAATGCTTTATAAGTTTTCTATATAAATTAATGGTATTTAAGACACACTTGGTGATGTTCTGAGGCACCAGGTATGCTAGGGATGGAACTCAAGGATCCCTATATGCAAGGCATATACTCTACCTGAGTTACAGTCCCAGTCTGCTCCCGAGTATGATTTTGACCTAAGTCTGAGAACAAATGAATAAAAGCCTCTGGCTTTATAAGATACGTGTCTTCTTCCCTGTGAATGAAGGAATGACAAAACGTTTTTCATAATCCCTGGACTTTAAGTCAGTTAATCCTGATTCAAATATAACATGCTTTTTCTATTAGAATAAATGGTTAGATTGTTTTTATAATTCCCAAAGGCAGGGATCTTGGCTTCAGTTAATATAAAACACACAATGCTTTCTTTACTCATAGTCAAGGGCAAGAGTAGAAAACATTATGTGGTAGAGAATGTAGTTTTTATAAATTCTAGCAAATCAGTGACGGCATGCACATGCCCTTTGGGTAACATTTTTCTCCATGCCACTGAACAGAATACTAGAATTTAAGCTTCAGTGGAAAAGTGCAAATATTAAATATTTAAACTTATAGACATTGCCATACACAGTGCGCACCTTGTCCCGACCCCAATAAAAGAAAAATTGATAGCCTTCTGTTTCATGGGTCATTCAACATGAGTATACATATTCATATAGTATACTTGTGCCACAAATATGGTGATGCTTAGGGGCTACACTTGGCTCTGCTCAGGAGTGACTCCTGATGGTGTTTAAGGTACCATAGATAGGGCTGGGGATTTGAACCAGGTTGACCATGTGCAAGACAATTGTCTCTCTCCCTATACTATCCCTCCAACTACTAATATATTTATCTGTAGAAAATTCACTTGAATGTTGCTTTCAAAGTTTTTTTTTATTATTGGGGCTGGAGCAGTAGTACAGTGGGTAGGGCATTTGCCTTGCACGAGGGTAACCCGGGTTCAATTCCCAGCATTCCATATGGTCCTCTGAGCACCGCCAGGAGTAATTCCTGAGTGCAAAGCCAGGAGTAACCCCTGAGCATCACCGGGTGTGACCCAAAAAGCTAAAAAAAAAAAACCTAATTGTTTTTGTAACTAAAAGTAAATTAAAGGTCCTCCCTTTGTACATCGATTTGCTCGAGCGGGCCCAGTAACGTCTCCATTGGAGACTTTGTTGTTACTGTGTTTGGCATATCGAATACGTCACGGGGAGCTTGCCAGGCTCTGCCGTGTGGGCGAGATACTCTCGGTAGCTTGCTGGGCTCTGAGAGGGGGGAGGAATCAAACTCGGGTCGGCCATGTTGGCTGTGTGCAAGGCAAATGCCCTACCGCTGTGCTATCGCTACAACAAAATCTCCAATGGAGACGTTACTGGGCCCGCTCGAGCAAATTTTTGTAACTAACTTGTTCTATTTGTTAGGTAGTTCCATGACATTAGCTTACCCACAACCTAGACACGAGATAAATGGTAACTAGTGAGGGGATGCAGCTGGATGGAAACAACAATGAGCTTGAAAAACACAAGAGAAGACTTGAATCTGTACCAGTTCTAATTAAGAAAGCGAAGATTTGATGTTAGAGAGCAGTGTCCTTCCCAGTTCAAGCACAAGAAAATTAGGGAAATTATTTGTTCCCAAACAAGATATTAGCTAAGCATAATTTTTAGAATGTATACAGTCAATATCTATACTATAGTGTCACCGTTTCACCTCTCATCCTCCACCTTGTGGTTCGTTTGCAGGAAGAAGGTTTAGAAGAAGTGAAAGAATTGATTAAGATTTCAGAGGAAGCACCAGAAGAGAAAATGAAGACAATTCTGAATAACTTTATCAGTCAAAGCAGGTACTGGGAGACACAGCCAGTGAATGGGGAAAGCACCATTGGAGGAATCTCAAGCTTCAATTACCTTGAGAAAATAGTCAATTCTCCATGCATTCAGAGAGGCACTTTATAGTGCTATTATATTCAACTTAATATTGCGTAGTAATTTAGCTGGCACTTGTGGACTCACTACTGCTTTCTAACACTGAAACAAAAAAGAAAAGACAAAGTAGAGGAAGAAAAGAAAAGACTTCATATGGGGACTCAGGAAACAGTAAAACACTAATAGTTTTGGTGCCCCACACAGTTCTTCGTATTTGGTCAATAACCAACAGCTATTTGACAACGAAATTGATATGTTGCATCAGATATTATTTAATGGAATTTTTTCATGCAACACATTTGGTACTGATTATGGTCTATGTGATTTAAAAACATTTCAGTCAATGAGAGAGTACATATACAAGGTCAATAGCACTGGGTGATATCATACATCCTGGTCTCTAGTAGGTTTGGTAATCCCACTGACATTCTCACAAGAATCAAATCATATTGCATTTTTCAGAATATATACATGCTGTTAAGTGATTCATCTTTTTCTGGGAACACTCCAGACAACGTTCAAGGGCTGTTCGTGGCTCTGCTCTCAGAAGTGAACCCTGGTAGTGCTGGGGGACAATATGTGTTCTGGGTATTGGGTCAGGGTCAGCCACTTGCAAAGCAAATTCCTCATTTCCTGTACTCTTGCTCCAGCATGAATCACGTCTTTAATGACCCACTCCAGCTGGTGAACAATACATTGAGAGATAAAAATTAGGGAATATTGTTTACGTATTAGTCAGCAACAAACTCCAAATTTAACAACTTTACTAATTTTGATTTGCTTTTTTGATGGTTTTGAGATAATATTATGAGATTGTATTTATTATGTCATAGCTTCTTTGGGTCACCAGTCTAGGGATGGCTTGGCAAGGACTTTTGCTCAGACTCATATAGACCACAGTAAGGCACTGATGAACCATTTATCTTGAGACTCTGCTGGCAAGGATTCACTTCCAACGTCACTCACACAGCTATTTGCAGAGCCTAGTTCCTCAAAGTTGTTAGATTGAGGACTTGAGCTCCTTCTTGACTGTTATTTGGAGGTCAGCCTCAACTCCTTGGTACCTGGGGCTCCCATACTTCCTTCTTCCTTCTTCAACATGCACCTGAGTTAATCAGAAGGAGCAAGAGAGAGGCAGAAGGTAAAGTCAGCCCAATGGAAGACACAGCCTTTTGAAGTCTTATTTGGAAGTGATCTTTTATCTCTCTCGACACATTCTATTAGAAACAAGTCACGGGGTCCAGTGCATACTCAGAAAGGAGAACCTGATCGCACAGCAACAAAAGTAGGAGCAGATGGGCATCACTAGACTAGCCTCAAACTACTTCCTACATAAGGAGAGAACTTTAACAAATCCTTAAAATGAATCAGCTTAGACTTGAGTAAGATAAAAGGTTTGCTACAACAAGATTAATGGATATGAAGATGAAATTCATTGATAGGAGCAAAGACTAGTGAAAATCTGGCAACAAAAAATTGTAGTGTCCTATTTCTCTTAAAATCACAATTACACAACTCTTTTTACTTAAAAAATAAAGAAATAAATATGCTTTCCCCTCTTTTCAACTCATTTTCACTTCAGTTGTTCATAGAAACAACATTATCAATGCACCTTTTCTCTCAGCCAATAACCATCTGCGATTCTCTTTAAACATCTTTTAAAAGTTTCATAATCTTACATTTTTAGTAATAACTTGTGGGCAAGTTACTAGCTCAATAACTTTTCTATATTAGAAGGATAGTTTAAATCATAGTCATTCCTATATGTGCATGTCTACAAACAACTACAAAATGCTCCTTCATAGATCAAGTTTCAGTCTTATATTCGATAAACATGGATTTGGGTCTGAGGCCAAGGTGGGTTTCCAACTGTTCGCTATTAAACAGTCGACCTTCTGTGGCTTTCTCCAGAAGAAGGAACAGGCAATTCGCTACATAGTGAGGAGACTGCATAGAGCCCAAAGAGGCTAAGTCTGAAAGACGAAGAATGAACAAAAGCAGTTCTCTGGCATTAGCTCTCATTCCGACGAAGAGGGAAAGATTAGTGGTCGCAGTATATCTGCCATATTTCCTGGATGGATCCATCCTGGGTGGAGAAGGAAATTCCTGTGCTTCTTGGAAAGCTGGATATGTGGCAACTAGTCTCCCTTCTTATATTGGGGAACTTTAAATCCTTTAAAAAATTTAAAAGAAAATACATAGTCAAAGAGAATTTCTGGTGAGATTTCCAATTGCCAGGAGATCGTTTTAGAGAAGGATCCTTCATTGGTATTGTGGCATCTTGGACTGCCCCATTTGTTTCTCTTGTAACTGTTTTCCTGAGAAAAGTAGTACTTGATCTTCTTACTTCCCAAACACAGGAAATGTTTAAAGTAAGAAGTCTCTCAATTTTCTTTCTAATCCTTCTGTCCAAAGAGAAGAATTTGACGTGTGGGTTCTTTCCCAGTGACTTTGAAAACACACATAATCTTCAAACTATTACATTTCTTCACAAATATCAGACACTTTATTCAGTAGGCTGCCTTTTCTTTTGACAATATATCATTGGCACCTTTCTGTAGTAGCACGTCCTCCTGAATATCTGTTTCCTGATATCTATCACATAAACCAGGCCCTGATATTTAAGTTGTTCCATGTATTTTGCCCGATAAAAATAACAGTGCAAAACTTGCAAAAGTTTTCTGTTATTTTGGGGGCTGAAGAGATAGTATAGTGGGTAGGGCACTTGTGTTGCATGCTGCCAACCCAGGTTCAATCCCTAGTTCTTCAATATGGTCTCTCAAGCCCACCAGGAGTAAACTTTAAGCAGTCAGGTGTGACCCAAAATTACCCCCCAGTTTTTTAAGTTATTTTTGAAGCATCAAATTCTACATTATCTTTTATTTAAATTATATAGATTTTGATAATGTTGTCAGATAACCTTTTAAGTATTATAACAATTTAAACTCTCCTATGACAATCGAAGAAGTGTACTATTTTCCCACATCTTATCAATATTGAACAATATTCACTTTTTAATAGGCAAATGGTATTGATTATAAGTTGCATTTAAAATATTGCTAATGAAGATTATTTTTATTTTCCTGAGGGTTTTTTCTTTTCTTTCTTTCTTTCTTTCTTTCTTTCTTTCTTTCTTTCTTTCTTTCTTGACTTTTTGGGTCACTCGCAGTAATGCACAGGGTTTACTCCTGCCTCTGTACTCAGAAATCACTCCTGGTGGTGCTCAGGAAACCATCTGGGATGTTGGGGGTTGAATCTGGGCTGACTGTGTGCAAGGCAAATGTCCTCCCCATTGGACTATCTCTCTGGCCCCTATTTTCTTGTTTTACAGTCATTTATAGTTCTTTTTTAATTGCATTTATTACCATTACCATTTTTGTACTAAAACATTTTTACTTTATATCAAAATGTTACTACTGAGTTCTTTGTACCGTTTCTTTAAAACATAAATGCTTCTCAGTGTTAAGTCTAAAATATTTGCTTCAAATACAACTTTTCAAAAAACTTTTGGTATTTGTTCAACTTGAAAAAAAGAAAAATTGCATTTCTTTTTGGTGTGCTTGTTGTTATAATCTTGGGTAGCAATCACAATTAATATGTATTAGGGAAAATGGAAAAACAAACACCTATTTCCCAAAATGATTATGGGTTCTGAGCATCATTTCTGATTCTTATTTTGTTTCTGAGGAAGGTGAGTGCATCACTGTTTAATTCTAAATAAAAATTCTTGGTACACTGGTGGCCTCATCAACCTTCCCGTGGTAATGCAGAAAGAATTTGCAAGTCTCTGGAACTATATAAGTGGATTTTCATCTAAAGTAGGTTTAAAAATTGTTATTCTTCTCTTATAGTGCCTTTATCTCTGAAGCAGAAAAAAAGCCCAAGACGTTGAACCAAACCACTTTAGATAAGAAACGACTTACACTCTGTTGGCAGGAGCTGGTATGTGAAAATCTATTTATACTTGGAACAAAATTAAAGCATGTGTTTTAAAAATAAACCTTGTGGACAAAGCATAGGTCAAAGACCAGATGAGGATAAGGTTCTAGAGATTATATATTTACGTGAGACAGAGAAGTCGGTGATGAGGGAATGTTTGGGTAAGTTGGAAAGGCACTAGTATTTTATGGGATATTTAAAAAGAATGATCTAGAAGCACACCCGTATCATATATTAGCACATTTTCTTCCACATCTTCTGGACATGTGTACTTTGTCAAAGGTATAAACCTGTCTTTCTCCTTTGGAAATAGATCCACAGCAATGGTTTAAATTCCTTTCTATGATTTTCTCCCATTAATAAATGTGTGAAAAATTGTTAGCATTTCTTGAGAACAGGACAGTAACTGATGTCTTTCTGTTACCTGCTGACAGGTATAGTGCTTGGATGTCCTTTAGACTCTTAGACTTAGTAGACTGTATACTGACTGAAAATGCCACACCAAGTCAGACCCTGAATTATCTCATCACCAGAATAATAAATAAAAGATTTTATTCCCTGTACTCCCAGGAAGACAGGGTCCAGCCAAATATCAAATGTTCCTCTCTCCCATCTCTTCTTCAGCACTCCTTATTGCCCTTTCTAGCCCCTCAATCGCACACATTCCCTCTTATCCAGAATTATTCTGCTCCCTCCTCAGATCTACTGGAGCAAGCCCATAGTCTCCATTTCTGTAGTGGTCCAGCTCTTTTTCCTCCACCTTTTGACGTGTATTTCTGTCCTTCTAGTGGGCCTGGTACCGGTGTATGTTATAGCCCATCATCTTCCCACCTAATGTGTTCTTCATTCCATAACGTTGCTCTCCAGCCAGAAGCTTTGAATCTAAGTCCTTGTACCTTGCCCTCAACAGTCAGACTCCAGACTCGATTGATTCTATTCCTTACAGCCTCCAGAAGTTATTCCATTGCTGCATGCCCAGAGTCACTGCTTTAAAAATCTCTTATCATCTCTAGTTTAGAATTGCAGTAATATTCCTCCAACACATCTTACATAAGGAACCAGAATGATTTTTCTAGAGTAAGAGTCTGATAGGTCACATTTACTTAAAGTCACTGAAATCTCTCAAATGAATTCTAATTCCCCTTTAAATTTACATGTATATTTTATTTATTATATTGTAAATATTATATATGCACACATACATGGCAGCTCTCCATCTGGCATCCCAGCATTATCTCCTATATCTCTTTGTCTATACTCCAACAATTTTGAACCTCACTGATAATGTGCCTTCCTATATGATTATTCCCTCAGTCTGGACTGTTCTTTTACTTCCTGTTATCTGAATAGTTTCATTCATTTTTAAAGGCTCAGTTCAAATCTCACATCACACACAAAACCCAGATTTTCCCTCCCTCTGGTCCCATGATTTTTGTACATTTTAGTTGTTTGCATATGTTGATTGCACCTCTCCAAAATGTCAAAGTCTTAAAGGGAAGGAAGCATATGTCTCCCCCTGTCCTTGGCTTGGCAGCAATATACCAGGCCATTCACCAGACAAAGAAGCTGCAAACTTTGGTGTCACATTCTATGTTAGATACCGGAAACGCAAAGGTTTTAATAATTGACTCTTGTCCACAAAGAACTTATTGACTGAATGCTGTGTTCATTACATCAACATTTATTTAACACCTGCTATATCCCAGGAGTTCTGCCAGATTCTGAGAAGAGAAGGTATGTACAAGAAAGAGGATTTCCCTGTTCTAGTGAGTGTGGCCTTTTAGTGGAGAAGATCGAAGCTAGACAAATAAAAGCAAACAAGTATTACTGCAGGTTATAATTCTTAGGGAAATTTTAAAGGCCCTGAGTGATTTGGGCCATGTTGGGGAATATAATTCAGTGATGCTATTTACACTAGGGCCCGATAAGGAACAGCAGAGTGTAGGAAGAACATCTGAGCAAGAGGCGACCACACATGCCATACTGGATGATGGAGAGAAGTTGGCAAGTTTGAGGTCCCCTGAGGATTCATGCTGTGCTATCGCTCCAGTCCTTCCTGGGGCACAGTGATTGAAATATTTTGAAGCAGAGAGCAAACAGTGCCAAATCACACAGGGCCTCAGAAATCACTCGGAAGTGTTGGGGTTGTTTTCCTAAGCACATAAATGTAGGCTGAACGAATGCATCAAAATAACACATTTAAATGCTACAGCTACTCCTCTGATCTCCCTGGTGGTATTTCTCATATGCTGTTTTATTTCTCTAGGAAGGGGTGGTGAGGGCTGTGAAAACAGTCTTGGACTCCTGACTTGGCTGTGGGTCCCCTCCAACTTGCCCTTAGGCGATGCTTTCTCCAGTGATGTCCAACCTTTCTCCATCCTCAGGCCAGTGAAAATAGGAGAAATAGTTCATGTAACACTAAGGCAGAAATAAAAACTATTATTTATGATAAGAATATTCTGACTTCAATGTTTATCATAGTCATCCCGATTCAGGCTACCATGTATACACAGCAGCAGCTTTTTCATGAACTGGCATGAAATTTCCTTCAGTTGCCCCCAGTCCACCAAGCAGTGGTTGAAAATCACAGGCTCACTCTGTTTCCCCAACTGTACAATCAGAGCAAGTTTCCGTGCCCCAGGAGGCGTTGTGAGGATTAATGAGGATGAATTCAGGAGAGAGAATACTACCTAGCACAAGATTAGAGCTCACTACATTTTAGGTGCTTTTATTATAGTTGTTGCTGTTGTTAAGTGTTGGGAAGCTAAGATTTGGGTTTTGGCTAACAGAACTATGGGAATCTTGACAAAAGTCTGAATTTTCTGGGTCTTAGCTTCTCATCCGTCAACAGAGGTGAGCTGAGATTCCTGTTCTCAGATGTCTTCCAGATTTCCTTGAAAGAGGCAGCATGTATGGGGACAGGCCCTCAAGGATCTGTTGTGAATGCTTTCAAGTATTAACAAGAACCTTCAGAGCTCTTCAGAAACAGCACAGAGTTTGTTCTGATTTCTGGACAGATCTACACTTATTCTTGTCTTATTTTAGGAGGCGATGGCCAAGGAGGCCAAGGGGATTATTCAGCAGCAGAAGAAAAAGTTCTCTCTCAATGAAATGATCCAGGCAGCCCAAAACGTAATGGAAAAAATTCGCTTTCTTGTGGATGAGGTAATCCACTCCAAACCTTGTTTAAAAGATTAGACTGAATATATTCCTACTGACGTTGGAAGACTTGATAAGGATGAAAGATACAACAATGTTTTCTCCTAAGTTTGACTGGCTGAGTAGGCACTATTAGTTTTGGGGTGAGAAAGGAAAGTTTTAAATTAAGCCAACCATGCATAGCTTTATTGATTTTTAAAAACAAAACCTGAGTATTCAGCAGAAATGAAAAAGCATCTTTCTTAATGCACTCAGGAAAAGTCAAAATAAGCTCTGGGCCTTTGATAAGTTTTCAACAATAAGAGGATTTAAAACGTGTTTGATAAGAGAACAGATTCTCATTTTAAGTTAGTTGTAAACTTAAATATCTTTGGTGACTTCTTGAATGATCTTCTAGAAATAAATGGCATTTTTGTTTTGGTTTTTATTTGCTTGCCAGACACTGGGCTTTATATGAAAAGATTTCTGGGAATAGGACATATTTATTGCTTCTGTTATCTTTAATATTATATTGCTTATTGTGAATCAAACATACTCCGGAAAATAAGCAGGAAGGCAGCTCATCATTTTAGTAGTGCAAGGGTTTTAATGAGTACTCACCCAGAAGGTTCAAGACAGACATTAGGGCATCCAGTAACAGGCCAGGTGCCCAGGAAGTCATTCACATCAATGTCTTTATTTCCATGTCAAGAGAGAAGGGATGATGGAGGAGTTAAATTGCTTGTATGGCATGTGGCTGACCCCAGTTCAATCCCTGACACCAAATATGGTGTCCCAAACACAGCAAGGATTGATTCCTGAGCAAAAAACTAGAAGTAAGTCTTGAGCACAGCTGGTTGTGGTCAAATTCACCCTCTCGCCAATAGAAAGAAAGAAAGCTCTCTCTGGCTCCCAAAAGCAACAGAACATCTACTTGTACCCCAGGAATTCCAAAGCCTCATTATGACTCTATACCTTTCATTTTTTTCTGTACTTTCACTGGCTCAGAAATGTGCATTTCAAACACTTACATATAATGGGCCTCTTGGCAGGGAATTCTGCAATTTCAGTCTTGGTTAGCAAAACTTGCAAGTCTCATTTTCTGTGCAATTTAGTTTCTCCTGAATAGCCATGTAAAGTGGGCTAAAATACTTGGCAATCATATTGGAGCAATAAAGTCCCTTAAAGAATGTTTTGGCTTTCCTTAAGAGCAAATGGAAAAAAATCCAAGATTTTTGTTTCTGTTAACTTTTTCAACAGCAGAGAAGAGTAGGCTACCAATGGTGCCAAATCAGGGCTACAGGGACAAGTTTGGAATTGTCATGTACTAGAAATCCATGGGCTAAGACTTCCACTTTTCAAAGAAGCTACATTTAACTTATTTGACTGAATAGTTCAATATTGGATGGTCTAAACCAAGAAAACAATGTAGTTTAAAAATTTGTTATGCAAAAGAAGGACTGTTTCAGGATAGCAGCAATCTGGAAGTGCATTTGTTAAACCGGACCAATCTATTTCCCTCTGTTCTTCAGCCTCAGCACACTATCCCTGATGTCTTCATCTGGATGCTCAGCAATAACAAGAGAGTGGCATATGCCCGCATTGCTTCCAAAGACCTGCTCTATTCTCCAGTCATGGAGCAGATGGGTAAACACTGTGGGAAGATCAAAACCCATTTCCTCAAAGTAAGTCTGCATGATATTTTTGACTCAGAGATGAGAAGTTTGCTTTCTCTGACCAGTTAAGTATTTCATTGTGTCTCCACAGACCTGTCCCTCTATACTTTTAAAGGTCTGAGAATAAAAGGACTACTTTGACCCCTTCTGATTCGAATTGCCATTCAGTAGATCATCTGGAGGAGGGACATTTCCCAATTTCCCAATTTCTGTTACCAGAAACAAGCTATTTTTAAATCTAATGCATATGCTTCAAGAATACTTTAGTTTTCACTTCATAAATTACTAGGGAAAATGATATGTTTTTATTTGTTTCTTCTCTACCCTTTGTCTTTATGGTAATTTGTTCATGATATTTTTCACACAAGTCCATCTATGATTTTTTTTTTGAGAAAACAAAGCAGATTTCAAAGCAAGTTGTAAAAAGTGAGGTTTATATTTCAAAGAACTAATTATGGTTCCAACATGTGCTGTTCTTTTCAACTTGGGTCTCTGCACACTTCTTGAAGGCAGGCCCCCTGTGTATGGCCTTACACCTCAATCTCTCACTAGATTCTACTGACTTTAACTCAAAAGCCGAGTCTTCCTTGGAGATCCTCAGTATTTGCCTCTACTGTGAAGGAAGTTCTAATTCAAAAGTTGACTTAGTAAATATGGAGAAAAATTGGTTCAAATACTTATCACTCATCCCTGATAGTCCTAAGAGAGTATAGTTATATAGGTTATAGTTATACTGATTTTTCCTAATAATGTAAGAATGTCCTGCCAATTGCACTTCTCAATTTTTGCTATACTGTAAATCTTCACCTTCATAAAGAATAAAAAGGCTCAAAATGATGCCAGGTGAATTGTTGAAGAGGGAGCAATATTTAGCTGAGAAGAGAGGATTTTTTTAAAAAGTTTTATGTGGATATCATAAGGATTATGGGTTGAGTATGTGTGTGTGTGTGTGTGTGTGTGTGTGTGTGTGTGTGTGTGTGTGATATTTTCAGAGGATAAAGATAGGCCACATGAAGATATGACAAGAAAATAATTTCTTAGCTGGAGGTCCATAATGTGTTCCTTGACCCCTTGATATAAATGGTGCAGTGGGAAGCTAGATTAGATAGCCTTCAAGGATCGTTCAGTTAACTGCTAGTTTCCAGTGAGAAGTAGTAAATGTCATAGAAGAGCAAAATGAATTATTGGTAATGGCTTAATGCACGGGCTTTGAAATAAAAGTCAATTTGGATTGAAATTCCTTTTACTAGGCTTGCTATTACAAAGTACGACTCATGGCTTAAACAGAAAATTTACTATCTCACAGTTATCACAGTTGGATTAAAGTCCAAAAGTATGAGATGAAGTTGTGGTAAGGGTTGGGATCCCTCTGAAAGTGTTTGGGAAGCATCTCTTGTATTTTCAGATAACTTCTCTGCTAAAGGCAGCACAACTCCAGTCTTTACCTAGCATTCTCCCTGTGTCCATTTTACAGTTATCTTTTTTATAAGAACTTAACTTCAGTTGCACCTAGCCCTGCAATGACCTGTTTCTAAATCAGGTAATTCCAAATTCAAAGATACTGGGAGGTAGGAATTCACTATAGGAATCTTGGTGGAATACAATTTAACTTATAACAAAATTCCAGGGCTAATATTTACTGACTATATGTCCTTGGGAAAGTCACTCAACACCTATGTGTTTTTTATTCTTCATTCATAAAGTGTAAATGGTATTGCAGAATAGTTTTTAAAAAGAAACATAGTCTTGAACTATAGTATAGCAGTTAGTGTGTTTGTCTTGCATGCAGTGGACTCAAGTTGATGCCCAGCATCCCATATGGTCCCCAGAGCATTGCCAGGAGTAATTCTTCAGTACAGCACCAGGAGTAACCCCCTGAATATCACTGGGTGTAACCCAAAAGGCCAAAGAAGAGAAAAAGGAAATATGTCAAAGATAGATCATCCAGTAAAACCACTGAATAAATGTAGCACTCAAGCAAATGGGCATCCAACCTCAAGAAGATGTTTCTGTAACTATGTGTCATCTTTATATCCAGTCTCTGTAGATTATATACAGGTTATCTTTTGTGTAAAATGATTTTCTGTCCAAGTTATTTACCACAAATAAAAGACCTTCATCTTTTTCCATCAAAAAAATTCCGGGGGCACAAGAAACATGTGTCTTTAATAGAATATCATTTTAGAAGGCCCTGGGTTAAGCATATCAGGAAATCAGTGCGAAGTTACTTCCTCATAAACATTTGGATGCATCCTGTCATTATATTTAAAATTAAGACAAAGAACAGCTGTGGAAGAAAGCCAGTGGAGCAACAAAATGAAGGCTTCAGAACCTCTATTCTGCTGTGTTCATCTTCTAGATATTATTCTCTATCAGTTGGTCTCTAAGTCATAGTTCACTTTCACATTTATCTGGAATTCTCTTCTGCATTGATATTCCTCTGGGTAATAGTTTTCTAAATTATGTGGAATTGAACTGAACTGACATAATGAAATATCTTGATAATATGACTTAGCAAAAACAATTTTTATTCCCATGTTAATTGTTGTCCCTGATTTCACCTCCTTCTCTCCAATCTCTCTTCATTGCCTCTTTCTCCATAGGGAATTAGAAAACCTGAACAAAGCCAGGGCTTTCCCAGGGAGACAGTCTTCAAACATGACCTGGGTCTTAGCTGGGAAGCAGCATAGCATATCAGTGTGTAAAGGTCTCTAGGCCAGGCTCTCTTCACTGTTTTTTTCTACTGAACAGTTTACCTGGGTATGCTTCCATGAATGATCCAGAGTTAAGACATTGGGAAATTGTAGTTGCAGCCATCTGTGGGGAATTTCAGCTTCCACTAACTAGTAGAGGTCTCTGAGAAGTTCTGTAGTCAAGAAACATATATTCCAACCCATGTCTGCTAACCCTATTCCATCTTGAATTACTATTTAAAAATATGGGGATACTGCTGTGCCTAGGAGGCCCAGCTGGGAGGATATTAGTATAGAGGAACTGAAGGTGTCTCATGCAGTCTCATGGCCACATGATGGTAAATTTGTCACAATTGCCAGAGTTTCATGAACCTCACTCCATGATAAATCTTTTTCTTTAATTTAAATATATTCATAATAAGGGGGCGGAGCTGTAGTACAGCAGGTAGGGTGATGCCTTGCATATGGCTGACCCAGGCTTAATTTTCGGCATCCCATATGGTTCTCCACTCCTCTGGTATTGCCAGGAGTGATTCCTGTGTACAGACCCAGGAGTAACCTCCGAGCATTGATAGTGTGACCCCCCAAACATATATAATATATACGTATATCAATATATCATATATATACATATATGTACATATATACACACAAAAAGTGTGTATACACACACACTCTTATAATGCTACCAAAAAGACTGGAATAGGATTTTCAGAACTTGGCCCCAACTACCATGCTGTGTAATCTCAGGAGTGGCTAGGGAACCTCAGGGGCTCTCTCTCTCACAGCCTGTGTTTGGTGGACTTGGGCTGCTCCCCATCTAGGGGCAGTCAATGCCATGCGCAGAAGAAGGAGGAAACAAGGCCGCCAGGCTGGTTGATGACCGTTTGCCATTTATTCCTTTCTCCCTACTCGCCTGCTCCAGTCTCACTAAACCCCCTATTCTAGTCTCACTCTGGCCCCTCATTCCAGTCTCCTCCTGTTTCTCCCGCTCATCTCTCTACACTCCCTCTCACAGCCGTATCTCGTATCTCTCTCTCCACAAACCTGCTCCTGCATTTTTTGCCTACATTCTTCTCTCTCTCTCTCTCTCTCTCTTTCTCTCTCTCTCTCTCTCTCTCTCTCTCTCTCTCTCTCTCTCTCTCTCTCTCTCTCTCTCTCTTTCTCCAACTCCCTGCATTGGGGGTAGCAGAATCAACATATCAAAAGCCCTTCCTGGACTTTGAAATACCTTTTAGGTGGTGTTCCCTTTGAACTTACTGGGCCCTCTGGAAAGGCTTTTTTTTCTTTTTTTCTTTTTGGGTCACACCTGGTAATGCACAGGGTTACTCCTGGCTCTGCACTCACCCAGGTTGACAGCGTACAAGGCAAATGCCCTACCCTCTGTGCTATCTCTCCAGCCCAGAAAGGGCTTTCTTATATTGATTTTGCTACCTGACTGGGTGCAGTGTTGGCCCAGAGTGTGTGTGTGTGTGGGGGGGGGGGGGGGAGGTGGGAGGGAGTTGAAGTGACTAGAGAGCTGAGAGGAAGAGAGTTGGAGAGATGAGAGAGAGAGCCTCGGAGGCTTCGAGATGGAGCAGGGAGAGATGGGCAGGAAAGACAGGAGCAGACAGAAATGAGGGCCAGAGTGAGACTAGAATGGGAGGCTCAGAGAGACTGGGGCAGGCGCGTGGGGAGAATGGAATAAACAGCAATTGATTACCCCCTCCTAAAAAAAAAAAATAAAGCCCTTCCTGATCACTGATCAGGTTCAAAGGTGGAAATGCCACCTAGGGGTTTTTCTCCTGTTCTTAGTCCAATAACTTAATTAACATCTAAATCCTACTTCTTAATATTTGTTATTTTGTATAGACACAGTAAGAGATACATTGAGCTTGTAAGGTGGCTCTCCTGGGAACATCTCACAATAGATCTCAGACTACAGTGCTCAGGCCAGATAAATCTTTCCTAACCCTCACAGGGTCCGAATCTAGTTGTTACTCTATGGATCATGACAGAATTTGTCCATGACCATGCTCTTAACTTATAGTTAAGCATCACGGTGCTTTGGCTTGGCCCATTTCGATGGCAGGGTAACTCACAGCTTGCCCTGGGTCCAACCAGTCCCTCGTCGGTACAGTGTTTTGGGGGTGCTAGGAAGTAAAGAAAACTGAGGCTTACGTGGAGAGAATAGATTCTCAGGGGTGAATATCATTCAGAGTCAATTAACTCCCAAGTTACAAAAGCTTAGCCTTAACTGTCTTCCTGTGTCTATACAAAAAGGACATTGATCTGAATTAACTATGCAAAGGACTTAAGGAGAAGAGAAAAGCAGTATTTACAAGTGGACAGAGCACAAAGAAAGAGGTTACAAATAAACACAGAGAAATGGGAGCACTGTGATGGGAGTAACCCAATAAACCTGAGCTCCCTGTGGCAAGGCAGAAAGGACAAACCAATGTTATCCTACACCATGCCAAACTGCAGAGTTCTGTCACATCAGTACCATCCCCACGGACCCCACAGGTCACAGAACGGACATTCATCACCTGAGAGTTAACTCTGCCTCTATGAGACGATGTGCACTGGCCCTGCAGAGGGAGCACTCACCCTTCCTTTTCTGCTATCTCCCCTCTCAGTGGTGGTTCACTTGTGCCCAAGAGCTCCTTCTCAGTATCCTCTTCTTGTCTTTAACTTCTGCTCCACACTGAGTCCAGTCTCCTCCTCTGGCCTCCAGTTTCCCTAGCAACTTTCTCCAGGATGCAGTAGGAGGTGTTGGCTGAAACAGCCTGCCACTTTCTGCATTAGAGCAAAATGTATGAGGCAACCAAGTCTATCAATACTGATTAACCAGCTACAACACAGTTTATGTAAATGGCTCTTCTTTTAAAGACTTGTCAGGGTTTCCTCTTTTTATATTTTTTTAAAAAATTTTTTTAGCCAGTTGACATTCCCCAGAACATGGAGAGAAGTGGACAGGGCTTAGGCTAAGACTAACATTTTGTCTAATACAATTTTATACATTGATGGTCACAGTTTTCCTAGACACTTGGCACTTGGTAATTTTGTTCTAGAGTAGTTTTTTTCCTTCTGCCTTATTATGTTACTCTCTAAAGAAAAGAATTTTCTATGGTTGCTCAGACTTCTGCAATGTAAAGAGAGGAAAGACAGTGGAGAAGGGAAGGCAGGAGAAGACTCACCCCATAGGTAAGTGGAATTCAAAACAGAGTTCTGTTTATGGAAGCACCTACTTTGGGAGTCCAGTCACTCAGGAATGTCACCTGAGTTAAACTTGGTCACTTAAGGGAGAGACTCAAGTATTGTCTTGCAAGCAGTTTCCATTCATGTATTTTTTCCAAAGATAAATACACCACAAAACTTGCAACTGTAGCAGAGTCCTAGTGTTAATTCTTACAAGGTTTTAGCCAAGCTTTTGGTTATAACCATGAACTCAAAAAGCTCATTGTTTTTAACAATAGAAGCAAATGATAGATTATATATTGTTTCACCTTAAGAAGTAAAGGTACTTCTGGACTGGAGAGATAGTAGGGGGGGTGGTTAGGTGTTAAGAGCTTGCCTTGCACTCAGCTGCCTCTGACTGATCTCCAGCGTTGCCTGTGGTCCCCCCACCAGCACTGCCTGGAGCACTATAGAATAGGCTCTGAGCACAGCCAGGGAGAACTCACACACCACCCCACCCGCACAGAACTAAAGGTATTTCTCTGTACTTAAGGCAATACAGCATATTAACTTAAATCTTGGAACTCAGATTAACACTGTGGTCTGCAGATTGGGAGAATCATTACTAACAGGGAAGATATCACATCTCAAACCCAGCACAACAAAGGGATTGAGATTTACATTTTAATCAGTTGTACAGGTAGCCTCCTGGATCTCCCATTTCTTCATTTTTCAAATACACATAATGACGGGATCTGCTCTGTAGTCACCATAGTGATGAATCAGGATGGATGAGTTATTAATCATATGCAACAGATCATTCTGCCTGGGGCAATGTAAATGCTCCAACATGTGAAGTCTTATTATTCATAGAAAAATAAAGGATTATTGTCAACAAATATTTACCAAGTGCTTCCTGGGTGTCAGATACCCTTTAGGCATCGGGGACATCACTGTGTGGTGTTTTGTTTTGTTCTTTTTGTCTAATGACAGTATCAAACAAAATCCTTGCCTTTGTAAATAGATGTCCTAGTGGCACCTATAAATGGCAAATGATCACTTGTATTAACAACAAAATAACCCTAGGCTCTCAATAAACATTTGTTTTGTTGAAGCAGCAGCTCACACAGACTAGCTATGGTAGAAATGATGAATTGAGGATCATTTGTTTTATGAGTATTTAAAAAAAAAAGAGTTTCAAGTTGCAGAGTGCTTGCCTTTGACAACAACACAATGGTCCACTTTGCTTTTAAAAGCTGAATAATGACAACCCACTCCTTAGAGAACAAAACCCAAACTCCTCCACACAAGTGGGGTTCTCCACGATAACCTCTCAGTGTCTATATTGCAAACCATAATGTCCAAAAGTAGAGAGAGATTATGGGGAATAATGTCTGCCATGGAGGCAGGGGGAGGGTAGGAAAGTGGGGGGTATACTGGGGATATTGGTGGTTGGGAATATGCACTGGTAGAGGGATGTTTGATCGTTGTGTGACTGTAACCCAAACATGAAAGCTTGTAACTATCTCACAGTGAATCAATAAAATTTTAAAAACAACAACAACAACAAAAAACCAAGTGGGGTTCTCCATCCTCCCCCACACCTTCTTTTTCAACTCTCTCACTCATTTCTTGCTGTTCCTTCTTTGATGAAAGCCTTCAGAGAAACTTTCTGGCACAGAAAGTTTTACACACAGAAAATTAGCACACAATTCCTGCCAGCTCACATCCACATGGTTTGTTTCCCCCCCATCTTTGTTGATACACTTCTCTCTACCCAGGATGCTTTCTCTGCTGATTAAAACCCAGCCCCACACTTGTACCATAAAGAAAGGATGAAAACTCCCAAAGCTATTTTTCTGTTTCCTTGATTGTTTCTCTCTTACACTTGACTTTACTTTTGAACTGGAAATGCACATCATTGGTGTCCTTGTCTAGACATGAGTTCTTAGAGACCCTCCTGTACTGCATTTATGTCATTGTGAGACTCCCTGTGGCCTCACTCCTTCAACTAAGGCCCAGTGACGTGTGTGACAGTTGCTAAATTGCAAGGTTCAGCATCTATACAGGAAACCCATGAAGCACGAGAGAAAGACAAATAAGCAAACTCCACATGGGACTCAGAGCCTCTCCATAGTGGCCTTAGAAGTTGTCGGGCAAGTCTAAGCCTCTCTGAGCAGGATTTTGTGATTCTCTATAGAGTAATGGTGATATAGAATAAAAGGAAAATAATGATAATAAATCCTGAGAAATGCTAGGACACTTAGGAGAGTCAACAAAAAATGAATACAGCCACTCTCACTCAGAACAATAACCTTACCAGAAATTCATTACACAGCTTAATCTAGGGCCTGACTCCTTAGATGAAATTAGTCCACTAATCAAGTCCGCTACTTTGAGTTGCATCCTTCTCACCTTGATAGTGTGTGTACCCCCATAGCAGGATGTGCACACATAAAGTCACACCACACACAGGGATATGTACATAAACACACTAAATCAAACAAGCAAATTAATCCAAGTATACTGAGGAAATAAAGAATACTTTACCAGATATTTGGAACATGTTGCACCAAAAGGATTAAGAAACAAGAAGGGTTAATTCATGAAGATGTTAGGGTCTGAGCTCAGGACAGCCTCACCTGTCAAGGAAAACTCTGAGAGACCAAGTCCATGCAAAAGCAAGAGGTTTATTCGAGCATGCTTGGGCTCACAGCATGACAACAAAATCTCAGTGGCTGAGAGCCCCGAGCCCCTTCAGAGGGGGCTTTTTATAGGGTATCTTCCCGCGCATTTCAGAACAAACCCGCACACAAAGCATCCAATACATTTGAACTATTACATGGCCTTTTTTGGCGAGTTCCAGGTGCAAGGAGGGGATGGGGGTACTTGATGTTGGGCCTTGTTAGGCGGATTCCAGGACAAGGAGATGCCTCATTAGGCCTTCTCCAGCCTTGTGGCCTTATCTGGCGAATTCCAGGTGCAAGGAGGAGATGGGGGTACTTGGTGTTGCTAGCCTGCCGCAGCTGCAGGACGGGATATGGGCTGGGACTTGCTTTGCTAGGACCCAATTGTCATGGGGCTATCTTTCAAAGAGAGGATGGGATAGGGTGAGAAAGTGTCTTTGAGTACATGAAGACCTCATTGATAAAAGAAGTGTCTGAATTCTTCTGGGTTAAACAAAAGCACTGTCAAGCAAACCCTGTCCTCCCATTGTTCATCAATTTGCTCAAGGGGGTGCCAGTAACGTCTCCATTGTGAGATTTGTTGTTACTGTTTTTGTCATATAGAATATGCCACGGGGAGCTTGCCAGGCTCTGCCTTGCGGGCAGGATACTCTAGGTAGCTTGCCAGGCTCTCCGAGAGGGATGGAGGAACCGAACCCAGGTTGCCTGTGTGCAAGGCAAATGCCCTACCTGCTGTGCTATTGCTCCAGCCCCTGCATTGAACAAAGAGGGTAAAACTCCAGATATTTGGGAGTTCTGGAATGGACGATTCCAATTCAGGGGATAAATGGCAGAATTCAGATTTGAAATCATCTCTCCTCGCTTTGAGTCCTATTTCACCACCTAAAAGTTGAGTGACTTGGAAACCAATTAGTTATACTTTGAGTCTGAGCTTTCTTGTCCTTTTCACCTACTGTTATATTTATGTGATACAGGACTCCATGTGATCTAGGACTCCTCTGGAATTGTGTGTTGTGATGACTGGGGTTATTGTGTCCCAAGATGAAGACCAGATGGAAGATAGTTCAGGGGTGAAGGCACTCGCCTTGCAGGCTACCCTCCCTGGTTTAATCCCTAGTACTGCTTATGGTCCCCTGAGTATTACCAGGAGTGAACTCTGAGCACAGAGAAAGATATAGGGCCTGATCTCCACCAAGTGATATCCCAAGCTCCTAAAATAATAAAAACAGGATGAAGTTCAGCGAACTGTTCTCTGATCACCAACCTCAATATGTCCCCAGTAAGAACCTCTTTTCTCAAAGACCAAGACTTGCTAATAAGATGGTATTCTTGTAACCTTTCCTCAGCTTCCAGGGAAACGAACATCTGGTTGGTCAGTACAAGCCAAAGTTGACGTGTACCTATGGCTGGGCCCCACCAAACACTCCAGTGCCATTTTGGAAAACTTACCAGTAGGTTTTGAAGCTGAAATACAATCCAAAGTGTCTGGCACCACCATTAAACCCCCAGCCAATCTGCACTACCAAGGTATGATTCCCCACTGTGTCAAGAAGGTCATTGCATGTCTCAGGTGGGCTTTCTGAGAAGATAGTGAGAAGGATGATAGGAACAACCTACATGGGTACTCACTGTTATGGTCTTCTATTTTTGATATAGTTTCTAAAACTATATCACAAAATTATAGTTTCCAAAACTATATATTCTTCCTTACCTTTCAGTGTCCTATCTAGAAGGAATAAAGTCATTAAACATATTTTGAATTAAAAAAATCTTTATGTTAATGGAGGGAATGCAATGACTTCTTTTTTGCAAGCAGATAATATGGGTTGATTTTTGCATTTTTCAGCATAAAAAATTTCGTTTAATGAAATCTATTAAATTTTGGTAAAGCTGTGACCTGTGGAATGAAAGCAGATTTTACTTTTATAGGGGACTGAGTTTTTGACATATAAACAACATATTTTCCACTAAAGACCAAATGGAAATTTGCACCAGTGGAAACTTTATTTCTCTATCTTGATTCTTCATTTAGCTGCTTTTAGGAATTCAATACGCTTTTTAGAATTCTTTCTTTAATTTTCTATGAAATCACGTGTACATTTTAACACATTTTTGAGTTTTAATATAATTTTAATGCTTTCTGTAACTTTTTGCTTTTTGTTTCCAAGTTGCTTCACTTTGCTGAATCTCTTATTGCTGAAATTAGAGAGAATAGACTGCAATTTTAACTTCTCTATATTGCTCAAGACTTTTCTGTTGAACATTGATGGTATCTAAGAGACTCAATAGTTATAAAAGAAAGTATTCTAGAAATCTGCAATCAATGGATCAGCTTATGTTTCTGTATTCAAAGATAATGTATAAAGGCAAAAAAGGTTTGATTATCTTTTGAGGAAAATGTATAACACCTTCCATATAACACCTTCCATTAAAGCCAGGCCCTATACTCATCCTTTATAATAAAATCTTCTAGGTGAGGGTTTTTTCACTTTATAGAAAGACATCAAATATATTAGAGATGCTTAGAGATTTCCAGAGATTACCCAGCTGGTAAATGATGAGTAAACCATTTTCAAATCTGCTACATTACCATGCCTTTCATCCCATGTTGTGAAAATTACCCTCTTTGAAAAAAAAAACCACATCAATTTTTTTTATTTCTAAATATACCGTCTCTAGAGACCCAAGGTTCTTATTATTTTTACTGCCCCAGTTCTTAACACTTCAGGGGGGAGAAAAGACTTTTCCTGAAGCTTCTGATCCTCGCAGTGTGTGGTTTTTATGGGATGACCTAATAAACTTTCTCTGCAGTTCACTGGCATTAATGACTTTGGCTACCTTCCACACCTACTGGAGAATTTTATTTCCTCAGTCATTTTATGCTTCAGAAAATGTCCACTCAGTAATTAGTTTGCACCTTCGTGTGGGAAGCACAGGAGGAAGACTAGTGGGGGGTGTGGAGGTGGGTGAGGCTATCAAATGTTCAAGAGTCCCAGCTGCAAATTCCTGAGATGGGACTCTTGGATATGTCCTAAATAACTACAGGTAGGAAGTGAGCCATTGTCAATGGAGACATTACTGGTGCTGCTCGAGCAAATCGATGATCAACGGGAGGACAGTGCTACAGTGCTACAGGAAGTGAGCCACAGCACAGGAGGTTGCAGCCAAGGTGTGAGAGCAATGAGGAGGCTGACTGTGCTGCTTTCAGATGCAGTGCCTATAATACTCAAGGCTTCACACTGCAAGCAAATGTAAAGACAAAGGAATTCTCATTCACTGTTGGTGGGAAAGTTGCCTGGCTCAGCCTCACATGGAGACAGTGTGGCAATTCCTCCAAGAAATAAGAATAGAGTCCCATACGGCTCAGCGATTTCATTTCTTGGCATCTATCCCAGAAATGCAAAAACATTAATTGAAAAAGACATGTGCACACCTGTGTTCATTATGGTGCCTTAGTACCACAGTCAGGATATGAAAACTACCCAAATGTCAAACAGCAAATGAGTGGATTAAAAGGCTGTGGAATGTAGACACCATGGAATACTACACAGTTGAGAATGGGTTTATATATAAAAGAAAACAAGCTAATATCAAAAACAAGAGGGTCTTTGCAACTGTCAATGATCATTAGACTGCATGAACCAAGGAATGTATTAATTCGTCTCTAACTTGGGGTTCCATCTATGTCTCTGATCTGTGCTGACCTGAAACCAACTCTTTACCGTGCTTCCTGACAACAAATGTGTTTACTGTTGATTTAAGCTTTTGGCTTCTGACTGTGTCTCCCGCAGGGCACTTGTCCCTGCCTCATGTCCTGATTGATGCTTGTCTATTCTTTCCTTTCCTGGAACTCCCCAAGGGTAGGTGCTGTGGTGGCTACTTCAGAGAGGAGAACCATGCCTGGCATAGCAGAGGTGCTCAAACCTGGAAGAATGTGTGAATGGATGACCCAAAACATTATAGAGTTCCTCAAAACAAGAGCCATTTGCAGAACAGCCCCTTCCCTGCCAGCTTTTCTCTCTCTCCCTCCTTTTTCTTGTCTCTTGTTTCTTTCTTCTTTCTTCTCTTTTTCAATCTCTCCCCACTTTCCTTCCATCCTTCCACCCCCACTCTCTGACTCTCTTTCTCTTTCTTGATCACACATTCACACACACACACACACACACACATACACACTCTCAAACACAGGAATCAGAATTACTAGGAAGTGAAAATGTGTTTTTTAGGAAAAGAAGATGATTATGGAATCTGACAGTAATGAAATTCAAGCTCTGGCTTTTGTTAGCTCTGTACATTTTAAAAGTATTTTTACCTTTTTATGAGCTATTTCCCTCATTTGTAAAAATGGAAGTAATTATAGATCCCTCACTTGGTTAGTGGGAGGAATAAAACCCACCACGTGGTGAAAACACCAAAGAGAATATGTACCCAAAAAACATAACTTCATCCTCTTACTTTCATTAATGTCAGGGTGGATGGCTCCTGGTCTCCTTTGTTCCTGGATACACACACACACACACACACACACACACACACACACACACACACACCCCACACACACACACCTCTCTTTTCTTTCCCCTCTCCCGCCAAACATACCACACATTCCTATTCATGCACACGCTTCCTGAAAGCCTGCTAATGCCTGTCTTCTCTCAATTTTTTGTCCACAGACCGGCATACCTTTCAGCTGAGAGCTCACATGTACCAAGCCCGAGGCCTCATCGCTGCTGATAGCAATGGACTTTCTGACCCCTTTGCCAAAGTCACGTTCCTTTCCCACTGCCAGGCCACAAAGGTAAGCAGGGAAGCCCAGCTGCCTCCTCCCCCCACAGCCCACAGCAAGCCACAGCACAGCCTGGGATGGAAAGCTAGGAACAAGTCTATGTCTGGCTATGTGCTATGTATTTCTGACTCAGAAGTAGTTTTGCAAGGAAGGAGTGACATGAAGAAGTGACATTGTCCAGTGTGATCTTTAGTCCTGCAGCCAAAAAGAGCACTTAGCCAAGACAAAGGAAGGATGGGAGGCAGAAAGTTTGGAGAGGGAGAAAGGAACCTAGAGTAATGCTCAAATGCCCACATAATGCCAAGTTCACCTTCAGTGGAGAATGGACAAAGGAGAAACAGCGCTGCTCAGATCTCCTTCATGGGGCTATTCTAATCCAGTCTTTATTTGGTATCTTTGGGAGAGCAGAGTTTTCCAGCTCTGACTTGTTCTGTGCCTGCCAGGTCGAGGTCTTTGCATACTCTGAACACCTCTGCAGCTCAGCCTTTGCCCCAACAGCTAGGCTTCCTGATGGGTGTCTGAAGCTTAGAGGAGTAAAGCTCTGCTTCTTTTTTTCTGTGTTTTCTCCCTTTCCTGGACTGAAATGTGAAGAGTGCTCCCAACCAGCAGACACCCAACAGACTGCTTTTCTTCTTAGATCAAATTCTCTAAGGCCTTACTCTGTCCTCAAGAGTTTATTGTTCTTCTCTGCCCGTTTCTGGGAATTAAGACAAAAAGTCAGACTACAAAGAGACCTGAGGTTTCCTTCTAGTTAATCTGCTGCATTTGTTCACTAAGTCTGTTTGTCACCTGAAATGAGAGCAGGTGTGAAGAAGCAAAACGTAAAAATAGTGATTGATGAATGGACGCCTTTCCATTGGCTGATGCTGGAGGGACAGTGTTTCTCTCCTAAGTGAGGTCTGTGACCTGGGAAGTGACTTTTGATGGATGACACACAGACCAAGATCATAATGTGAGCTGGTCACGTGTCCATTCCAGGCTGGGATCTTGCTCTCATGAACCAAGACCCTTGCCGGGTAGGGGTTTTGGGGCGGAGTACAGGGGCAGACCCTGTTCCCATGGAAGATGCCATCCAGACATGGAGGCTGGCACAGGCATGAGATATGCACTGTCTTCACTGTAGCACTGTCCTCCCATTGTTCATCGATTTGCTCGAGCGGGCACCAGTAATGTCTCCATTGTGAGACTTGTTGTTACTGTTTTTGGCGTATCGAATATGGCCCGGGGAACTTGCCAGGCTCTGCCGTGCGGGCAGGATATTCTCAGTAGCTTGCCGGGGTCTCTGAGAGGGAAGGAGGAATCAAACCCGGCTCGGCCACATGCAGAGTAAATGCCCTACCCGCTGTGCTATTGCTCCAGCCTATGAGATATGCACAAACCAGAATAAAGCCCACATAGTTCTGGCTGCAAACTGTGGAGAGAAGTTAGAAGGAAATAAGAAGGAAATGGAGAGATATTGGTTAAGGACCACGGCTCCATCCTCACTCAGGGACCAAGCAGGAAATGAGGACAGTAGGCTGCTTTGCCCTCCTATGCTTTGAGAGGGATTAAGAGGGCAGATCATTTGTTTATCTTTGCTTCCACTTGCTTGAGTGAAGTTGGTTAGGGACAGAGGTGTCGGGGGCTGTGTTAGATATAAAGAAACATAATGGGTGAATATTAAATACCAAAGACAATGGAAACAAAGAATATGAGAACTGTTATTCAATAGAACATGAAGGGCCTGGTGGATAGGAGTGGGGAGGAGGGGGCAGCATCTATGGTGGAGGGGGGAAATGTTCAATCAGAAGGAGGAGGCACTGCTAAAAGGTGGTAGAGTGTTATTTATGAAAGAAACCCTATCAGCAACAGCACTGTAAATCACAATGGTAAAATGTTAAAAAAAAAAGAAGAAGAAAAGAAAAGAAAATGAAAGAAAAGAAAAGACAAGACAAGACAAGAAAAGAAAAGCACTTCTTATAGAAGTAGATTGGTGGAAGGACGACAAATGGGGTGGGGATGGGAATTGGTAGAGGTAAGTGGACACTGGTGAAGGGGTAGGTGTTGAAACATTGTATGTCTGAAACCCGATCAAGAATTACTTTGTAATTTTATGGTCACTAAACGAAAAAAATAAAGACATTTCAAAAGAGTATAGATCAGAGTTACAATATCAGAATTCAAATCTACTATCTTTCTTTGTTCAGCTGTGTGACATCAAGCAAAATCCCCATTGTCCTCAGTTACTTTATCAGTAATGTGGGTCCAGTGATAGCGTAGATGCTTCCCACAGTCAGTGCCTAGCTCAAAATAGCTTCTCTGTGACTGTGCATGACTATTATCATGAGATTTATCCTCCTAAGCAAAGGGGACTCTCAAAGCGTGGCCCCATGGGGACCTTCTCCACCAGTCTTAACACCATGGACTGGGGCCAGAGAGATAGTAGAAGTTAAGACAGTTGCCTCACATTTGATCCCTAGCACTGCCCTAAGCACCACTAGGACTGACCCGGAAGTACAGCACTGGAATAAGATAGAGGCACTATCAGGTGAGACCCAACAGCCCCCACCAACAACAGCAACAAAAATAACACTGCAGTTCCAGACCCCAGAGATGATCTTGACTGTGTGAGGTGAGGGTTCAGTGAGCTCACTGAGCTGCTAGGTAATTATTCTGTTTTGTATACCACAGCGGGTAGGGTGTTTGCCTTGCACTCAGCCGACCTGGGTTTGATTCCTCCACCCCTCTCAGAGAGCCCGGCAAGCTACCAAGAGTATATTGCCCACATAGCAAAGTCTGACAAGCTATCTGTGATGTATTCTATATGCCGAAAAAAGTAACAACAAGTCTCAAATTTGTTGTGAGACATTACTGGTGCCCGCTAAAGCAAATCCATGAACAATGGGAGGACAGTGCTACAGTGCTACAGTGTATCTCTGCAGGGGTATCTCCCTTTGATTTGGAACCATATCTCAAAGAGACAGAGAATCTGTTTTTCAAATAATAGTGTTCTGGATAATGACATTCTGCATGATTCTAATGTATCACCTTTTAAGCAAATTCTGAAGAAATGATACTAGTCATAGGTACCTTGGTAAAGGGAGAATATATATCTGTTTGGGAGATACTTTCGGAACCACTCAAAGGGGGTCATATGATCCTTTCGTCCATGGGAGAACCTCTGATGCCAGTCCAGTACATATTCATTCATTCATGCAAGTAACTACTGAATTCACACAGAAGAATGATGCTGAGTTAGCGCCTATGATTGTGCTGAGATATTACCAATTCTGAAAATAAATGTTGAACGAACGAATGAATGAATGAATGAATACTGACCCCTATAATCTTATCAAGAGGGCTGTGTCTTCAAAGCTAAAAAAAAACTTTAAATTTTTCTATAGGAAAGATGCAATGAGGGTAATAAATTGCTTTTGTATCTCACTGTTGGGTGAACATTGCAAAAAAAAAAAACCAAAAACATGAAGACATTTCTATCTTTAAATCAACATAAACACACATGATTCTCCATAATGTCAGTTACTAGCAAAAGATAAATTTGCCTTGCTACTTCTTAACTCCTATTTCTACATTGAATGGAGTCACTCTTACCCTGTCTAAAAAATTCATATTTTCTCTGAAATTTTGTATTAAAAACTTCACTGTTACTGTAGAAAAATACCTATAAAATTATAAAGCAAAATAATTTTTATGACTCATAAAGGAGAACATTACAAGTATTTTGTAGCTGTGGTGCTAATGATTTGATGCAAATGATTAGAAACAACTCTTGATGTAAAACTCTGATAGGATTATTTGAGTTTGTAGTCTGGACACTTAGTACAGGCTAAATCTCTCTCACATGCTCTTTGACTGAGCAGCAAGAAATACGGGTGTCATGGGCATTTGCCCAGGCTCCAGAAAACACTGTGTTGTGTGCACTGTGAAATCATTCATTTGAGTGAGTGTGGCTGCAGCCCCTCTCCAGGCTAACCTCACTTACTAAGGGGAGAGTTTCTGTCCAGGTGCAGAGTCCCATTCTGCAAACAACCTTTGTTTTATTTCTGTGAAACTGGTGTTATTTCCAAACATACAATTAAGTATACTGGAGCAACGTTTCCATACAACCTCCTGTAGGCACCCAGGATATTCTAAGGTGAGATGGTGGCCACCGTAAAATACTAGGGGTCAACAGATCAACAGGGAGGATGGAAGGAGATTCACAAGAAGGAAGAGGATGCAAATCTTAATTATCCTCTTTTGTCTAAAGCACCCTTTGAGTGGAAGTAGGGCTGGGCCAATTAAGCAGGCTGTTTTCTTAATTTGGTTTCTCCATCTCTATTGTGGGCATGACCAACTGCCAACATGGCGATTTGCTATGGCAGAAAGAGTGTTACCATACAAAAGGGTAAAATTTAGTTTGAAGAACCTGATCAGTTTTATGCAGTCAGATAAATGTCCACAAAACAGAATTCCTTATAAGGAACATCATTTTAAATCCCTCTTTAGGGATATTGATGATAAAATTGTATTGGCTCACAAGTGATAAATCACCAGATCTCCCTCATCCTCTATTTTCCCTTCCACAAAACTTGAGATAATTTTAGCATCTGATGGTGAGAGAGATTAGCAGACTGGGCTTGGGTACCAGATTATCCAACCAAATATTAACTTCTGCCACTTGCTGGCTCTGGAGGAGAGCTTCTGTTTTTATGGTCTATAGAATCTGATTCATTAGCTGTATCCACCTCTTGAATTGAGAAGTTTGAAAGAGACCAAATACAAAGAGCACAGAAGCCAGCACAGTAAAAATGTGTGACATCCTCACACTTTTTATTGTCACTTGAGTGTTGAATGTGTGAGGACATGCTCTTTTCATCTTTCATCTGGATATACCTTGGAGTTGAATGTACCTTGGAGTACATTGTTAAATGTGCCTTGAATGTACCTTGGAGTTCCCTACCATCCATTCCAGTGACATTTTACTATTTTTTGGACCCACTTTTCAGGTTATTTCCCAGACCCTCTCCCCGACCTGGAACCAGATGCTGCTCTTCAATGATTTGGTACTGCATGGGGACCAGAAGGAGCTGGCCGAGGCGCCACCATCAGTGGTGGTGGAGTTATACGACAGCGATGCAGTGGTGAGTGTTCAAGGGCTCTAAACACACCTTGTTTGATGTACTGAGTTTACTTAACCAGTCTGCCACCAGCCTGCCACAGCACTGAACTCAGGATGTGCCTGGAGGCAATCCTGACCTGCAAAAACAGAGCCAAGAAAATGCTCCACGATTATCTGCTCTACTAAAGGGGTGTGTGTGTGTGTGTGTGTGTGTGTGTGTGTGTGTGTGTGTGTGACTTAGATTTGCCTTTAGGTTGAAATTGAATCAGAATATGATAGGATCTAGTTCACAAACATTCAATTATCACATATTTCTTTAGGAATGCTTTAGGAGACTTCCACCCACTGCCCCAGCTAGTTTTATATCTTTATTGCTGTTTAATAAGAATGTCTTTTGTAAACCAGAGGCTTTTAGTGACATCCCCTGACTGGAAGGAAATGAATGGCTATTGTTGCCAGTTCAGCTTTTGTAACTGGGTCTCTTAATCTCTGGTTGTGGCTTCCAAGTCTTGCAACAACACTTCCATCCCTCTTCTATTTCTATTCTGATGTTAACCAGACCTCTTCTCTGAAGATGTTTGTGCTATGAAACTTTAAATAGACTCAAAGGTCTATGAAAGGACTCTGAAAAATACTGAGACAAATATTTTTTAAATTAAGAAATCTAAAGTGAAAGGCAAAGCTTTATTCTGCTTTTTTGGGAGATGGCAAAATACAGTTATGTTAGGGATGGCAGATGGTACAAGAAGCATCACAAAAGTCTCTTCACCTCGAGCATCCTAGCAGCCTGACCTTGATCCAAGGTCAAGAGGAAAGTCAAATGGGAGATTGTAGTTAAGGAAGCCCTCTTTTATGATAGCAGGAAACAAATTTGAGCAAATGTCAAATTCCAGAACTTGAACTTAGCCTCCTGTGTTCACTCTTTCCACTTTGGGAGTGACTCTGTCCCTGGCTTCTGCTCCCCTTCTGTAAAGGGGACGATATATATATCGTTTAATATTTATATATATATATACTCTTAGGAGAAATGAGTTCTGCTGTTGTGTTGATTTTCTACAGAGATGACCACGAAGTAGCTCCTTCTCAATTTTATTCCTAACAACATAATTCCCTGTCCTCAGTATTTTTATTTAAAAGTTAATAGCAATAATCAGCCATCTTTGAAAGTGCCCCCTTAATCAACCTGCAGGACTAGATGGATTTGCCTTTACTGTCCAGATACTTTTTATTTATTTATTTATTAAATAAAAATTTTATTGGATCACCGTGAGATTCAGCTACAAACTTGCATGATTGCATTTCATTCAAACAATACTCAAGCACCCATCCCTCCACCAGTGCACATTTTCCATCACCATTGTTCCCAGTGTCCCACCCGCCACCCCCACCTTACCTCACTCCCTGCTTCTGTGGCAGGTACAGTCTCTCTCTCTCTCTCTCTCTCTCTCTCTCTCTCTCTCTCTCTCTCTCTCATTTTGGGCATTGCTATTTGTGATACAAATACTAAGAGGTCATCATGTTTGGTCCTTGGTCTACTTTCAGCACATATCTCCCAACCTGGGCAATCCCTCCAATCTCATTTACTTGGTGGTCCTTTCTCTGTCCTGTCCTCCCGTTGTTCATCGATTTGCTCGAGCAGGCCCAGTAACGTCTCCAATTATAAGACTTCTTGTTACTGTGTTTGGCATATTGAATACTCTCGGTAGCTTGCCAAGCTGTCCGAGAGGGGCATAAGAATCGAACCTGGCTCAGCCGGGTTGGCTGTGTGCAAGGCAAACGCCCTACCACTGTGCTATCACTCTAGCCCTGAATGCCTTTTACCCCAGCACATGGGGCCTGCATCCAAACCATGGTGTGATCTTCCTGGCCCTTATCTCTACTGTTTTTAGGTGTTAGACAAGACACTTTTTAAATTGCTGCCTCTATCTTGTGATTGCCTTCCTGCTCTCAACCCAAGCCAAATCTTTCACAGCAAAACAAGCTTCCATTCTCACACGTAAGGAAAGAAACATCAGAAAGACAGAAAACAGGAGAAAGTTTCCCTCTTCCCTGGAGAGAAACATGAAGACATGCAAAAGAGTCTGTAGCTGCAGCTGCACTAGGACCACAGTTTTATAGTGGTGGTAAAATTATTAGGTCCTGACACTGTCTGTCCTGTGCTTCCAGCCTAGAATATTAATATATTAGCTAATGACCTGTGCCCTCATTTACATCTTGAGCTTTATAAGAAACTGCCTTACTTGGGAAATTGATGACTTCAGTTTCTACTTACTCTTTATTTATAGGGCTAATTATGCTTACTAATTTCCAGCTCTGGTCATGGACAAAATAGTCAGATAGTTGGTCAGTCATTTCATATCCAGCTGCCCTATCTCTTCCCAGACCAGGAATAGCTGACTCTTTCAGAGGCCATCAGCAGGCAGCTTTGTTTGTTCTTCTCCTCAAATGTGCTTCAAACTTGAATCCAAAGGCAGTGATGTAGTACTGTTGTTCAAACCCAACCTCAAGCGACAGAAAAGGTGGCAGGCCTGGCTTTGGATTCTGCTGGTCGTACTGCCAACAACTTTCACTTGTTCAATATGTGAAAGTGACTGCCCGCAGCCAGGGGATATGGTGGTCAAGAAAGCAGGAAATTTGCCATATGGAACTTTCATTCCAGAAGTTCCTAACATAAACAGCAAAGCAGATTGGTTTGTTTCAGCCCTAAGCTGCTCCTGGGTGGAATGTGGACACAGGGTCCAGGATCAGGCATGGGGAAGAGACAAGAGATGTGAGATGGTGACATAGAAGAATTATTTTTATTTGTTTTAGTTGGTTTTTATTTGTTTTGCTTTGCGGGGGCCACCCCTGGCAATGCTCAGTGGTTATCCCTGTCTTTACACTCAAGAATCATTCCTGATAATACTTGGGGGACCATATGGGATGCCAGAGCTGATCATGTACAAGGCAAACACCCTGCCTGCTGTATTATCTCTTCAGCCTCTTAAAATTCTTTAAATTAAAAAAATTGAATTATCTTTCAGCAACAACTTTGTTCATAATTAAGCTTTAGTCAGACAATCCCCCCTCCATCTTCCATATAATAATTCTTAAAGAAACTTAGAACTTTTGTCACTTAAACATACTAGTCTTCCTCGTTTTTCTCCTCATCTTACTACCACATATTCAGTACCTATTATATACAAATAACTGTGTAAGGTACATACATCATTGTAACATCTCTCCATAAACAGGTATTCATTTAAACCCAAGGTTAGGCATACATTCAAAAATGGTTGAGAAATTGACAAATGAATGGCTGTGAATGTGGAAAGTAGTACATTTGGTAGCCCATATTTAGGTTTACTGGTCTCCAAAGTCCATGTCCTAGTCCCGATGGTGTCTTTCTGTGGAGTGCTCTGGGAATGTTTGGTGTCACTTACTCTCCTCAAGATACTCTCGATAATTATTTTAATTATTCTGTTGAGGGTGATAAATCCTTTAAGAGAGTCTTGGAGCAGGAAGACCCGTGATGACCCTCCTAAAGTTTCCACTCCAGAAACCCAAGTGCACTCCATGACTCCCCAATCCCATGGAAAGGGATAAAGGGACTTGACAGATGATAGGGAGATGGAGCGAGCTAAGAGGGAACGCCTGAGGGTAACATTTTTTATGAAGGTCATTTACAGAATTGCACAGGTGGCTCAAAGTCAAGAACAAACGTGAATTTATTTCCCACTTTAGGGAAAGCCAGAGTACTTGGGTGCCACCGTGGCTTCTCCTGTGGTGAAGCTGGTTGACCAGGACTATGAGCCACCGAAGCTGAGCTATCACCCCATCTTCTGTGGGAACCTCTCTGGAGGGGACCTTCTCGCGGTATTTGAACTGCTGCAGGTAAGTGACAAGATAACCACACTAGTGGCCTCTCTGCTCAACCTGCTCAAGAAGCAACTTCATGGGAGAGCACAGCTCTGCAGCTGTTCCTGATTTCACTGCGATAGCCTGTGTCTTCTTCTGAGAATCTGGCGGTGTTTCTTAAGAACTCGAGGGACACAAGTTATTCCCCGAGTCCCACTGCTGCAAAGTCAAGAGTGTCTGCAAGTCTTCCAGAGCTGGCAGATAATGCTTCGGCAGTCCTGTGTTCAAGTCTCAGAGCTCCAGATAGGTCATGAGAAGAGGCTCAGAGGGAGGTAGCAGATACTTGTGGGCACTTGGCATGAACCCAGAGTTGTATTTGTTGCCTCACTTACCCTTCGTTGCCCTCTTTCACCCTCCCTCCTGCTGAGATAGTGCACCCATTTTGTTGCAAGTAAACTGAAGATGCATGCAATGGACTGACTTTATTAGGCAGTTAGTTAGGGTTAAGTTGAGAGCTAAATTGGACTCTAAAATCTTTTTTTCCTTACACTGTACCATACCTTTTCCTGAAGACAAGAGCGAGCTCTTTCTCTGTCCTGATAAAATGCAGTTGTGTTTGGGAACATAGGTTTTGGGAGACTTTTTCAGAAAGCAAAGTCATTGTACTTGGGGGAAGCTGAGACTCTTAAGTATGGCTGTCCAGTAGATGATTAAATGGGACATGAAGACCTGGAAAAGAGGTGACCAAGTGGACCTATATCAGATTTATCTTCCTGACTATTTCATTTATTGAGAATCAGGAGAGCAGATGGTACTTTGCTTCTAGGTCAGGCCTGTTCCTTTACAGATAATCTCAGTTTCAGAATCTCAATTTTATTTTACTTACTCTTTTTGCTTTTTGGGTCACATTCAGTGATGTTCAGGGGTTACTCCTGGCTCTGCACTCATAAATTACTCCTGGTAGTGTTTGGGAGACCACATGGAATGCCAGGGATGGAATCCAGGTCAGCTGTGTGCAAGGCAAATGCCCTACCTGCTATACTATCACTCCAGCCCCAAGAATCTCAATTTTTAAAGAAAACTGTCTTGGTAGAAAACCGTGAATGCAAGCATTCCTAACACATTGATAATAGCTTCAATGGTGTAGACCTCATTTCCTTTACTTACTAGTGTGTGACCCTGGGTAAGCTACTTCATCTCTCAGTGTTTACCCTGTAAATTGATGATGATAGTCACCTGCCTAAGGACATGGTGTGAAACAGACATTCAACAAATACCACACGCTTTATTATTATTGCTTATATTATGGCACAGAATATTAAAACAAGATGTCCAGTCCCATCAGTTTACATCAGATAAGGGATGTCAAGTGGAGATATATGAAAACGTGCTGAATAAGCAGGATCAGAGTTGTGACTCCAAGTCTACCTGTTTCCGCTAAGAGCTGAAGAGGGTAGGGCACATAATGAGGAAGGGAACTGCTGTGGAGTTAGATACTTGTATTCCAATCAAGGCTTGTTCATTTCTGCAACCTGGGAGCTATATGTAAGTACAACAATAAGTTTTTTATTCCATTTCATTAGAGACTTTGATTTTGCTCTACTTAATAAGAAAGAAAGAGGAAACTCTGTTGAAGATTGTGAAATTGGGTGAGCCTCTCGAAAGGGTGGCAGATTTCAGGTATATCCTGCTCCAAAATGATTGCAGTTCAGGATGGGAGAAGGGCGAGAACTAGAAACTCTTTGTTTTAGAAATCTTAGGTTCTAGGATACCAGAGGAATGAACCCAGAGAGATTCCACTAGACCAGCTCTTGCCAGATAGATTTGCATTGCAAAGAAGGAAGGAAGTAAATTCCAGAGCTGAAAGTAACCTTTGAAACCAGCTGGGCCAATCTTTCTTCAAACCCAAAGACTGATTTTAGGCTGTCAAAGAAGAATTTTAGGTCAAAAAAGGAAGAGCATTAATTTTTTGTTATTGTTGAATTCACTGGAAGGAGCTTTGCCTTCCCATGTGACCAGGTTTAATGACATGTAATGTGACATATAACATTTCATTTTTAAGATGCACAAAGTGATCATTAATATATGTATATATCACAAAATAATTTTCATAATTAGTTGATTTATCATATCTATCACCTTACAGAGTTATCTTGTATGTATTTGACAAGAATTTTTCTGAGCCACTTTCAAGCATGTAACAGGGTCATTGTTAACTTTAGTCACCATGTTCATGAAATTCAAGACTTATTTATCTAATAATGGAAATGTGTCCCCTTCAATCACCCTCACCCATTTCTCCATCCAGTGATCATGAAGCCACTCTATTTCTTTTGTATTCTGCATATAATAAGCTCAGGCGGGAAATTTTTTCCTCCAGATCTTCTCAATTAGCATAATACTCTCAAGTTCTATCCATACTATTGCAAAGAGTTTTGATGCTTTTCATCCTTCTCACCACTTTTAGAAGAAAGTTATTTGCTACTCATCAAATAATACAAACAAAAAAATTTACTGCTCTCAACTGCAGTCTTCCTAAAACAAAGCACAGGCTTAGTCTCTTGGGGTTGAGGGGAAAAAGGATGGATGTTAATAGGAACATTTCCCAACATCTTGGAATACCAGACTGTCCAAATATATTGAAAAGGAAGTTTAAGAAATGCTTGACTTGACGTATCCCAATAACAGTGTTTTATTTTCATTTTAAAGTTGCCTTGCTTATATGGCCTTGTCTGAACACCAAGAAGTTTTCTTTTTCAAAACAAGACTGCGTGCAGGAAAATGTTTTATGGTTAATAGCATAGGTGGTAAAGGTGATGGAGGAGAAGCTGACATGGGAAAACTCAATATAGGGCAATGCTTTTATTTCACACATCAGAAAGCAGAGGCTCAAGGTTAGCTGAATTGGATTTGGTCAGCTAGTCTCTTTTTTTTGGTGGGGGCAGGGGCTGGGCTACTCCAGCGGTGCTCAGAGCTTATTCCTGGATCTGTGCTCAGGGATCACAACTGACAGGTCCAGGGATACTGAAGATCAAACCCAGGTGGGCCACTTGCAAGGCAAACTCTCTACTCTCTGTACCGTCACTTGGGCCCCTCAGTCAATTACTCTTTTCACTACACAAAACCTCCCGAAATGCCTAGAGTCCCAAAGTGAAGGTCTGTACCAACAGACCCCTACAGGCCTTTGGAGAGCATCTGAGTTCCAGAGTCTCTGCTCTCCTCTCCTCTGGGCTGGGTGAAACAGAGACCCCCGCTGCTTCCTGACAGCTGAGTTAATGGAAGAAACCTTGTCAAAGGGAAGCAGCCTAAGAGATACAATTCATTAGCATTTCATTGGAACTTCTTTCTCATTCAGAGTAATTCAGAGAGTAATTTGATCACCAGCACGGCTGTCTTCACGTGTGATTCTCTCCATGCTGAGAAGGCAGAGCAAGAAACTGGCTTCATTTGTCACCAGTGGCTCTAAGTTTTCCTTCGTGGATGGTGCCTTCAGCCTCTCCATTATGGAAATGTTTCCCTGTCTCAGAATCCGATCTGTATTGCAAATCATAATGGCCAAAAGGAGAGAGAAAGGGAGGAGAGAGAGAGAGAGAGAGAGAGAAAGAGAGGCAGAGAGACAGACAGTCAGACAGAGACAGACGGAGGCAGAGACAGAGAGACAAAGACAGAGACAGACACAGAGACACAGAGAGTCAGAGAAAGACAGAGTTACTCAGACAGAGACAGACACAGAGACAGACACAGAGACAAACAGAGACACACAGAAACAGACACAGAGACAGACACAGAGATACAGACAGAGAGAATTACACAGAGAGAGAAAGAAGGAAAGGTCCTGCCATAGAGACAGGCTGGGGGTAGGGTGGCAGGAGGGAACCTGGGGACACTGGTGGTGGGAAATGTGTACTGGTGGACGGAGGGATGTTGGGGAACTATATGACTGAAACTGTATGAACATGATAAGCTTTTTAATTCTGCATCACACATTGATTCAATTTTTTAAAAAAAAAAAAAAAGCAAAAGGATGTAGTAGCTGGGTTCTCAGCCCTCACTGAATTCATATCTCTATCTCCTTCTGCTGACCCACCTAGCTGCCTTGCTAACCCTGCCCCTAAAGTCCTCCCAGTACTGGTCCATAGTTCCATTCTTCTCCCAGCTCTTCTGCCTTGAAAACTTATACTCAACTTTGATTCTTCACTCTGTGTCTATAGACCCACAGCCAGGTCAGCCCACTGATGGCTCCTTGAGCAGTTGTAATCTTTTCTGGCCCTAGGCTGTTTCTTACCAGTGTAACCAGGATTGTTACACTGACCTCTTTGCAGGTGGATGAGTTTCTACCCATTTTGTGTGAGGGTGGGGGTGGGAATAGGTAGGCGATGCTCTCAAGCCATGCTACAGGAGACCCACTGGTGGCTCTCAGCCAGCTGTGCAAACAGTGTGATGCAAAGGCCAGAGGATGTGGGGCTACCTGGACCTCGCAGTGCTGGGGATTGCTCAGGCCACCCAGAGGTGCCCAGGGACTTCAGGGCCACAATTTGATGGTGCTCAGTAGCCTCCAGGACTGCACCAGCTGTGCTCAGGGGACCATGTGGTGCTGGAGTGGACATCCCCCAAGGCTGGCTTGCTAGGCATGCTTCCTAACAGCTGGACCATCTCCCAGACCTCTACCCAATTTGTGATCTTCCAGAACACAGTTTCAGACCATACAGTCTCCTCCCTGCATTTTACTTCCAGGAACATTTCCCAGAGTCTGTTTTATTATAAGCCAAATCTCTCCAAATATAATGATAAAGAAGTTGAAGAAATTTACATCATACTATTTTAGATGACTTGACTTTGGGATTTGAAATGTTTTTACCGTAGTAAAGATTCTGAGAAGTCTTATAATAAGCATTTGAAACATTTTTCTGAAATTCAGTATTTCCCCAATATATTTTAAACTATAAACTGTTTTTTTTTTGTTTGTACAACTCATGGAAAATAAATTGGATCCATAGGGGAATGTCAAATTTGCATAGCATGGCATTTAGACTCTCCTAACACTTGTCCTCAAACTGTTTTTGTTTGGTTTTTAAGCTCATATTTTCCCAGGTTACCTAATACTTGCTGTGACCTCTTTATGCCAAAACTTTGAGCTCTCTAATCTCACCCCAGAGAGGGACTCATAAAGATCTCCCTCACATTCCCACCCTGACCTCCACATTCTGGTCTCCTTTTTAGGGAGGTGGTTAATCCTGTTGATTTCCGACCAGAGAAACCAGGAAGCTCTCCTCATTCCCATATCCACCAAATAGTTTCTCCTCTTCCTTTCTACAGCACTTGACCTCGCTTTCTACTTAATTTAGGTTTTGGAAAGGTCAATTATTCATAAACTTATCTCCAGTAATCACTAAGTGTCTTGAAGCCCAAGAGTGTTTTGCTCATTCATTCATTCATTCAAATATGCTTTTCAAGCAATCCAGCTTAGGGAACAGGAAGAGCGGATATAGAACAAAAAAAGAGAACAGGGTTTTAGATAGCCGTCAAAGGGAATGAAAGTTGGCTGACAATTGGAGGTGAGTGTGAAGTTCATCTCTCCATGTCACTGAGAGAAGCCAATTTTATTTTATATAGAAAATTCTCAATACAATATTTCCAAGCACACTTATTTGCTCAATTACATAAATTATGTAGAGAATACTTGAGCCTGGGCATTGTTTTCCTCTAGAGACAATTTAAATTCACTTCTAATGTAGTTTGGGGCACTGGCAATCTTAGGTCATCTGAATGCAATTTAAAATGAAAATGATTTGAAGTTGTGCTTTCATATTTGTCAAGGTCAGTCCATTTTCCCTTTACCCTTACTCCTAGCAAATACAATACCAGAAAGTGTGCCAAGTGCTTTGCAGGCTCTTTCAACAATTCCTCGCAGGAGTTCATGAATCCATCAACACTGTTGTCACTTTATAAATGACACAGTTGAGATTCAGTGACACTGAAAGGCTTCTCCAAATTTATCCAGCTTATAAGTGATAGAGCCCAACGCTGGGTCCTTACTGAATAAGAAGTAAAACATCCTCATCACTAGATCCTATAAGCAGTGATAGAGCGGGGAGGGTAAAGAAAGGAGAAAGGGTTCTAAGCACCATTTATCAAAGGGTTAAGACTGGGACGAACTTCATTCATGACCTTGAGATTAGGGTCCCCTTACAAGTCCCACCCTGAGTCCCCTTGTCCTGGCTCTGCCCCTTAATCTCCTTTTGAAGTCCTGGTATTTCTCTCCATTGGGATGTTAGAACAGTCTACCTTCTAGACCAATTCATCTTATGTACCTTCCACTCCTCATTTTTTAATTTCATTTTGCCTTCATGAAAATTCTTTACTTCCCTTAGGCCCCATATGCTGAGTAACTACCAGGTCTGTGTTTGATCAGCAGCTGATCTATCTCATTGTGGAAAAGCTGGATCCTAGCAGAGTCCAACGTGCTCCAGTCTCCACCATGTTAGAGCCCAGACAGAAACTCTGAAGGGCATCTTTCAGGAACTCAATGAACAGAGAGACTTTAGGGCATTTCCCAGGCTGGCATTACAGTTGCCTTAAGGAAAAAACAAAGGGCAAGATTTTATTAAACATAGCCAGAGGTGACCTATGACCCCAGCTTGGCTTCTCCCTGGGACCTCTGCGGGGAGCTGGGTCTGTCAGTGAGTGTGGTTTTGCAGGCTGTACTGCTCACCTCTGCCGCAGGGGGTGCTCTTGGGTACACATCTTCATCCTCACATCCTTTCTGGCTGCAGCGTCATTAGCTGCAGCCTGTTTTCTATTCGCAGTGTCTGTGCTCTGTCTTTTCTGGGCTCTCTGATCATTAGCTTAAGCACATCTGCTGGCACCAACTAGAACACTGTGGAAAAAAAATGATGATTTGTCTGGGCTTGGCAGCTTCTGGTGAGCAATTAGGCCTTTCCAGCATATGGAGCGCAAGTGTTTTCAGCCTGTAAAAAGAACTCACAAGAGGTTGAGCATTGCTCGAGGGGATTGGAGAATGAAATGAAGTAGGCAGAGACATCCTCTTGGCCAGGAGAAACACCCCTAGTGAGGAAAACCTCCTGTGACACAGCAGTGCTTAGGAGAACATCTGACTTCCGGGGGGCTTGGAGATTCTTGTGGCTGGCCCAGCATCTAGGTGCAGAGAGAGAGATTTTCTAATGCAAAGTCACACAGCAGAGCCTGTTTTCTGGTTCAGCCCACCGAGTGTTTTCACTAAGCCTCCACAGGGACTCACTATGTCCCAGGACTAAAGACCAAGAGAATGATCCCCAAGGTTGATCAAACCAGGATGACTTACTGAGGCTTGTTGAGGCAAGTGTTGGTGGTGGCCTGGATGAATCTCAGTGATAAAGGCCCTTTCCTCAATAGTTTCTCAGTCCTTTGTGAGAGAGCTCGGCAAAGCACAGTGATAGCTTTCTTGAGGCTTCATGCCCCGAAAATGATACCTTTCATCCTAGAATTCAGCCTTCAAAGGACTTTCTGTTTTACTCATTAAAACACAGTGCCTACTAGATTCAGCTCATGAAAACATGAAAGCAAGTTTAAGTCGTGAAAGCAAGAGAGTGGAGTCTCAGAGGTTCCGACTTTGATCCGAACCCTTCTGCATCCCCCCCAGCTCTGGTGTCATGTCTCCAAGTCACAAACACCTGCTTCCCTCCCTCTCCATCTGTTCGGTCTAGTATGAGCCTAGGGAAGGATCCATTCATCTTGGGTCACATTGTAAAGGTTCAGTAAACATTGGCTACCCTGCTGGAAAATGCATTTGTCAAGTAATAAATTTGTCATGGTAAAATGATTGAGCTGGTTGCAACTTTTGCTTTAGGGCCGAGGTGGTTGCTTGGTACCCCAAGTCTCCCTTACCTCCCTGCCCCTGTGCTCTAACCAGTGCTTGTCCTCTGTGTGCAGGTTCCTCCATCTGGAATCCAGGGCCTCCCTCCCATTGACCCACCAGATGTCACCCAGATCTACCCTGTTCCTGCAAACATCCGGCCAGTGTTGAGTAAATACCGCATTGAGGTACAGAGCAGAGCAGGGGAAGAGCGCATCGTTTCTGGGGGCTGACAGGCAGCAATGAGCATGGCTGTATATGGCATGAGGGGATGGTGGGAAGGAGGCACACAGAACACCTCATGCGGTCCCCTGGGCACTGGACAGGCTTCATTCTCTGGTCGCATGTCTGTCCGGGCCACATGGAAACCAGGACCTGCATATGTCAACACCTGGAGGTCTTTACAGGCAATTCTGCTCACCTCTTCTCCTCAGGTTCTCTTCTGGGGAGTTCGTGAAATGAAGAAGGTGCAGCTCCTATCAGTGGACCGGCCTCAGGTTCTCATCGAGTGCGGGGGACGAGGAGTCAAGTCCTGTGTGATCCAGAGCTACAAGAACAACCCCAACTTCAATGTCCAGGCGGACGTTTTCGAAGTGGTGCGGACCCTTCTCCCCACCTGCCTCTTGCTTCATTTCTGCAGAGGTCACCTGTCCTTCCTCACCCTGCCTTGGGGGAGAAAGTTCCAGAGCTTTTGGGATCTTATGTCTGTGACGAAGAACTGTCTAATTTAGTGAAGAGGCTGAATTTTCAGACTGGCATAGGTTTTTGTTGTTTTGTTTTGGGGCCCTATCTGCATGCTCAGGGCTTACTCAGGCTCTGGGACCAGGTATCAGGGGTCACTCCTGGAGGGCTTGGGGAAGTATATGGAGCCAGTGATCACACCTGGGTCTCTTGCATGCAAGGCAAGCACACTACCCACTATACTGTCTCTCTGGTCCACAATAGAGTTTTGTTGTCATTATTGTTTTGGTCTTGGTGGTTCCAGAAGCCAATCACACAGTAAAAATCAAAACAGCTGCAATAGTTCCTCACTAGGATCCCCAGTTCATCAGTCTTAGCGGGGAACGTATTAGAAATGCAGATTTTCAGGATAACCCCATACTATTGAGTGAGAAACTTCAGTAGGGTAAGACCCCTTTACCTTTGGCTTTACAAGACCCTCCCCCTACCCTGAGTATTTGGATTCACTAAAAGTCTGAGAATCATTGATCTAGAACAGTTTTTCTCAACCTGTTCCCAGCCATGACCCATTTCTGACCTTGTTTTTTCTCCCCTCACTCACTGTCTTACCAGTCAATACTCTAGTTTTGTGCTGTAGTCCCTCATTTGTGTGATTTTTTACCTGCAGCCCCCTTGGAATATCCTGCCTACCCCAGGGAGCCATGTGGCCCCCAGTTCAGAAATTCTAATCTAGAAGATACCCTAACTCCTGGATCCACTTCTATGCCATTTTTTTCCTAGCTGTTGACTTTAAATTCAGTCAACCACTGGTTGCTAATTCTGTGTTTATAGAATCCTCGATCAACTGTAACTTATACCTGAATTTTTTGCTACACAGGCTTGACACCCCTTACCCCTTTACTGCTCAATGGTTAACTGTACTTTTTTGTGTGTCTTATCTGGAATGAACTGAAAGATTATCTTGTCAGATCAGTCAGCTCTAATGAACTCATATTTTAAATTAGCAAAGACTAGAAATAATGAGAATGCTTAAGCTTAGAGGATTGTCAAGGGAAGCAGAACTGGTCCTTAGCCTGACACCCTCAACTCTCTTTCAAATGACTCCATTTTTATTCTGTTTGAGATCTTGGAAGTCAGGGGTCATCCAAGATAAGAGCTTCACAGGTAATAAAGGAGAAAGCAAGAGAACAGAGATGCTGACAGAAAGAATTTGGAAGTGGGTTGTTTTTGAAATTTATACCAGAAATGAATTATTATTGCCATCTTCCCATTTGGGGTAATCACTAGCTGACTTGGAAATTTATCAAGGTGCCAAGGAGAGATGGAATGGCAAGGCAGAGACAGAAGGCGGAGGAGGGGTGCCGGACTTGCTTCTATCCTGTTTCCAGACAGGCCACTTGGTCCTGCCCTTCCAGTGCCCCCACTCACTCGGCCTCTCCCTACAGGAGCTGCCTGAGAATGAACTTCTGCACCCACCCCTGAGCATCTCTGTGGTGGACTGGAGAGCTTTCGGGAGGAGCACCCTGGTGGGCACCTACACAATCAACTGCTTGAAGCAGTTTCTGTGCAAATCCAGGGAGCCCCTGGCCATCACCTCACAGGTGGACGGACAAGGTAGGAACTGCCTCATAGACTGATGAGTTGTACAAAGTCATGGTGTCCACAGAGGGTTGATGAGGGAGCCTGTTAGAAGTGCCCATGGTCAGCTGTCTCCTTCCCAAGAATTTGCTCCTGTTTGCCCTCTACTTCTATTCAAATGACTTCAGAGCTTACTACACAGGCTTGACACCCCTCACCCCTTTAAAACTCACCTAAGAAAACTTCTGTGACTGTTACGCAAGCTTCCTTGAACCTCTATTCTCTGATGTCTTTCTTTGATCAACATTACTTTAATTTGGACATTTTGGGTCTCAGGTGCACAGAGACAAGTGAACTACATTTTTTCAGTTCAGTCTATACAATCATCCTCAGTTTAAACTTTGCTCTCATTATATCTTCCGCTTCCCTCCGCCCCTCCATACATATCTTACTCCCTGCCTTTACTCTTGGTTTCCAACCCACTAATCCTTGTAAAATACTAGTTTGCATATATATATATATGCACATATGGTCTTATAGATTTTTTATTCAAAAAGTCTTTAGAATTAGAGCCACGGATCACTCTGTGTATGCTAACTTGAAATAATATTCTGCTGCAATAACTATATTTTCTTTGCCCCCACATTGAACTTTTAGGCTGCCTCCGACTTCCCACTTCCACTGACAGTGCTGTGATGGGTAACCTGATTTCTGTGGAAATTTCTTTGGAATATACATCTAGGAGTGAGAGATGAGTGGGAGGCAGGGAATGTGCTGGTTTAACTACACTAATTCCAGGGACCACTCTAAGGAGCAGGATGGGTTTACTCAGTCTGTTCTCCTATTGTCTAGGGCTCCGCATTTCACCTCTTCAGTAGCATTTGCTACCATCTAAGTTTTGTTTTGCTTTGATTTCATTTTTGTGTTGATTTTTTGCCACATCAGTCAATCTTTGTATTTTAGCTTGGATTTCTCTAGGTGCCACTCAGCTTACAGATCTTTTCCTAATTTCATTTCTCCTCTACAATTCAGCTTTCATCCTTTCCCCACACTTTACGTGTAAGTTTCATTGTTTTTTGTACTTTAGATGTTAGAATCCTGTATTTTGCACATATCGATAAAATCTTTTGTCTGGTAACTGCTAATATTGGATATGGTCCATAACAGTTACAGAAATTCTTAATTTGATATAATCACATCAAATTGTTTTTTAATTAATTAATTAGTTAATTAATTTGCTTTTTGGGTCACACCAGCAATGCTCAGGGGCTACTCCTGGCTCTTTACTCAGGAATTACTGCTGGTGGTGTTTGGGGGACCATATGGGATGCCGGGGATCAAACCTGGGTCGGTCCCATGCAAGGCAAACTCCCTACCCACTGTACTATCGATCTGGCCTCAAATTGGTTTTTAAACATTGTAATTTGTTCTTTTGTAAGTTTGATAAGAAAACCTTTTTAGGGGCAGGGGACATGGTTCAGCAATAGAGCACATCGCTCCAATAATACAGAGGCTTTGCACACAGCTGCCCCAAGTTTGATCCCTAGAACCACATATAGTACAGAAGTGATACCATCAGAAGTGACCTCTGAGCACAGGAACAGGTGTAATCCTTGAGCACAGCTGGGTTTTGCTCAGAAACCAAAACCAAGCCACAACAAAACACATGCTTTTTACATATGAGAATGCGGGTTCTATCCCATGAACACAACAAAACACAACAACAAAAAACACCAACCCTCTGCTATCGCTCTTATCCTTTGGTCTTATAGATCTTATCTTTAAATTAGTATTACATCTGCATGTATCAGAACTTTAATTTATCTGCATTTGTATATGATTTAATGTAAAAATGTAGGTACATTTTTATGCACAGATTATATATTTTTCCACAAATGATTTATCATTGATTCGTGTACTGTTTTCTTCTAAATCAAGAAACCATTCTGAGCCTACTTCTATTCTGATATCTCTATCCCCGTGCCCGGCACAGGGTAGATGCCTATTAAATGTTGGGTTGGATCACTGTTCAAAAGTCTACAACTGGGGAAAAGACACTCTGGAGACCATGGCAACCTTAGGGGCTTCCAACTGAAAGCTTATAAATACTTAATTTTACAGCAAAAAATATAATGCAATCAATCTATGATCCTAGACAGAGACAATCAGCATTATGCCCTTTTTTTTTGAATCAAGAACCCCATTTAAAACCCTCATAAAGCCAAGGAGCAACCTTTGCTCCCTCTCAAGTTCAATTGCTCATGTCACCAGACTTCAACCTACATATGGGAGCTCACAGGCATGTTGCCTTCCAAAGTTCCCTGAGTTAAGGCACTTGGGGAATCCAGTCAACACTTAAGACATGTGTATTAATCTTATTATGCTTCATCCTATGACACCATTGATTAAAATCAGTCTGAGAGATCAATAACAAGTACCTATTGATTATTTCCTATACATCATTTACCTTACCCCATGATCTCACTTATCCCCTTGTGCAAGAACTATTTTCACTATCATTTTATAAATAAGAAAAGTGATATTCAAAGATAATAGGGAGTTTCCATATCTGAATCTAGATATGTGTGATTCCCAGTATGAGGATGCTCAAATGACTGCTCTGATTATAGCCCAATTGACCAATCGAGGTGCTTTCATTTCAGCTACTCCAGATTCGCTAAAAGCCATGGACCCCTCTGGAACCAATAGTGCCTCCCAGGATGCCCCCATTGAGTACATCTCCGTGAATGTTGAGCCACTTCCCACAGATGCAACTGATTCTGCCCAGCCTCAGTCAGCTGTCCTGATTGACATCCCTGATTCACCACCTGTGCAGGAGCCTAAACAAAAGTCTGCAGTCCAAGAGCCACCAAAAGATGACAAAGCGAAGGTCAGAAAGCAATCCCCCTTTCTACTAACAGGTGGACTGAGAGTTTGCTTTGTAGGTTCTTCTCAGTACCACTTCTCCCACCATACTTGTGACCAAGGATAACTTCATATTTCCACGCATCAGTTTCCTGATTTATAAAAGAGGGCTATTGATACCCACTGTACAGCATCACTGCAGATATAGAAGTACATATAAAACTAAATCAGAAAAAAAATATATGAATTCAAAGTGCTAGTCAAATGTGACTGCCAAATTTAATTGAATAGAAGCGCTTCTAAATTCATTAACTTGGTAATGTAGTGGTTTTCTCATCCAGACTGGTTACACAAATTCTCAGAACTTTCTTTATACAAGGTCATATGGCTCAAAAAAAGTATTAGCCCTCTGGATTTATTCCAAAAGAGAGTTAAACTTGTCATCTGCAGCTGAGATTTTGGAAGAGAAGATATATATATATATATATATATATATATATATATATATATAACAAACCATAAAGCAAGGATCTAAATCACAAATCTGAGTACAAAATCCTGATGTAACATTGACTGACAGAAAGGAGAAGTTTAAAGGAAGTTCTAAAAGGTTCTCTGCCTTGCAAATGGTAGAGATGGAAATGACGAGCAGAGTGGATTGGTGAGTGGCTGTTTGCTCAGCCTTGTCCACTCTCATCATGTGCAGTGTGACCCTCCATGACACCTCACAGGACTTTCTCCATCCCACCAACATTGCACCTGATGCCTTATGTTGGATTTCTTAGCTTTAATGTCTGTTTTCACCATAAGACTGTGATCCCTACAAGGTCAGAGATGATTTTTTTAACACCTCTGTGACCCCTGTACTTGATAGAGTGTCTGGTACATTATAGATACTCAAGACATATCAGAAGTGTAGATGGATGACGGGTGTGTGATGTGTCTTGCATGAGTAATTTCTAATAAGATAACTATTATCTCCCAGGAATACTCCCTTTCTCTCTCTCACACACACATCCTCCCCAGTCTCTCCTTTAGGCTGTAGTAGCCATTTATTTGCTCAAGGGGAATTGTCTACATTATGTCCCTTTTTTCTCACATTGCAAATAATGCAGGTATTATTATGCGTAGATGAGAAAATTGAGAATCACAAAATTCACACTATATAATGAGTGATTTTAACATAGGCCTGGTTTGAAGTGATGCTCTTTTACTCATATGCCTGTTTCTTCCGGTGGACTCTAAGCTTCCAAAATTATCTAATGAATTAAATTATCTATTATTTAATTTCCCTTACATCCCCAGAGTCAAGCATATTATCTTGCATCTGCTCAGTAAAAGTATGTTGGATGGATAGATGGATGGATGAATGAGCACCTTATTAAACTTTCATTTGCTGATGTGGTAAGAACTATAACCACAAACCTTACTGATAGCTCATCCACTCCCCCAGAGGCTGCCCATGTATTCTTTTCTTCAGCAGACCATCAGTCAGAGACATGCAGATCCATGAGGCCAAACTCATAATACATTCCTCATTTCTTTCCAGGATCCCAGGAGACTTTCTCGGAGGTCTACCAAAAAAAAGAAGAGGACCATAGCAGATGAATCCGCAGAAAATGTCATTGACTGGTGGACTAAATATTACGCCTCTGTGAAGAAAGCATTAAAGGTAGAGTCTGCCCTGGGAAGGTCATGGGATTCAATGAGAAAGCACACCATTCAACTCCCCACCACTGTTATTTCCAATTTCCCCAATTACCCTTAATCTTGACCCCATAGCAGGCCCTCAGTAATTTATGTTGCTTGTTATAAATAATTTGCTAAAAGGATGCTCAAAAATGGTTTCTTAGAAGAAAGTTAGTGAAGATTGTTGTGTCTCACCATGGAACCCTTAAGGCCTTGTATAAGAGTTTACTAAGATATTGTTACAGGTTAAACCTTCTGTGCTTATATTTTGTTAATTGAGGTTGGTTGCCTTTTACATTACAACCCATCCAACTTGGTGTACTACAACTGGTTTGTCAGTGTTACAAAGTTTGAGATGTCGTGCAGCCTGGAAGCTGCAATGTTGGTGGGATTGCTGTTGGAATATTGAACATCTGTGATTAAATGAATGACTTATTAAAGTTATTTTTAAATGAAAGAAAGGAAGGAAGGAAGGAAGGAAGGAAGGAAGGAAGGAAAAGAGGGAGGGAGGAAGGAAGGAAGGAAGGAAGGAAGGAAGGAAAAGAGGGAGGGAGGGAGGGAGGGAGGGAGGGAGGGAGGAAGGAAGGAAGGAAGGAAGGAAGGGAGAAAGAAAGAAAGAAGGAAAGAAAGAAAGAAAGAAAGAAAGAAAGAAAGAAAGAAAGAAAGAAAGAATAGCACCCTCTACTGTGCAATCCTTTTATTAGCCCCTCTTTAAAACTCCTCGGGTCGGCCATGTTGGCCGCTTGTAAGGCTAACGCCCTACCCGCTGTGCTATTGCTCCAGCCCAAGCTACGGAGAGTATTCGATATGCCAAACACAGTAACAACAAAAGTCTCCAATGGAGACGTTACTGGGCCCGTTCGAGCAAATCGACGATCAACGGGAGGGCCTTTACCTTTTACCCTACTTAAAACTCCACTCTATGAAGGCCCTCCTGCGGGGTGTTTCTGTTAACTGCAGGTGAGTAAAAAGACTAGAAGGACCAGGTGTCTCTGATTTACAAGTTTCCCACCCTCTGGCTAGAGCTGACTGACACGGTCTCATGGTAGATATGCTGAAAGGGTGTACAGCCTAGTGTGGCATCTGGAGAAGTCAGCCCAGTATAATGCCAGAAGGTCTAGCCAAGAGAAATGAGATCTCTAGAAAGAAGGAAAGAAACAATAGGGGTTTCCAGTGAAACGGTAGATGCCTGATTCTTCAATAATATTAAAAAGTCATATGGAAAGCTCTAGAAATAGAAGCATAGATCTTGGCCTTAGCAAGTGGGAATAACCCACAAGTTGCCAAAGCAAGGTCTCATGCACATGGCATGGGGGGAAAAAAAATAAAGAATTGAATTATGAAGGCGGAGAACCAGTGGGAAGTAGATCTGGAGTCTCAGGCCAAAGCTCAGTGTCAATATTTGGCAAGATTTTTTTCTCCCTGACTAAAGCAGGACAAGAGAATTAAATTTAATTGACTAGGAAAACTTAATGACTCTTTGGCCTAGAAAGACAATGGCTTCTTATGTCATTAGAGAATTTCGCCAAGTGTTAATTCCTATCTCCAGTCTCCCTCCTTTTGCAGCCATGCACACTACCACTTCCGGTGCCTAGTCAGACCTATCCCTGTTCTCTATTTTTTTTTTTTTGCTTTTTGGGTCACACCCGGCGATGCTCAGGGGTTACTCCTGGCTCATGCACTCAGGAATTGCCCCTGGCGGTGCTCAGGGGACCATATGGGGTGCTGGGAATTGAACCTGTGTCGGTCATGTTGGCTGCGTGCAAGGCAAACGCCCTACCCGCTGTGCTATTGCTCCAGCCCCCGATCCCTGTTCTCTATTAACCTCCCCCCCATCTCTGGGACCAGCCCAGTGACCCAGCATGCCAGCAGGTAAAACAGTGTAGACTGGGCAGGGCTCAGAGTGGTGAGGGGTTGTTTGCCCAGCAGCAGAAGGAACTGTACTCCAAAAGCAAGACCATCAACAGCTCAGTTGGGATGTTTTTCTGATGAGTGCACGTAACTCTTCTCTAGGGTGGATCATATCACTACACTTGGGCCCCCTGTCTTTACATGCCACTTCCCTTGGGAGCCCCTTGGGGACTATCTGAATATCCTTTTTGAAAAATAGAAATTCTGGGAAGGCAGACAATTAAGGGGATTGAATCAGAACTGTAGCAGTCAATTAATAAGTCTGACATGGTGGTGTAAATAATTTGGTGTTCCTCTTATTTCAAAGGAAAAGGAGAGCAATTCCGAAGAGAAAAAAGATAACACAGGTCAGTAGCTATTCAGGGGACACAGAAGGTGTGTTACAACTCCACTCCCTCGCTTCCCAAAGAGACAACAATCTCAGCAAGATCACGCTATTTTAAAAAAAGGTCACGTATCTAATTTGAGCTGAACTGCGAGCACGTCCCAAGTCTCCCTATCTAGTTCAATGTTGAAATCCACTCTCTGGCTCATGTCCCTACATTGACAGTTTGAATGCAGAAACAGTAGAGTAAAAATAGGAGTAGGCTGAGATGAGAGGCCCAAACAAACTTGATAAAATTTAATAGAGGTGACCCGGATTTAGGTCCTAAGACTCAGTTTACAAGGACTGAGTAGATCTAGTTTGGCAGAAGGTCAAATGAAAAATGCCTGGGATTTAAGATGACCGAAAACTCAATTCAAGCCAATGACAGATTTTGGCCTAAAAATAGCAAGTCACAACAAGCTGTCGGTGGTGTTTCAGTGGCACCACCGAAAGTGGGTAAAACCAGAGCCAGGCTCCTAATTAGCATGTTTCAGTCTCAGATCACCACTATGACATAAGCCATTGTGGCTTAATTTTGCACAAGATCAAACAGGTACACAGAGGTAGACTAACTTTCCCGAATTTATAGAGCTGGAAAACAACAGAGGTTAGGTTTTTCCTAGAATTGGTCCTTAAAAAATCACTGTTAACTGGATGCATGACTTTGTGCAAGACTTCTAACACATTTGAGCCTCAAGTGGTTGGATTTCAAGTCTTTAAATATAAATAGATCGGAGAGAGAATGTAACTAAAGGCTTTGGAGTTGCCCTATCCTGATTTTTGCTACTTCACAGGTGTAATTACTTACCCTCTCTGCTTAATTCAGTGGATTCTTACTTATACCAGAACTGGGCAGAATATTACCTACAACAAAATCCTACAACAAAACTTTGTCTTTATTTAATGAAGGAGCATGACACATGCTAAAACTAAAGCGAAAAGGAACTTGACTTTATTTTTCTCATCTCAACAGCCATACAAAATCTAATGATTTTCACTACCTACCCACAGAGGCAAAATCAGACCAGGTAGTGGTAAACATAGAAAACAGCCCAAAGAAGAAGAAAGACAAACTACTCAAGAAGAAACCAAAAGAAGATGAAATCCCCAATCTGGCAGTCTTGAAGGTGTGTAGATACCACTATCGTGACCACAGAGATGGGGAGAAGTTCCGAGAGGGATCCTGTTTGTGCTTCCATCACCCCTACCTAGGAAGTGCTTTGTTTGAACTTACTTTATCATCATTATAATCATTGGTGCAGAGAATAAAACTTTAACAGGTATTTTAGCCAAGACAAAGTGAGCTTGTTAAATGTTCACATTCTATGTTCTCACATGGAGAAAGAAGGGGCATAATTTACACTGGTTAGCCTCAATTCAGCATGACATTTGACAGTATCCGAGTTCCCCTTGGTTCACTTCTTGAGGCTTGGCATCAGCATGCGGCTGTGAACACGATCATAATAGCAGGAGTTTTAACTCTACAGTGAGATCCATTAGATCAGCCTTCACTTCAGCCAGAAGCTATTAACTAGAGGCATATTTATGAATATGAAAAGTCAGAGAATGAAAATTATGTATCTAGATAACCAATTTGGATAAGCAATTTTGATAAGAAATTTGAGTAAGTAATGTAATTATGTTACCAAGCCTAAAACTCAATTTGATTTTGCATTCCTTAAATATATTTATATTTATACTTAGCTGGCATTTGTTGACTCAAATTTTCTCAAAATTAATAGTCCACAGCAAGAATAAATGATTTTTATATTAATACTTTCACAATTTTAATTTTTAATTCTGCTTTAATCCTTAACATTTCAAAGATGATCAAAAAAAGTTGTATACATTTCAGAGGAGTAGTTTTAGGAATGAGGAGTCAATCATATTATTTTGTTAAAGAGAAATAAATAGCATCATTTTTCCCAGGGGCATATATTAAGACTGATTTAGAAAACCTTCGCTTTTCTTATTAAACTGATTCTAGGTTTTCCTTTCTCTAAACACATTCTTCCCCCTTATCCCCTTTCCCTAGATATATGATGGTGATCTTGAGAGTCATTTCAACAATTTTCAAGACTGGGTGAAAACATTTGAGCTCTTAAGAGGCAAATCTACAGAAGAAGACCATGGCCTAGATGGAGATCGAGTCATAGGGAAGTTTAAGGCAGGTTCCAATGTTAGCCCTTTTACTTATCTCTTTTGTCCATAAATAACATATAGGACAATTCTGTTGTGTAATGCATTTAAGGAAAATCCTTCTTTATTCAAGAATTCTATAAGATTGAACCCCAGTCTTTTGAAAATATTGGGTTACTGGTCTGTGAACTAGGCTAGAACTCTGAAATACAATCAATCAGAATTGTTTCTTGAAAGTATCATTGAAAATTATTTTTTATTCATCACCTACAAAATGTGTAATTCATATGCAACTCTCTAGTTGGATGGTTGAATCAAATTACAAAAACTCATTACCTAGCAGACTTGTGATATCAGCACCACAAAGTTCCAATGGACAGTGACTATGAACCCACTGTATAATGGACCCTTTGCACGCAGTGTGGTGTGCTGGAAATAGCCTGGCATTGTAATTTGTCAGTCTAACTAATCATAATTATAATACTAACTAACCTCATGATCTTGAACTGTCCACTGTCCACTGTCCTCTCGTTGTTCATCAATTTGCTCGAGCGGGCCCCATAACGTCTCCATTGGAGACTTTGTTTTTACTGTGTTTGGCATATCGAATACGTCACAGGTAGCTTGCCAGGCTCTGCCATGCGGGCGAGATACTCTCGGTAGCTTGCCAGGCTCTCAGAGAGGGGCGGAGGAATCGAACTCGGGTCGGCCATGTTGGCTGCGTGCAAGGCAAATGCCCTACCGCTGTGCTATTGCTCCAGCCCCTTGATCTTGAACAGTTATTTAAAAAAAATTTATTGAATCCACTATGAGATATACAAAGTTGTTCATAATTTAGTTTCAGTCATACAATGTTCAAACACCAGTGCACATTTCTCTCTACCAATGTCCCCAGTTTCTCTCCTGCCTGGCTCCTGCTCCCACCCACAGCTTACCTCTATGGCAGACACTTTTTCATCTCTCTCTCTCTCTTTCCATCCCTCTCTCTCTCATCCTCTCTCTCATTTTCCTTTTAGGCACTGTGATTTGCAATACTGTTACTGAAAGAGTATCACGCATATCACTTTACCTCCTTTCAATACTCTGTTCTGTCCAAAGTGATCATGTCCAACTCTCATTGTCATAATGTTCCCTTCTCTGTCCTAACTGCAATCCCCCAACCCCCCTTTAGTGGCAAGCTTGCTACCATCAACCAGTCCTCCTGGTTCTTGTTTGAATAGTTCTTGACTCCCTTGAGCCTTGGTCGCAGCATCTGGAAATAGAAATACTATAGTCCAGACAGAATGAGACAAGGGGAGAGAGCCGCAACTGTGAAGACATCAGCCTTCCTCCCCACCCTGATGTTCCTGCTCTTGCTCCTCACATCAAGGTGTTAAGTGCTGGCAGTGGATCACTGCTGAGCCTTGAAGTACTGCTTGAGAACACCTAGAGGGCATTAGCACCAACCTCTCTTCTACCCAATATGCACCGCTCCTTTTTCCAGATTATCCTTCTGACATTTTTTTTTCTTTTTATTTTCTTTTGGTGGGTTGGGGAAGGGAACCTATGACTATTTTATTTCAATGGGTCCACACATTGTTTCTTCAGGGCTCCTTCTGCATCTACAAAAGCCCCGAAGATTCCAGTACTGAGGATAGCGGGCAGCTGAGAATCCAGCAAGGGGTTCCCCCCAACCACCCTGTCAAAGTTCTGATCAGAGTCTACATTGTGGCCGTGAGTCATCTTGTTTACTCTCCCCGGGCGTCTCAGTCATTTCAGCTGCAACAAAAGAACACCACAGGCACAAACCTGTGAGACATAAACCACAGACTCTTTATCTAGTGCTGATGCCTGGAAATTCACAGAGAGGGTGGGGTTGGTTTCTAGTAAGGCCTATCTTCTTACCATGAAGGCCTTGCTTCCTGCTAGGCCTTCAGATGTCCTCTCCTCTGTAGAAATGGGATAAGGGAGAATAAAAATGGGGGAGAGAGAAATCTGGTAGCTCTTCACCTTTTTAAAGAGAACTCTGCTCCTATTACATTAGAATAACACTCTGTGGCCTCATTTTGTCTCCATGGTCTTCTAAGGATACGCCATCCAAATATGGTGACATTGAGGTTAGAGATGCAATATTTAGTTCTGAGATGACAGAGTTCAGTTCATGACAGAGGGCCTAAGTATTGGTCAGTAACACAGAAATTTGCTGACTTTCACTCTAGGAAAATATTTCCCAGGCAGAGAGAGAGCTGCTATGGGGAGCTTTATTTTTCTCTCTGCATTTACCCACAAGTTGGCCAGGCTACCAAACAGGACAGAAACAGGAAGTTCACAGGCTGTTAGAGGGAAGAAACAGAATGGAGCGGGGCAGCTGCCTACGAAATACTCTCCCACCACATGCCTTGTCATGAAATTTTATTTCTAATGTATTTCCAAGAACAATATTATTCCTGCCCTAGGCTTCGTACTCTCTGCCAGTAAGAGTACTAAACTTTAATAGTATGAACTTTTCAGGCTTGATTGCTGGGAAATTCAAGGCCAAATAGGATGCTAAACAAAGAAATTGGCTTGGCTGAACTTTGATGGTTCATAATAGTGTTTCTCCCTCCTGATCCTGGAACTGATTTTCATGATCATATTAGATTCCTGCAGTCTTACTGTGCATTGACTTTTTTGATGAAATTGACATTATTCTTTGAAATATAAGGACGCCTTAACGAAAGATAAATTGAGTATTTTAAAATGCGAAGGGAGATGTTTTCTTTTTTCCATTCCCTACAGCAACAGCAGGACCATTAGCGAATCATTATTAGGAAATGTTGTAATGAAAATATAAAGCTCTGCCCTCAAGTGATTCAGTATAGTAGGAAAGATGAGAACCCTATAAAGAAGCTAAGAGAAATCACTTTTATTGAATGCCTAGAGGATAGCTGAGACTAACCTTCTCAAAATTTTGTTCTCATGTTTTGAAATTCATATGAGTTAGGGTAATTTGGAGAATTCATGTATATTGGAAATTTAATTTGCATTTCTTTGAATACAGACCTACATCCGAAAGAAATTGATAAATGGTGGGGACAATAATTTATTTCACTCCTTTAATCCCTGAAACTTTCCTTGAAAGCTAATCCAAGGATCTGAGAATGCCCAAATCAAGGAAACTTGTTTAATTGTTGAATCTAACTGAATTTTCTTAACATATTTCTCCTCATTTTCCCCCTCCCTCCGCCTTGCTACAGAAAACTCTGAGGACTGGATTCTATGGGATCATATTCTATGAAAAGTAGAATGCAGAATGTGGGGAATAGCATGAGAAAAAATTTAGGCTACAGAGAAAGAGTATTATTTAATTATTCACTTATTTATTCAGAAATGCCAGGGGTTGAAGAGATCATATAGCAAGTAAGGTGTTTGCCTTTCATATAGCCAACCTGGGTTTCGATCCCTGGCATCTTATATAGTTCCCTAAGCCTGCCAGGAATGATTACTAAGCACAGAGCCAGGAATAACCTCTGAGAACTGTGGCCCAAAAATGAGAGAGGAAGAGAAAGAGAGAGAGAGAGTGAGAGAGAGAGAGAAATACTCAGTGGAAGCCTAGAGAATGAGGAGCTTGGGCTGAAACTTGAAGACAGGCAGGACTTGAACAAAGGAATAGAGAGGATGGTGGCCCTGGGCTGCAGGGAGTAGGGTAATTTCACTGCATACAGGGACAGTCAGTGCTTTTCAAGGATGACATTTCAAGGATGATGCATGGTTGTCCTCTCAGACTAATATCTAATTAATTAGCTAAGTAATGAGTTAATTTAAGACTCATTTAATTTGTTAAAGTATAAAAGTTTAAAAAGCATAGCTGAGTACAGAAAAATCTCAATTGCTCAATCTAAATTCCATCCATAGAAATAGCTTACTTTATGTGTGCATTTGCAAACACATCATATCTATGTAAACATGTCTACAGCCATGGCCAGGTACTCAGTTAATGGAATCCTGCTTCATGCATTACATGTTTATCTTCTATTTTTTTACTTATCATGAATGTTTCTACAAATAGGTGTGATGGGGTTTCCTCATCCTTTTTTACTAGTCACCTAGTCTTTTCCTGAATAAATATAATACCTATCTACTCTTTCATTCAACATATATTAAAAAGAGACTGTCAAAGGACCTAGAGATAAGGTAATAAACAAAAGAAATAAATTTTGTTCTCATGAAGATGACATCCTAATCTCCACATTAATTCTAATCAAATTAAAACTGATCTTGCTAATACTAACCATGGGGATTATATACTAATCTCCATGAAATAGTATGGGATTTAAGATGAAATAAAAGTTAAAGAACAGATAAATGAATGTTCAAGATAACTTCTATGTAAAGAGTTAAAGTTGGGTGATATAATGAGAGTAAATGGGGGGGGGGTTTGAATTCTGTTTCTCCATAAATTGTTCTCGTACAGATTATAATTTTGAGCTATTAAACAATAGTCTAGCTAGCATCCTCAAAATTCCTTTCTTTTTTTTTTTCTTTTTTATTAGTGAAACGACATGAGGTACAGTTGTAGATTTACAAATTTTTGTGCTTGGATCTCGGTCATACCACGATCAAATACCCATCCCTCCACCAGTGCCCATTTTCCACCACCAGGATAATATCCCTCCCCCCCCATCCTCCCATCCCCCCATCCCCCCCTGCCACTGTGGCAGGGCATTCCCCCCTGTTCTCTCTCTCCTCCTGGGCGCTGTGATCAGCCAAAGAGGCATTGAGTGGCGAGCATGTTCAGTCCAGTCTACTTTCAACCTGCATCTCCCCTCCTGGGAGGATCCTCCAAACACCCTCCACTTGGTGTTCCCCTTTCTATCTGAATTGTCCTTTCCCCTAGAATACCCAGCTGGCCTCTAAGTTATGGAGTAATTCTCCTGGTGTTGCTCTCAGCTATTCTTGGGTATTAATCTCATATTTTATTATTTTATATCCCCCAGATGAATGCTATCTTTCTATGTCTATCCCTCTCTTTCTGACTCATTTCGCTTAGCATGATACTTTCCATATTGTACCACTTGTATGTAAAGTTCATGACTTCATCTTTTCTAAGAGCCACATAGTACTCCATTGTGTAGATGTACCAAAGTTTCTTTAACCAGTCATCTGTTCTTGGGCACTCAGGTCTCTTCCAGTTTCTGGCTACTGTAAAGAGTGCTGCAATGAACAAACAAGTGCAGATGTCACTTCGGCTACACGTTTTTGCCTCTCTGGGATATATTCCCAGGAGTGGTATCGCTGGGTCAAATGGGAGCTCAATTTCTAATTTTTTGAGGAACGTCCATACTGTTTTCCAGAAGGGCTGAACCAGTGGACATTCCCACCAACAGTGAAGGAGTGTCCCTTTCTCGCCACATCCGCGCCAGCATCGGTTGCTTTTGTTCTTTTGAATGTGGGCCAGTCTCTGAGGTGTGAGATGGTATCTCATTGTGGTTTTGATCTGCATCTCCCTGATGATTAATGATGTAGAGCATTTTCTCATGTGCTTTTTTGCCATTCGGATTTCTTCTTTGAGAAAGTTTCTGTTCATTTCATTGCCCCATTTTTTGGATGGGGTTGGATGTTTTCTTCTTGTGGAGTTCAACCAGTATTTTGTATATCCTTGATATCAATCCCTTGTCAGATGTGTATTCGGCGAATATTCTTTCCCATTCTGTAGGCTGTCTTTGTATTTTGGTCACTGTTTCTTTGGAGGTACAGAAGCTTCTTAGTTTAAGATAGTCCCATTTATCTATCTCTGTTTTCACTTGCTCAGCCAGTGGCGTGTCATCTTTGAACATACCATTAGCCTCAATGTCATGGAGGGTTTTGCCAACTTTGTCTTCAATGTATCTTATGGTTTCTGGTCTGATGTTGAGGTCTTTAATCCATTTTGATCTTACCTTTGTACATGGTGTTAGGCAGAGTTCTGAGCCCATTTTTTTGCATGTAGCCGTCCAGTGATGCCAGCACAATTTGTTAAAGAGGCTTTCCTTACTCCACTTCACATTTCTTGCACCTTTATCAAAGATTAGATGATCATATGATTGGGGGGTGATGTCAGTGTATTCAACTCTGTTCCATTGGTCTGCAGTTCTGCCTTTGTTCCAGTACCATGCTGTTTTGATTATTACCGCTTTGTAGTAAAGTTTGAAGTTCGGGAGGTTGATTCCTCCCATTTTCTTTTTCCCCAGAATTGCTTTAGCTATTCGTGGGGGTTTATTGTTCCATATAAATTTCAGGAGTGTTTTCTCCATTTCTTTGAAGAACGTCATGGGTATCCTTATAGGGATTGCATTGAATTTGTACAGTGCTTTCGGTAGTATTGCCATCAAAATTCCTTTCTATCCAGGCTCTAACTGGATGATTAGAGATAGGACTAGACTAACTCTCTAAAGGATAAAGTTCAAAAGCCAGGGTTATTTCTCGCTTGTTTTTCCATCATTTCAGTATTATTATTCCACTGGCCCTACCTTGCTTTCTCCTGGAGGGTGTTCACTTGCGGTGGTATAAGATCCTGTGTGGGGCCAGAGCGACAGTACAATGGGTAGGGCATTTGCCTTGCATGCGGCTGACCTGGGTTTAATCCCTGGCATCCCATAGGGTCTCCCAAACACGACCAAGAGTAATTCCTGAGTGCAGAGCCAGGAGTAACCCCTGAGTATCACTGGGTGTGACCCAAAAAGCAAATAATAATAATCTAAAAAATAAAATTAAAATCCTGTGTGTACAGAATCTGGAATCTGACAACAGATCACTAATCAACTGGGCAATGCTAAAAACAAGACTCTCAGGTCATGACTTCTGAGCCCTTTCATTTTAGGAGGTATCTTCAGGCCTACCCCATGATTTTATAGCCAGAACCTGGAGACAAAGGATCACACAACAAACAAGAAAAAGAATTGAAGTTAATGCCTTCCATTCTCTGTCCAATATGCTCCTTTTTTACCTGTATCTGGCACTGGTTTTCACCAAAGAGGAGCTCCAGAAAAAGTTGGACTTGGGATGACCGTTTTCTTTTTACTTTCTTCTCTTTGGGGGAAAGCGGGATAATACCCAGTGGTACTCAGGGTTTACCCATGGCTCTATACTCAGGAATCAGTCCTGGAGGGTATTGTAGTACCATATGGAATACCAGGCACCAGACTTGTGTCAGCTATGTGCAAGGCAAGCACTTACACACTATACTATCTCTTCAGTCCCTGGCCATTTTTAAGAGCAAACTGGAGAGGCAATAACAGTATTTCTTAGCCTAGGATGCACCACTAGAATCGTCAGACATTGTTGAGAACTGCTGGTCCAAAGGGATTTTCTTTGTCTTTTGCAGGCATTCAATCTCAGCCCAGCTGATCCAGATGGCAAAGCAGATCCTTACATTGTGGTCAGACTTGGCAAAACAGAAATCAAAGACCGGGACAAATACATTCCCAAACAACTGAACCCAGTATTTGGAAGGTCAGCTGGCCATCTTAAACTTGACATATTTTATTCTTCTGCATTTGTTCCTGATGTGTTTCTGTGAGGACTATGTGTGTGTGTGGGGTGGGGGGGGGAGAATTTGTGTGTGTGCGTGTTGTGTTGTGTCTGAGTAAATGGTGATGGGGTTGAATACTGACTTTTGCTCATAATAACAGCCAATCAAATCTCAGAAAAACTTACTTTTTGCCTTGGTGTCTAAAGAAATTTAATGGGTATGTGGCTATCTTTACCACTGTTTTACCAATACTAGTTCCAAGGTCTTAAATTTAAAAGACTCCTTGAGGCTGGAATGGTAGTAGAGTGGGTAAGGCATTTACCTTGCAAATGGCCTAACTGAGTTTGATCCTGGCATCGTATATGGTCTCCTGAGCACCTCCAGGAGTGATTCTTGAGTTCAGAGTCAGGAATAAGCCCTGAGCATCACCCCCCAAACTGCCCTCCCCAAATTTAAAAGATTTCTTGAATGTCTTGCATTCAGTCTCCTAACTTTGGACAAAGAGACTTCCTTTTAATAAAAAAATGGCTCATTAAGTGAAGAAGAAGGGGTCAAACAGTTGGTCTTTTTCCCCACAAAGGCATATTTCCATCACATCATTTTTGCAGCTCATTTGAGTTGACTTCCTGAAGTCAAAGAGTTGAATTGCATCCCCCAGCCACGCTTTTGTTTTTCTGACAAGTACTTAATAAACCCATTGCATTTGTGTGTGTTTGGGTGAAGTTGACATTGTTTTCTGACTTACACTTATCCTAACTCCTGTCTCCTACTTGGTCTTCTAACCTTTGTCTTCCCATTTTATTTTTTGGGGGGTTGGTTTTGGAGCCACACCTGGCAGTGTTCAGGTCTTACTTCTGTCTTTATGCTCAGGGGTCACTCCTGGGATGTGACTCAGGGGACCATATGGGATGCTGGGGATTGAACCAGGGTCTGCTGCACACAAGGCAAGTGCTTTACCTATTATATAATTCCCGCCAGGTCCCATTTTCCCTATTTGAGTCTGTGCACTGAAATCCATCAACTTTGGGGTCAAGTAGATCTGGGTTTCACTCTGCCACATAAAGCTGTGTAACTTTCTGCACAGGACTTAATCTCTCTGATCCTACATTTTCTAGTTCTATAAAGCAACAATAGTGACACTTGACTATCAGAAGCTTTCAGTATATTTAATACATAAAACTCCTAGAACATTGTCTATAATCACACACAGTAGATACTCAAAACATTAGCATCCTTCCTCTCCATCTTGATAATTGCTTTAACAATGGAAACATCAAACATGTATAATTTCTTCTTTTTCCTGAATGGCTAGTAGCATGGGATGAAATCTCCATCAGCCTTGTTTAAATTTACACATTTATGATCACTGTGGACCCTCTGACATTTGATCAACAGCAGCCTCTTCCATTTTATTGCTCCCGGAGAAATGAAGCAATAAATGATCTTGCCTGTTCAGATTAATGGAAATGATTAGAACGATAGTGCTGGGAAATTTACCGTTGCTTTTCTGTTCCCCAGTGACCTCAATCATTACCCTGTGTTTACATAACAAGTACCACACTTTACCTAGAGCTTTGTGGTCACTTTTTATTGGCTACTCTTGCCACCCTGCCATGAATTAGACTGGTCTCATTACCCCCCATCTTATGGCAATAACAAAAATACAAAAAAAAGATGGGATATTTCCTCCTGCCTCTGGCATTGCAGAGCCTCTTTCAGAAATCTTCCATGTATAAGATGTCTTACTGGGTGTATATTTCATTGCTATTCAGGAATAAAATCTTTGTGGTTCAGTCTTACAGTATCCCAGCCCACAGCACACAGGGTACTTGGGCCTGAACTCGATTCTCTGTCACCTTGGGTATGAGGACACCTGGGCTTTACCCACCTGTAGCCCAATTTCCTTGCCTACTTTAAATCCTTTGTAACTACTGACATGAATTGATATGTTTATGTGTTTTTTGGTTATCTCTCAGCTCCACACTAGAATGTAAATTCTCTTTGATCAGGTTTTTGGTCTAGACTGCTCAAGGCAGTATTTCCAATACTTAACAAAAATCCTGACACCGTGCAGATGCTTGATAAACATAGCACCTGGCACATAATGGATGTGTAACAAGTGCCAATGAAAAGATGAATGAGCAAAAGAATGAGTGAAAAAGAAAGCATGAATTTCTTTGCTCTGAAGCTTAGAGGTACTGAATTTTCAATTAGATTGCTTGTCCCAATATAATGTACCTTGTTTTTTTTTTCTCAAATCACTTCTCTATCTAGAGAAGACTCCTTTGATACACAGTTGGTATATGTCTCATTTTCCCCAAAATGGCCAGAAGTCCATCTAGGTGGACTTTTTGGGATCAGTCTTTCAATCGCAACTTAAGGAAAATTCAAAGGAATCTGGGTAACCTGTAAATGCTCAGCTCAGGGAGATGGACCAGAGCAGTTGGCTTCTCTGTCATGGAGCAGATGTGGTTAAGCATAACCTAAATCCTTCTTTGGTGGCAACAGTCACAGTGGTGAGCAAGTTCAGGAGGCTGGAGGCTTCCTCCAGAATATCAATTACATTTTGCAATCCACATCTTGGAGCCCCATGAAGCAATACTGTGCCTCTAGAGAAAACATGTGTTATTTCCCACATGGCCACATTCCTGGTCTGCAGCTGCCTCCATCAGTGAGAGTCACTAGCATCTCTGCTCTATTGTTGGGGAGGGTTCATTCATTGCCTTTGGGTTGTGCTGTGACTGCAGTTACTTGGAGAAGAGGAGTCAGAGCTAAGTGAATTTGACCATGAGGACAACAGCCAGAGCCGCCCCTTCTGCCTTGCTCTCCACCTTCTCTGGGTCCTTCACTTCTGGGGCAGCCAGAGGAAGGAACAATTGGAGAGAAATTGTTGTGTCCTTAATAAAATGATAGCACAACGGTAGGGCGTTTACCTTGTACGCGGCTGACCTGGCCAACCCAGGTTCAATTCCTCTGTCCCTCTCAGAGAGACCGGCAAGCTACTGAGAGTATCTCGCCTACACCGCAAAGCCTGGCAAGCTACCTGTGATGTATTTGATATGCCAAACACAGTAACAAGTGTCACAATGGAGACATTACTGGGCCCGCTCGAGGAAATCGATGAACAATGGGGGGACAGGGACAGTGACAGTGATTATAAAGAAGATATTTATTCCCAAGGAGGTTGAAGGGATGAAATAACTCACCCAAAGTTTTACAACCAGAAGGTTATTGATTTGAAATTAAGATTGGAAATTCATCTCCTGATGAAGAACAAAACACAAAGTTATTCCTCTCTCTCTCTTGTGGCTCTAAAAACTGTAAAACACATGCCATGACAGAGGTTATTGGCTATGAAAAATTGACAAGGGGATTGGAAATTGTTACTTAATGTGAAATAAAACCATATAAATGTCTATGAAGTATAAATCAGTTATTTTAATGTTTGATTCATATGAGTCCTATTTTAGCTAAAGCAAAGTAGGGAACAATTTTCCCACTTTGCTGAATGGTACTGACTCCCAATGCTTCTACTTGGACTGCAGGTCATTTGAGATTCAGGCCACATTCCCAAAGGAGTCCCTACTCTCTATCTTAATCTATGATCATGACCTGATCGGCACAGATGACCTCATTGGGGAGACCAAGATTGACCTGGAAAATCGCTTCTATAGCAAACACCGAGCCATCTGTGGCTTGCAGAGCCAGTACGAGATGTAAGTTCTTCTGTTGGAGGCACCGTGGGGGTTCTAAGCTTTTGGCTTCAGTTTGTCTCTGCTCTGAAAAGGACAACCAAACCTTCAGTGTGTCAAGGGAACTCCGTGTCATTAGAGCTGGCTTGGGGACTTGAGGGTAACTGGAGTTAGGAAGAATCTGAGCAGATCCTTCAAAGTCTATGTGAGTTGTGTCTATGTAAATGTGAATTGTATATGTTCACTTTGTCACCTGTATCTAGTGGACAGAGTTCCCCAGTGGAGAATAATATTAGAAGAAAAATGATTAATCTAATACAAATGACAATATCCCAGTTAAGCATAACAAATATTCCTGAATGTGTGGAATCTCTCTTCAAACTCTCAAAAATCATTGAGGATATGATAGCCCCATCTCACAAATGAGGGGAAATTGTACTTACTGTTAATTCTTACACATACTATGAATTCTGCCAAGTGTAAATTTATATACCACCAATAAAATTACCTTGTATTGACTATCTTAAGAAAAACATTAAAATATTACAAATTTCAAGTTTTATATACTCAGCTAGAAATATAAGACAATCAGATTTCTGTGGTATAATTTTGGAAAATTTGCCTAAATATAAAATAATGTATACTCACTACAGAAAAATTAGGAAATAGAGAAAATACAAAGTAACGTTCAAATTATTATAATCAGAGGTAACATACAAAAAATGCTTAAGTATTTTATTTTCGTTTTAGTTTTCTATGCTATTTCTCATTTAAATTGGTCTTACAATATCCCTACAATTTGTATCATGTTTATTGTCCTTACCCTTAGAGTGTTCTATAATGTCATTAGTCTTAAAAATCAGTATTTTCAGAACCCACAGTAGCATATGACTTTACTATAAAAAATGACTTAACCAATTTGCCTATAGGGCATTTCTATTTCCTTCATTATCTATTATATTTCCTCTAGAAATATATAATATTTATCTATATTTCCTTCTTTGTCTATTATAAGCGTTGCTCTATGAGCATTTGCATATAAAAGCCATTGCTTATCTCCTTGATAATTCACTTGGTTTTCATCCATAAATGTGGATTGTCTAGTATAAGAAATGCATATCTTATGGACTTTAATATTTGTGCCCAACTAACTCTCCATTAACAGAATCTGAGCGCCTCTTTCCTTGGCATGATTTTGAAACAAGTCTATTGCTTGTTGGCTACTCCCTGAGTCTAGAAAGCCAGGTTTTATCTGGGACTCCAGTGAATGAATGGACCTCCAAAGGCATTTACTTCATTCTCCTGCTTGGGCGAAGATACCATTAAGAGCCCAATTAGTGTTCTTACTCTGAAACCAGAAAAGGAAGTCCTGAACAAACATAGAGCTCTCCAGCTAAGCATAATCCCTGAACACAGAACTAGGAGTTAACCCTGAGCACCACCAGGGGTATGCCCCCAAAACAAAAATGAACTTGTGTCTTTTCTATTCATAAGAACTTCCTGATGGTGGAAAGTAGGACAGTTTAATCAGGAAAGTATTAAGAGATGTTTACTGACATCTTTTAAAAATAAGATAAGTGCCCCTATTTCTCAGAAGTTGTATGTCTGACTTAAGGACATAGCTTGGGGGAACTTTCCAGGCTCCAGCCCAGCATAGAAAAACTGTTTTATAATCATGTTTTGATTTTTTTTAAAGCTTGAGAAAGTTAAATGCCAATAACGCTTCTGTCCTAATGAGCAGTGACATCTGAATTTATCTTAGTCATGACACTCAGGAAGGGTTTCACTGCAAGTTAAAATTTTGAAGCAAACAGCTAGATTTTAAGAGAAGTTGGAAATATATAGAAGTAGTGATACTCACTACCAAGAGTATCACCAATTAAAGACACCATACTTCAAAACTTTCTGCTGTGTCTTGAGTCCACAATATGGTTTGGCATGTGGAGTGTAGGGGGTGGGAAGAAAGAGCCAGAGGAATGAAAGGATAAGCTTGACTTTTTCTTTCAGAATAAGTAACTTGGGCTAGAGCAGTAGTACAGCAGGGAGGACATTTTCCTTGCACATGGCTGACCCAGGTTCCATCCCCGGCATCACATATGGTCCCCCACATGTTGCCCAGAGTAATTCCTGAGTATCAAGCCAGTCCTGAGCACCACTGTATGTTACCAGAAGACAAAAACAAACAAAAATCGAATAAAGAGCTTTGATTTCCCTCAGTTATTCTGCTTGGTGTAGAACAAAGGCAAAACAGAAACTTCCTGCAAAATAATCCACAGAGAATGGAAAAATATTTATAGTTGCCAGGAGCTAGAAGTAGGGGACTAACTACGTTAATGAGTTCCAGGTTTCCCTTTTTTGTGATGTAAATACTTTGGAACTAGATAGAGGTCTTAGTTGCATAGCATTGAGAATATGCTTAGTGCACTGTCCTTGGTCAATTTTTAAATAATCCACTGACCTTCAATTTTGAAAAGTGATGTATATTCCTTTAAAGAAAAGTAAAACTATCTGCCTACTATTTGTATGCCATGCTCTTTAGAAGTCCTGTATTTCCTCACAGCTATGCCCGTGCTGAGGTACTGAGCAGAATAGAGAGAAGGAAAACAAAACAGACTGTGGCCTCAGGAGAGCAGAACATACAGTGGGATCTTCAGGAAACCAAAAAGATCAAATTCGGGCAGAATTCTGAGTGCAGGGCACAGGGGTTCTAGCTGCCCTTCCTTTACTTCCAGAGAAGGATACAATGCCTGGAGAGATACGTCCAAACCCACTGAAATTCTCACCAAGCTCTGCAAAGACAACAAGCTGGATGGACCACATTTTAGCCCTGGAAAAATACAGATAGGATGCCAGGTCTTCTCTGGAAAAACGACCTTCACCGAAGAGGACACTGGTAACTGCTCACATGTGTCCTGCTGACACAGCCCTTCTCTTGACAGTCTTGCTTCTTGGGCCTTTGTGACTGGGACATCGATCACTGTTCATAAAAGTAATACCTGTGGAGTGGGAGAGCTAGGGCAGGGGTGAAGGTGCTTGCCTTATTTATACACAGTCAATCCTGGTTCCTCCCCAGCACTGCATATGGTCTCCCAAGCACTGCTGGAGTAAGCCAGGAGTTGACCCTGAGCATCACAGATTGTGACCTAAAACTCTTCCAACCAAAAAAGTAATGCATGCTCAGGCAGAGAATATGAAAAATTAAGAGGGATAATGAAAACCACTTGTAAACCCCTAAGTTGGAGATAAATATGATCACGCTGATTTATTTCCTTATAGAGGTTTGTATATAATGTGTACCATTCGAAGAGAATTGTAATTATAGTATATATATAATTTATATACAGTATAAGTACATATATACATATAAAGTATATATATATATACATATAAAGTTTTGTAAACTGTCTTTTTCTATTTTCAGCTCATTATGGTGATTCTGCTGTCCTTTAAGACACTGATAGTATTCCATTTCAGGACAGAGTTCTTTGTCTGTATTTTATTCCAGTCCTTTTTTTAAAAAAAAAATAAATTTATTTATTGAAGGGCTGGAGCAATAGCACAGTGGGTAGAGCATTTGCCTTGCACGCAGCCAACATCTCCGCCCCTCTTGGAGAGCCTAGCAAGCTACCGAGAGTATCTCGCCTGCACAGCAAAGCCTGGCAAGCTACCTGTGACGTATTCGATATGTCAAACACAGTAACAACAAAGTCTCACGATGGAGATGTTACTGGTCCCGCTTGAGAAAATCGATGAACAACGGGAAGACAGTGACAAAATTCACTGATTCACCGTGAGAGCAGTTACAAAGCTTTTGGGTTTAAGTCTCGGTCATACAATGATGAAACACCCATCCCTTCACCAGGGTACATTTCCCACCACCAAAACCCCCAGTATACTCCCCATCCCACCCCCTCGCCTACTTGTGTGGCAGATGGTCTCCACATTACTCTCTATTTTGATTACATTCAATATTTCGACACCAGATCCACCATTATTATTAGGGATTTTGCCCCAACACTCACATCTGCCAAAAAGGCAACATTAGACAATTTGTTTTCTATTGCTGATAATTGTGGCTGTGCGATTTTGAAATTCTGAAATCTTAATAATTAAATCTGGAGGGATTTCTGCTAAAAGCCACTGGGTTCAGAGATTCGTTTCTGAATCTCTTGGATCATGGTTTAAGCTGCTTATTGAGTAGCCAGAGGGCTCATTCTCCATTCTTTAGAGAGAGAGTGAATGCTACCGTGAGTTTCCTAATACATAATTTTCCTTATTTCTGATATTACTATGATGCAGATTATAAAAGAAAAATTGTTTTACTTTTTAGATGCTAAACAACCTTAAAATGACTCTAAGGGAAAATCAATGAGTGGGCACATGCCAAAAGTTCCCTATATATGCAGTAACTCTCCTACACTGACACCAGAATGTAGATTCTCCAGAGGAGCTTCATGGCACTTGCCAGAAAGTTCTCCATAAATTTAGGAGTAAAAAGTTAAGTTTACTTTAATGACGCAAAACAACCTCTAGGCCCATTTCCACACCTTGCTTAGGGTCACCTGATTGTCTTACATTATAGAATTTAAAAATGGGTTTATGTCTCCAGGAGACACCTTCCCTAGTACCTCTAGGCCAACCCTTTAACTCATAACTCATGGTCTCTAAAGGATTCACTTTTGGGGTGAAAGGAGCCCATGTTCCAGGACCCTGTCTGCCCAGTGTGCTACTGCCATGTCCCCCTTTCTCTTTCTAGTTTTCCCACTTTCAGTTTCTCCCCTGTTCCCACCTTTCCCCCATTCCCTTTCTTCCTTTTCTCCTAGGCTGTCTTTCCTCTCTCCCCATGCTCTGTTGTGCTCATGAACATTAAAGGAAAGTTAAGAATCCTGTGATAACCATCACTTGCCCCTTTCCAAGAACTCACATCTGACAAATCTCCCCATAATTTTCCCTCTTCCATGCAGATGAGACAGTGGAGTCATATGAGCACTTGGCCCTCAAGGTTTTACACTCTTGGGAGAATATCACGGAGGTTGGGTGCAGGCTGGTTCCTGAACACATAGAAACTCGACCTCTGTACCACAAGGACAAACCAGGAATGGAGCAGGTAATGGGCAATATGGTTGTGGGCCCAAGAAACTTTTTATCCCCAAAATCATATCTTTTACCCTAAAATTTAATTTTAGGGAAAAATAGATAATGGAATAATATCAACACCCTCTGCACATTTAAAATTGTCAGGAGATAGTTTTGGTTGTCATTGTGGATGGTGCTATTAGCATCAAGTGGGTAAGGGTCAGGAATGCCACTGATCATCAATCATACACAGGCCAGCTTCCTTGCCCCATCTAACCAGGAATTACTCAGCCCCAAGTGCCAGTAAAGTGCAAATCGAGGACCTCGCCCTAAAATCAGTCTTGGCCTTTGAGCCTTTTCTTTTTATGATTTGAATTATCAAACTCTTTTGGAAGAATTCTGATTTAGAAATTTCCAAACCTATTAGATTGACAAGACCTTGTCCAAAATCTCTTACTAAACACACAACCCACTAGTTTTCTCAAGAGAAGCAACTGGTGGAAACTTAATCTAAAGAACTGACAAGAAATGAGGGGAAGAAATTGACTATGCTATTTTTAATATAATCTTAGATTAGGAGTTAGAAAGGAAGAGGAGATAAATTTTGTTAAAAGTCTCTTAGTTATGAGACTTTTTATATAAATATATTACCTTATTAAAATGATCACAGAACTGTGCTTCCATACTGTGACTAGCTTGAGAGTAAAAGAGGTCCTATTAATTTAGCTGGCCTACCCTGGAATTTTTGTAGACAAACAGGGGTGGGTGGAGTCACCTGTTTTCTAAATACAACCTCATGATGTAGTATTTTTGGTGTTCATTTTAAAAGAGGAAATGGTAATACAGAGGGTTTATGTGATTTGCTCAAAGTTTCTCACCCTGCAAACAGTAGAACTGATATGTCCTCAAGGCAATTTGACTCCCTAGACTGTGTTCAAAATCACAAGCTGAGTCCTGTCTTCTCAAGTCTCTCTCTGGACCCTCACCCTGTAACTCAGACAAAACAAGAGAACTCCAAGGTGAAAGGGCAGAAACATCTATTTCTGCAGTATTGAGGTACAGAGCTGGTGATAGTACATCTCAAAAGGATAAATCCTTATTATAAATGGTAACTTATAATTACTTTTGTAGATTACTACTAATATTTCAAGTTTTTTGGTTTCTGGAATCCTTTATTTTTCCTGACTCTTTGGTGAAAAGTAAATGTTAATATATCTTTAATTATGTTAAAGATAATTTATGAATTATATTAAAAAATGATAATATATCTTTAAAAACGCTAGGACTGGTATAGTAATTATTATTACCATTATAGTAATCAGCATTTCATTGGTTCACTTCTTTTCAAATGCTCGTTAAAGTTGTCTTACTTACCTTTACCCTTAAAAAAAAAGGTTGCTTTGAGGCTTTTTGTGGGGTTTTGTTTTTGTAAAACTCATCCTTCACCTAGATATTTACTGTTCCAGTGGAAACCCCACTTCCTTCATATAAAATCTCCATTGATAATTTCAGCCCTTGTTGATCACTCATCTAGTTGTGTGAGCTGACAAAATCTTTAGAATGTGCACAGTAGAAATGATCATAGAATCCATGGACCTTCTCCCTATCTGATCTCTCAAATTTCTTCCAAGAATGTGAAGTCTGATGTATGGAGTCCATGGAAATGGATGGGGACTCTTGTTCTATCACTAGTTAATCATAAGCCTTCAGATTGTTTCTTTGACTTCCCTAAGCTTTTCAATATTTATGACTAACCCTGATGTGTGATTGGTTTAAGAAATCATAAAGATAGGGGCAGGCTACTCAATGCCTCTTTTGCAAACCACAACACCCAAAAGGAGAGAGAGAACAAAAGGGAATGCCCTGCCACAGAGGCAGGGTGGGATGGGGGGATGGGGTGTGGGAGGGATACTGGGACCCGTGGTGGTGGAAAATGGGCACTGGTGGAGGGATGGGTACTTGATCATTGTATAACTGAAATCCAAGCACAAAAATTTGTAAGTCTACAACTGTAACTCATGGTGTTTCACTAATAAAAAAAAAAGAAAGAAAAAGATAGGATCAGGTGAGAGAGCACAGCAGGTAAGGTGCTTGTCTTATTTGCGTCAACCCAAGTTTGGTCCTCAGCATCCCCTGTGATCCCCTGAGCACCACTAGGAGTGAAGCCAGTGTGACTACTGTGCATCAGCGAGTGTGGTCCTCAAAACAAATTAATTAATTAACTTAAAAATTCATAGATATATTGATGTCAAAGGAACTTTGGAAATACTGAAGAATGACACTCCTGAGAGATGGTACTATAGTTTTAATCTTAGGAATTTGTAGAAATAGAAGGCTCTGTGGAATTAACAAACTAGGGTTGAATCTAGACTTTGACACGTATTGTCTTTGTAAACATCTACAAAATATTTTTTCATATTCCAAACAAAAATAGCAATATCTACCCAGTGGGAACGTTGAAAAAGTTAATGAGATGTTTGCCAGATACCGATCATTTGTGAACCAGGTAACAGGGGTTCGTGAAGAGTTGTTTACCCTTCCCCTGCTGTTTATCCCTCCCACCCCCCATCCCCCCATCCCACCCTGCCTCTGTGGCAGGGCATTCCCTTTTGTTCTCTCTCTCCTTTTGGGTGTTGTGGTTTGCAAAAGAGGCATTGAGTAGCCTGCCCCTATCTTTATGATTTCTTAAACCAATCACACGTCAGGGTTAGTCATAAATATTGAAAAGCTTAGGGAAGTCAAAGAAACAATCTGAAGGCTTATGATTAACTAGTGATAGAACAAGAGTCCCCATCCATTTCCATGGACTCCATACATCAGACTTCACATTCTTGGAAGAAATTTGAGAGATCAGATAGGGAGAAGGTCCATGGATTCTATGATCATTTCTACTGCGCACATTCTTATGCATACTCCAGTTTGTAATAAAAATGTAGGCTATCAGCAAAGACATAATAGACATAATGTTCTAAATATGTGTAAAACTCCCACATTGTACCTGATAACCATGTCTTTTAAAGAGATCTTTTTTAGCTATGAGCCCTCATTTTCTCAGGTGCTTCTCCTCCCTCCAAGCTAAAGGAGGTCTTTTCTTAAACAGGGCCGCCTGCAGATGTGGGTGGACATGTTTCCCAAAGATATGACTCAGCCAGGACCTCCTGTTGACATTTCACCAAGAAAACCCAAAGGGTAAGTCAGTTGCAGTCCTTTGTTAAGGGAGAGGTACTATGGTAGCAGACTTAAAGAGCATAGCAATTGATCTTGAATTCTGATACATTAATTATATTTATCAATTGGCACTTGACAACAGATCTCACTTGACCTCACTTCCACCTGGCTAGTTAGAGGAATGAGTGGTGGTGATGGAGAAGTGGTCACTGTCACTGTCACTTTCCTCCCGTTGTTCATCGATTTGCTCAAGCGGTGAAGTGGTAGGAAATGAAATATTGGTCCCAGATGTCTAGTGGTAGTTTTTGAGATTCAATATCCAGAAAAATATTGGTCAACAGGAATAGAATCTGTATTCATGATTCTGAGGTTGCTTTCTGGGGGAAGTTTTTGATAGAATAAACAAAATGTTGAAGTTTTTTTTCAGCTTAGTGAAGTTAAAGGAGTCAATAAGCTTCAATGAGAGTTTTTGAGAAATCTAAATTACATATATTTAAAATGTACAGCATGGTTACTTCAAGCAGAAATACACTGTAGACCTAAATAATATTTCCATTACCTTTCCTACTTAACATAATTACCTCTTATTTTTCAAGGGCTTTAGACTAATACTGTCTTTCTTTGTCCCAGGTATGAATTGAGAGTAACCATCTGGAACACGGAAGATGTCATTTTAGAAGATGAGAATTTCTTCACAGGACAAAAATCAAGTGATATTTATGTTAAAGGGTAATGTCACTTGACTCATCTGACCCATGCCTTATGGAGAATATTCCACCCACATCTTACAAACTTTGTTAGATAATTCTGTCAAATATTTTGTTCATTTTAAATAACTATTATCTTAGGAAACAATTTTTGTGAGGAAATTTTGTTACACAAATATCTCTTTCAGTTGAACGTAAAATAACTAAAATTTTGGAGTGACATCTTTTATGTTCAGAAGATTGAAGACTAATGAAAAAGCTAAAAATTAGACATTTAAAGTTGCTATTTCTGCTAATGGAGAGAACAAACTAGGACTCGGGGTATTAAACATTTTATAGCTCTTTCTTACATATTTATTTTGACACAAAATATTTTTGAAGATTTTATTTTAGCCTCAGTTGGAGAGAGAGAATAGTTGGTGGAGAAACAGATATAAAGAAATTGAAATATATACTACTCTCAGATAAAATTCATCTCAGAAGATGTAAACTCATTTCAGCCTTATATTTGTAACTGATTTCCTCACTCAAACAAGAAACATTCTGCCTTCGGAATTCATATTGCCAACATACTTTATAGTCAAAACATGTCCAGAGGTTCAGTTCAGGGTAAGAATACTGGGAGGGAGTTAAGTGCTTATAAATAAAGACAAATGGAAGTAGCATAACCCAAGATAAATTGGCTTCTGAAACAGAAAATGAAGATGCTTGCCTGGCACCTGGCTGACCTGAGTTCAATCCCCACACCCCATATGGTCCCCAAAGCTCATCAGGAGTAATTCCTGAATTCAGAGCCAGGAATAACCCCTGAGCACCACCAGTGTGGCCCCAAACCAAAAGTTAGATAAATGAAACTGAAGTTCTTTGCCTCTGCAGAGTCTGGCAAACTCCCCATGGTGTATTCAATATGCCAAACACCAGTAACAATGATGGGTCTCATTCTCCTCACCCTGAAAGAGCCTCGAATGTGGCACTTCTTAAAATCTCAGGGCTAGGACTAAGGAGACATTATTGGGGCCTGCTCGAGGCAATCGATGAACAACAGGATGACAGTGATGACAGTGACAATGAGGTTCTTTACCCGTTGAATAATAATCCTCATTTCCCCAACCCTACTTTTGGCCCATATTAACTACCCTTGTACTTTGTTTCTGTGACTTAGTACTCCAGGTGCTTCATATAAGAGAAATCATACAGTTTTCTCTTTTTGTGACTGGCTTAGATCACTCAGCATCAAGATTTCTCCATGTCGCAGCACATGTCTGAATTTTCTTCCTTTGAAGGCAGGCTACGTTGTATGTTTATATCATGTTTTGATTATCCACTCACCTATTGATAGATATTTGGATTGCTTCCAAAGCTTAATTACTGTGATATAATAATAGTGATATGTGTATGTAAATATCTCTTCAAAAATCTGCGATACATATATATCCATACACACATACAGATGTATGTATGTATATATATATACATGTATGTATATATATATATCTCCAATGTTTAGGAACCACCATAGAGTTTTCCACAGTCGCTGTACTATTTTATATTCATATCAACAGCATATGAAAGTTAGAGTTTCCACATCTTTACCAACAATTGTTGCTTTCTTTAGTAATGGTTTCTGTTTGTGGTTTTGATTTGGATTTCCCTAATGGTTGGCAGTGTTGAACATCTTTTCATGTAATCACTTTCTATTCATACATCTCTTTTGGAAAGAGGTATAGACATTCAAGTCATTTGATCATTTTTTTAATTGGGTAGTTCTACTACTACTGAGTCTTACGAGTTCTCTATGTATTCTGGTTATGAGTAGCTTATCAGATAAAATTTTGAAAATATATTCCATGTCCTTTATATTGTCCTGTTTACTATATTGTTAGTTTCTTTTGATGCACACTTCTTTTAGTTTTCATGTAATCTGATCTGTCTATTTCTTTCTTTTGCTACATATTCTTGAATAATAATATTGAAGAATCAATGCCAAATCCATGTCATGAAACTTTCCTCTGTTTTCTTCTGAGTGCTTTATAGTTTAGGAATAATATTAAAGCATTTGATCTAGTTTAAGTTAGCTTTTATATGGTATTTAATTTAGTCTTTTTTAAGCAATGGAACAAGTAAGGAAACTTCATTGTCCAGACATTTCCCTGTGTATCGGATATGTTTAGTCTTTATGAGTTTTGTGTTTCTAGGAATGTGTTCTTTACATTAAGGTATCTAATTTGTTGTGATTAAGCTATTCATAGTACTGTTTTATAGTCCTCTTTACTTAGTACTGTCTCCACTTCTATTTATAATTTTGGTGACTTGAATTATCTTTTTTTCTTCATAAATTTACTAGATATTTGTCAATTTCTTTATCTTTTAAGAAGCCACATTTTGGCTTCACTGGTTTTCTTCATTGCTTTTCATCTTTCAATTTTAATTGTCTCAACTATAATCTTTATTATTTTCTTCCTTCTGATTGTCTTAACTTTAATTTGTTCTTTTTCTAGTTTTTAAGTTGTACAGGTGCTGATTTGAGGTCTTAGCACAGTGGTAGGGCATTTGCCTTGCACACGGCGGACATGGCCAACCCGATTTCGATTCCTCTGCCCCTCTCTGAGAGCCCGGCAAGCTACCGAGAGTATCTTGCCCACACAGCAAAGCCTGGCAAGCTACCCGTGACATATTTGATATGTCAAACACAGTAACAACAAGTCTCATAATGGAGACGTTACTGGGCCTGCTTGAGCAAATCGATGAACAACGGGAGGACAGTGCTACAGTACTACGATATTAGCACTTACAGTTAGAAATCAAATTTTGTCTATATTACTTCAAAAACTACTATCAACATTGTCTATTTTCTCCATCTTCACCACATGATCATCATAAGTCTTTTTCTCCATTATCTTGCTAGAATCTTTAAGATACCAAGACCAATATGGATTGATCACTTTGTGTTGCTTCCAATAATTTTTCTCGGTGTTAAAACCTAAATTATCCTTTCAAAATGCAAAATAATCATTTCAGTGCTGTCCAATCACATCCTATATTCTTCTAGGCAAAGACCCAAATTCCCAATATTGCTAACAATCAGTTCCTGCCTGTCTCTTCAGCCTCATCTTACTTGTCAATAATCCCCTTTGCTTTTACCGTCCAAGCACACTGAATTTTTACCTTTTCAGAGTGTTTCATCTCCTCTTCTTCCATAGGACAACTTTTCTCACATCTCTCTGATGATTTCTGCTAACCACCTATGTCCTCCATCCTCTTCCCTCTATGATTGTAACTCCATGAAGGCAAGGTAATCTTTGTGCTCCCTGACACTCCCCTAATGTCTGGCCCACTATTTGCCTGTTATTGCACTGTAGCACTGTCCTCCCGTTGTTTTTTGATTTGCTCAAGCAGGCACCAGTAATGTCTCCATTGTGAAACTTGTTACGTTTTGGGCATATCAAATACACCACGGGGAGCTTGCCAGGCTCTGCCATGTGGACGGGATACTCTTGGTAGCTTGCTGGGCTCTCCGAAAGGGATGAAGGAATCAAACCCGGCTCAACTGCATGCAAGGCAAATGCCCTACCCGCTGTGCTGTCACTCCAGCCCTGCCTGATATAAGGTACCATAAATGTACTAATTTAATAAGGTAGATAATTTCTTCTTTGCCTCAAGTGATACCACTTCTCTGGAAAGAGACAAGTCTTTATTCTCATCTACACTGGGGCAATAATACCTGATTTTATAAAGCAAATGGCTGGGCACTATTAATTTGTTTGAAAGGAAGCCATTTGTTTCCTCAATAATTAATTCACCATGGATAAAATACTCAGGGAAAATGTGTTCATTGTAGGTTCTTGTATGCTGGAAAAAGAGGAAGAAAACTTTATGACACTCAGGAAAAATAGTATTATATATAATCTTGAGTCTACAAGCAGTTTATAGACATTATCTACATAATTCTTCAGCACAGACACATCAACCCAATACTATCATTGTTTCCATTTCCAGGACAAAACAAAGGCACAAAGAACTTAGATAATTTATCCATGGCTACACAGTTGGTCAGTGGCATAAATCAGAATTAGGATCTAGGTGAATATAAGCAATCTTTGTATATTTCGTGTCCTATGGACACAGACTTTCTGAGGTTTTGAGACCTAGAACCAGGCAGGAGAGGGCAAATTTAGAATCGTGACATCACAGATCTACACCAGACCATTTATCAGGCCTCTGTCAAGGGTAGACATCATTCTTCTGATTCTCAGAAACAGAGAAAGTGCTCTTTCCAAAGGAGACTCCCAGGGGGATGAGAAAATGAACTACACTTTTATGTCATATCTTCATGATTTTCCCTCTTTATCATATGAGATTTCCAATCTACCCAAGAACAACTGAAGATGCTTCCCCAAGCAGGCCCAAATCGAGCCTGTTCGTTTCCTTCTTTGGATTCAGTAGAAACTTCCACCTGAATCTTTATGTTTACCAATGATAATTTTAAATCTGAATATATTTTTTCTTCTCTATTCAGGTGGATAAAAGGTTTGGAAGATGACAAGCAGGAGACAGATGTGCACTATAACTCCCTAACAGGAGAGGGGAACTTCAACTGGCGCTTCCTGTTTCCATTTCAGTATCTCCCAGCTGAGAAGCAAATGGTTATAACCAAGAGGGAGAACATCTTCTCCTTAGAGAAGATGGAGTGTAAGACACCAGCTGTATTGGTGCTTCAAGTTTGGGATTTTGAAAGGCTGTCCTCAGATGACTTTCTGGGTAAGCTGATGACTTGAACAAGCTCATAATAATGTTAGAGGTTTTGTCCCGGCTTTTGGAGCACTTGGTCTGATTTAGCAGCCAAAATAATAATTTCAGTTCTATTTATGATAGCAAAGAATTGGAAGCACTCCAACTAGCCATTAGCAAGGGGATTGGGTGAATAGTCATGGGGCATTCATAAGGTGAAGGATATATGTTCAGACTGAATTTGATCTTTAGAAAAATATGTCTCTTTTGGGGCCTCATTTGGCAGTCCTCAGGGCATACTCTGATCTGTACTCAGGGATCACTTTTGGTGGACTCAGGGGACATTTGGGGTGCCAGGGATCGAACCCAGGTTGGCTACATGCAAGGCAACTGCCCTAAACACTGTTCTATCACTCTGGCCCCACCAAGAAGCAATTAAACTTTATGCTAATTAAGAGACTCTTCTGTGCCTTAGTTTCGAGATAGCACAGCAGGTAGGGCGTTTGCCTTGCACATGGCCAACCTGTGTTCGATTCCTCCATCCCTCTCAGAGAGCCCTGGAAGCTACGGAGAGCATCCCGACCACACAGCAGAAACTAGCTAGCTCCCCATTCAATATGCCAAAAACAACAACAATAAGTCACACAACAGAGACAGTACTGGTGCCCACTCAAGCAAATCAATGAACAACAGGAAGACAGTTCTACAGTGCTACCTCAAAGAGTGTTGGGACCTGTGTAGACTATAAGATAGTTTTTTCACATTAAGTATAGCCCAAGACACCAAAACCCTTAAGCAATTAAAAATATTTGATTAGTTGAGAATTTGGACAGCTTGCATTGAGTATTAGGATAGAGACAAAGCCTCCTTTCTGTAAAATACATTTTTAACTATATGTAGAGGAAGAAAGAAGTCAGATAGGCAAAAGGACAGAAAAGATTGACACAAGAGAAAGAAATGACTCATAGAGAACTGGTTAACTCTTAGAGAGTGGAAGCAAGGACCTTTATTCTTATTTTTTCTCATTTTTTGTAACAAGGAAGTGTTATTGATCTCTCATGGTATTTTTTTTTAAAGTTTATTTCATAAAGTTGTTCACAATAATGGATTAGATTTAAAATTTCAACACCAATCCCACCACCATTACATCTTCCCACCACCACTCAAGCCTGCCCAACAAACAGATGCTAGATAATTTATTTTGTATTGCTTGTTATGAATAGCGTGAGATATTGCGGCTGTGCACTCATGAAATTTTAAAATTTTAAATAATTATGGTCCAGAAACAGTGAGCTCAGTTCTGAGATTCATTTGTGAGTCTCTGGATCATGGCCATCAATGTGCTTAAATGGCACCTGGAGGCAGTTTGTGGGCGTGACAACCAGGACCCCATAGTCATGATATTTTCTTACTCAGCCGTATAGCCCCTCATTGAAAGTACATTGTTGAGATTCACTCAGAGTATCTATCCTAAAGAGGACCTATAAGACCAAGAAGAAGACTTTCTTCTTAATCTGGAATTTTGTGGACTTGGAGGAGAAAGTTCTGATGGGGTAGAAGGTTCTCACAAACTCATCTAAACTAAGACTTTGGAAATCTCAGAGGATGGGGATATAACATAGGCTGTACTCAGGGAGCAGAGAAAGACACTTGAAACACTTGAAAGTGACATAATGGAGTCTGCCCTTATCTTCTACCTAATACCACTGCACAAACACTTTAAAGGGCCCATACATGTCTGGGGTATGTCTATATTTCCTCCACCAGCCCATGCTAGTGACTCATTGTGCAATAGAAAGACTGACAAGTGAGAGTGGATGAATGAATGAATGTTATCGAGCAATAAATTTGATTTGATTTTTAATTTTCTTCATTAAAGGAAATTTGAGCCACACCCAGTGGTACTCAGGGGCTATTCCTGTTTGTGGTAAGGAATTCTCCCTGGTGATGCTCAGGGAGACCATATGCAATGCCGGGGCTGACCATGTACACTGCACACAAGGCTTTGCCTCCTGGACTATCTCTGTGGTCCCAGAGGAGGAATTGCAAACATCCTTCTGTAACTGTTAACATATTCTTTACAGGAACCTTGGAAATGAACCTCAATAGTTTTCCTCGAGCAGCCAAGTCTGCCAAAGCCTGTGACCTTAACAAATTTGAAAATGCAGATGAGGAGAACAAGATCTCCATATTCCAGCAGAAGCGTGTGCGAGGCTGGTGGCCTTTTGCTAAAAGCAAAGAACTCACAGTAAGTGATGGGGGCAGTTGGGGGCGGGGTCAGACAAGGGACTTGTTGTTTTCTACATGAGTTGTTTTATTTTATTTTTTAAAAATTTTTTATTAGTGAAACACCATGAGGTACAGTTGTAGACTTACAAATTTTTGTGCTTAGGTTTCAGTTATACAATGATCCAATACCCATCCCTCCACCAATGCCCATTCTCCATCATTTACATTTTTTAAAAAATTTTTGTTAGTGAAACACCATGAGGTACAGTTGTAGATTTACAAATCATGAGTTATTTTATGAACATCAGGTCCAACTCCTTGAAATAACGCAATCTTTGAAGGTAAAAGTTCTGCCGAGAAGGAAGAATTTGAAGATTGTATAACTGCCTTAAGACTTTCCTATTTCAGCACACTTGCAATCTCTCTGGTCGGTTTTTCTATCCTTTTGGCTTGGTCTGAGGTCCATGACCTTGATTTTCTTTAACACTTCTGAAAATGAAACATACAGTCCTGACTAGTGTGAGCAGTTCCATCTCTTTTCATTTCTTCTACCTCAAACTCAGAGCAATTTAAAAAGTGATTCATCTTTGAAAATCTGCCTCAAGAAGGTGATAGAGGGAGAGGCAGCGTTCTTTCTTCCCGCACTGCTGTGTGGCATGGTTATAGGAATGCCGACCCCAAACTCTGCTAGCAAAGAAGTTTCTTCTTCCCTTTTTCTTAGGCAACCCCTTTCTCCTCTCAAGAGAGCAGGGATGATCTATTTGATCAATGAGATTGAAAGGGATGTAGCATTCAGAGATAAATATTCTCTACTGATAGTCTTCAATTATTTCCACACTTCCATTCACTATACATGTATATATAATATACTATAACATATCTTATAATAATATATTTATATTATGTAATCTATATTATATATAAACTCAGTTGTCTGTTGTCTGCAAAAAGATCCCAAATATATTTATAGCATCAATAAGCATTTAAGAAATAAGGCATAAAGAGGTTAAGTAACGTGACTCATGTTACACAGGTAGGTTAGAGGATGAACTCATGAGCCAGACATATAGCACAAGTGGTGGTGCACAGGCCTGTGTGAGGTACTTGTTCACCAGCATCGCCAGGTATATTTCTGGTGCCCCCCACCCAGGGCTGCTGGGTATGATCTTTGTAAATTAAAAAAGGAGAGAGTCAAGAACTGGAATGCAAACCCATACAGTCTGGTCTTCACCATTCTGCAGTGCTTCCTCTTGCGGCTGAGGGCTATAAGAAATAGAAGGAACAGGAAATTTGGTACTGGGGTCATCCAAAATCATCCCATGTAAGTTCAGTCTTGAGGGGCATCTCTTTGGGGAACTAAAACTAAAAATTAAATGATAATGGTCTGAGAATTAACCTACAGAATTGAGCTTACCAAGAAAGTCGTGGAGATGGGAGGGGACCTTAGGAACTTGGAGGGATATCTGATGTTGGTGGTAGATGTGGTGTTAGAACATTTTGAGAATGTTATTCTGTCTTTAACAGTTCTATCATTAAACTCTATCATAAACAGTATTGTAAATCACAGTGCCTCAGTAAGTTGCAGTATTGCAAATCACAGTATTGTAAATCGGTAGCACTGTGACACTATAAATCACAGTGTTGTAAATCATAGTGCCTCAATAAAAAAACTGGGTAAAAATGAAATTTTTCTTCAACTCAGAAAACCTTTCCACAGAAGTTTTCAACCTGAGAAAGAAAGCAGATTTATTGCTGATTAAGCATTATACCAGAAGGTGATGTATATCATAGGTCACCCACTGAGATAGCAGTGACAGTAATAAATCCCACCCTTTGTAAAATGAAGCAAATCTAATTTATTACAGGCATGTGCTCAAGATAAACAACTGATCCTTATGTAATAAAACTGGACATTTGTTTCACATAGATCACCCTAGATTCACCTGCCCATCTTAGGTTAGCTTGTTGCTCCTCTTGGCTTTATCCAGAAGAAAAACAAACTTTTCGTAGTGACACGAGGCTGTTTTGCAAAGGGAGCTGGCACCCCTGAAGTTAGGTGCCTTCCTTCACATTAAACTGGGAGAGATGTCTTCCATGTCCTGTAGTATGAACTTTGAGTTGGGGTTGAGATGTGGGATAGGGGCGGGTGAGCTGACCCAAATGTGCTTAGGAACTATTCCTGACTATGTGCTCAGAAGTAATCCCTGGGGGTGCTTAGAACCATGGGTGATGCTAGAGATTTGAATGGGTTTTGGGGTGCTAGGTAAGCTCCAAAACCCTGTATTGTCTCTCCAGTTCTAATGTATTCGTTCTAAAGATAATCCCTTTGGGGCTGGAGCAATAACACAGTGGGTAGGGCATTTGCCTTGCACATGGCCAACCCAGGTTCGATTCCCAGCATCCCATATGGTCCCCTGAGCACTGCCAGGAGTAATTCCTAAGTGCATGAGCCAGTAGTAACACCTGTGCATCGCCGGTTGTAACCCAAAAAGCAAACTAACTAACTAAATAAATAAATAGGATTCTTTATGAAGGCATTCCTGGACACTAAAGACAAAAGTTCTGTCTATTATTCAAAGGGGTTTATATACACTTTAAAGGAAGATAGAGGGCTTACAACGACAAGTTTTCTAAAGTATGAACACCCTAAGAAAAAAGAAGGGGAGGGATCAGAGCAAAAGTACAGCAGGTAGGGTGCCTGCCTTGCACACAGCCAACCAGGGTTCCATCTCTGGCAGCCAGGAGTAAGCCCTGAGCACTACTGGGTATGGCTCAAAAACCAAAAAGGGAAAAGGAAGGAAGGAAACTATCTTTCTTTATTTTCAACAGAGAGAATCCATCCTCTTATTTTCAATTTATGATTGTCTTTGAAAATCTGAGGGAAAAATAAGGATTGATTCTCCCTTCCTCACCTAAACAGTTACTGGTCAAAGTCTGGCCATGAGACCCTGCTTTGGCCTACAGTGAGGTAAAGTCCTGCTGTCCCTCATCCCCTTAGTCTTAAGGAACCAGTTACCAGAGCAAAAGCTAAGTACCAGTGGCCTTCTCCCTTTGTGGTAGGAAGATAGACCATGCCAGAGTAAGAGTGATGAAAAACTTCTGCCTCAAGTGAGTCCCTTTTTTTCTGTCTCTTCCTGTCATTTCTGAGCTCTAAGACGTCAGTTCACACATCTTTAAAATGAGTACATGGGACTGGGTGATCACATGCAGTGCCAGAGGGATCCCAGCGAGGGTCCACCAGGTGCATACCATCAGCCCCATAGTCATTGCCCCCCTGTTCCAATCAGTGGCCCCGGAAGGCTCTCATGATGAGCACTGCCCCTTGTTTGGCCACATTTTAAAGCTGCTAATCTGCCTATGGGCACCATGTAACGTAGACAACTGGATTGCACCCTCCTAGTGTGGAGTGTGTCTGTCCTCATAGTAAGTGAAAACAGTTCCAATCAGATTGCTAAAGACTGGGTAGAAGGATAGAGAATGTATACTGAACATGTTCTTCATGAGACCGTTACACAGCACATTTTATATGTGCTTTTGTACAAAAAAGCAAGTGTTAAACCACTCCTTCCGAAGATGGGGGGAAAGGATGTTTCTGTCACAAGTTAAACCTGAAAATTGGCAGTTAAGTAGCCCAAGTAAGTTGCAAGTAGTGTGACTGAAATTTTTTTTAAAAAGACATTTCTGTGTCTCAAGTTCAGCATGAGAAACAATTTCCAGCAGTTACCGTAATACACACTTGCATGCGAGGAACTAAGAGATCAGCAATGAATGAGACACATTCCTGTCAGCCAGAGTTTCACAGCTCAGCTAAGGAGGCTGGTTAGACACACCAATCACCTACAGAGTTTGTGACTAATTGATATTTTCCCAAGCAGAGGGGAAAGACTAAATCTTTGGTGTGAAGATTTTTTTTAAGATAGAGCATGTAATAGGCATTTATAGGAAATTTATGTTATTTTCTTTTTATAATTTTAAAAACAGTGTAAAGCAGCAAATGGTACAGTTATCTGCCCTTACGCCGCCATCACCTCATTCCCTTAACTCTTTGAAAACCTCAATTCATAAAAATGTAGAAAAGAAGATATTCAGATGCAAATCATCCAAAGAAAATTATTGCAATGTTTGATTTATTCATAACTTGTATAGATTTTATTTAATTAATTATACAGTGAGATCATCCTGTGTCCTCAGGTGAACTTTTTTTAAAAAAAATTTTTATTAGTGAAACACAATGAGGTACAGTTGTAGACTTACAAATTTTGTGCTTGGGTTTCAGTGATACAATGATCAAATACCCATCCCTCCACCAGTGCCCATTCTCTACCACCACGAGTCCCAGTATCCCTCCCACCCCCCCATCTCCCCCATCCTGCCTTGCCTCTGTGGCAGGGCATTCCCTTTTGTTCTCTCTCTCCTTTTGGGTGTTGTGGTTTGCAAAAGAGGCATTGAGTGGCAATCATGTTTGGTCTATAGTCTACTTTCAGCATGCTTCTCCCATCCTGGGAGGATCCTTCCAACACCCTCTATTTGGTGCCCCCTTCTCTATCTGAGCTCCCTTTTCCCCTAGCATGCGTGGCTGGCCTCCAAACCATGGAGCAAAATTTCAGGTGAACTTTTTTTTTTTTATCTTACTTGGTGTTATAATAAGCAGTCATCTATCTAAGCAAATGTTATTAATAACTGTATTTTCAAAATAGATAAGTCACAGTTTAATCAATGTAATTTTTTAATCTTTTTTCTAATTCTCCACCACCAATGATCCCAGTAGCCCTCTCACCCGTCCACCCCATCCCCCCCATCCTGACCCGTCTCTGTTGCAGGGCATTCCCTTTTGCTCTCTCTTTCCTTTATGATATTGTGGTTTGCAATAGAGGTATTGAGTGGCCATCATGTTCTGTCTATAGTCTTCTTTCAGCACACATCTCACATCCTGAGTGAATCTTCCAAACACCCTTTACTTGGTGTTCCCTTCTCTATCTGAGCTGCCTTTTCCCCCCAGCCTGAGCTGTCAGTTTCCAA